GTCAGTCTAACCAGCTTAATACTTGAGTTACTTGAAAAGATAATTCGGGTTAAGTTACTAAGTCACATAGATTCGTACAATCTGTTAACTCCCGAGCAACACAAGTTTCGAAACAAACATTCATGTCTAACCAACTTACTTATCGCAAGGGAGGAAACGACAGCAGCCGTAGATAACAATCTGTTTGTCGGTGTGGTTTTCATAGACTGTGAAAAGGCGTTTGACAAGGTTTCTCACTTGGGTCTTGTTCAGAAGCTCTCGAGCTTCAGAATAACAGGTGCTGTACAGGAATGGATAGGAAACTTCTTATGTGACCGCAGACAGGGAGTGATGGTTAGCGTAACGCTATCCGAACGGAAGCTGATAAAATGTGGTGTACCCCAAGACACCATTTTATGTACCTCACTTCGTACTCTCTACGTTGATGAGTTACCACAATTGCTTAAGTCTTCGACATTATTGTTTGTGGAATTTTGTATCCTTAATTACGATTTGGGTGTTAATGTCTTATCCTTTTGCTCTTCCAGAATTAGTAGTCTTCAAGGTCACGGCAAGAAGGTTCAAAAACTACGATCTAATAAACTTGAAGTAGGGTTCCTTTTTTCTCATCGAGTATTCGGTGCCTGAACTCTTTACCCAAACAAGTAGTATCAGCACAATCAGTGGACATTTTCAAGAAGCTGGACCTTCACTGGAATGTGAACTGTCAGGATTAACACAGGTCCATCAACCTACTATCCTTATTACTGAAGAGTGAAGAAAAAGGAAACGCGAAATACATAAATATTTTAACAAGCGTGTTTGTGAACACAGAACAAGAACAGACTATTATGTATGTATCGCTAAACAGTATACTAAACAGGGAAAAGATACATGAATAACACACCGTACAGTATTTAGAGAACAGGAAAAGTGAGTCAGTAAACTTAATATCGTTCGTGATTGACAAAAAATTATGATTAGTGAACAAAGTTAGAAAAAGTTAACATTGTGGTAGGTGTTTCAGGTTATCACTGGTGTGTTCGCTTATTGATCACACTGTACACATGTAATGGGATTCAGAATAAAACCTGATATTATTGCAAACTTTTGTGCAGTAGTAATTTAGAATGATGCTACGACCGATTCCAGCCGTTTCAAATTAGGGTGTAGTTTGAAGCTGTGAACTGTGAAGTCAGTTGATATGATATCAGTTAAAAGCGTAGTAGCTCATGGTCAATTAATAATGTGAACTGACGTCCAAATATCATCTTGTGAAATTTCTTTACAGCGAAGGTGATCGACAATGCTTCATTCTCGATCTGACTGTAGTTACGCTCTGCTGACGTTAACGATCTAGCTGAACGTGATATCGCCTTCTCAGATCTATCTGGCATGATGTGAGAAATAATTGTTCTAATGCGGAAGTTTGAAGCGTCTGATGCTACTACAATGGGTAAAGATGGATTGTAGTGGGTGAGCAGCAGATCCGAGACTAGTACTTTCTTGATTTCATCGAAAGCAGCTTGGAAAGTTGCAGACCAATTCCATTTTACATTCTTCGACAGAAGGTTATTCAAGGGGGCACGTAATTGATGAAGGTTCGGAATAAAACTCCATAATGACTAACTTGTCCCAAAAAAGATCGTAGTGTGGGGACGTCCGTCAGTCTGGGCATAGTTTTTACTGCCTGGGTATTCTCCGGATCTGGTCTTCTGCCATCTTCGTCGATTATAAACCCAAGGTAGTGTACGTTTTGCATACAGAAGTCACATTTCTCTGGACGAAGTCGAAGTTCATATTCGGCTATTCGCGTCAGCACCTGTTCGAGATTCTTTTCTAAGTCTATTCTATCTACTCCCATAATTATTATATCATCTAGATAAGCTGCAGCACCCACAACATCCTTTAGCATAGTATCCATTATTTGCTGAAATATGGATGGGGCCGTCTTGACTGCGAAGGGTAGTCGATTATACCGGAATAGACCCTTGTGTGTGTTTATGGTAAGTAGGGTTTTAGACTCGTCAGAAACAGGGATTTGTAAATAAGCTTCCAATAAATCCAACTTTGCAAAAAGCTTACCTCCGTTCAGTTTAGCAAAAAGATCTTCAGGTAAGTGCAGTGGATACTGATGAGTTTCTAAGGTTTCATTCAACCCGGTTGAGTAATCGACACATAAACGAATGCTACCATTAGTCTTCTTTACTACTACTATCGGTGTGGCCCATTCTGAGAAACTCACTGGTTTAATGACGCCTAGTTTCTGAAGTCGTTCTAGCTCTTGTTCAACCACTGGGAGAGCAGCGTATGGTACGGGTCTTCTAGGTCGAAAGACGTGAGTGGCTGTAGGCTTTAGAGTTAACGATGCTTCGGTCTTCGTGCATTCCCCTAATCCTTCTTTAAACACTTGACTATATATTTCTAATACAACCCCCTTCAGATCCTTTTCCGCTGGTTTATTGGTTTTCACTGCGCTGCGTATGTGGTTAATGGGGTGATTTGCTAATTGCAATGTTCCTATTAAGTCTAGACCCAGTAAATACAGTCCTGAGTTTTCTGTGAGATATAAAGTTGAACTCGTCTTCGTGTTTCCTTTCGAAACTGTACAACAGACCTCTCCAACAATATTTAGTTTCCCTCCGGATGCACTATGAGCCTTTAGAATTATGGTCTACTATTATATTAGTACTGCTCTAATAATAGACCTAATCCTAAAATTGTAGATTTGTCATGATATAACTGCCTAATCTATAAGATCTTACGTGGAAGTCACACCATCGACTACATCAACTCACTGTATCGTATCAATTACCAATACATGATGTAGAACAAGGTTAGGCTAGAGAAAGAACAATATATTTAATATGAATAGAAGATATAAGGTAACATTCAGCAGAGACCACGCCTGTATGGCCGAGCCATGCCGTTCGATCAACTCCAGTCCATTCAATTCATTGTTCGCGCCTTCTCCATTGTTAGGTATTTCTCCGCGTTAAATGTTGAATATCTATTTTCTGAGTAGTCTTGTGTTCAGCTTTGCGGATTGTGTGGTTATGGTCCAATGCCACTACAAGCTAACTGGGTTGTTGGGAGCACCTGTGGTTTTCCGATAAGCTTCCAGGTTCTTCGACTAATAAATGTGATGTCAGAAGCGGTGTCGAGCTGCAGGTGGGCACGCTTTTTATTTATATCTAGGTTCACATACTTTCTTTGTCGGCAAATTTGTGCTCGATTATGTGATACCAATACTTTGTTAGTTAGAGCACTATATCTGTATTTCTTTGAGTAAGGTTTCAAGGAATGTCGTTTATGGTTTCTTCTCCCGCAGAGGTTTTCTTCATGCCCCTTCCGATGACATTTGCTGCAACAATGTTCTTTATATGGGCAGAAACTCATATAGTGTCAACCTCCACATGACCAGCATGTAGACGATGGGTTGGCGCTGTTATTACTATAATTATGCGTGCTGGAACCTTGAAAGACTTTTCTCTTGACTGCATTGACGTTAAGGAAATGGTTACCGTTTCATACGATTGAGGTATCATGCTTCAAGTTCACTAACCTTTAGCACTCAGTAGTTGCCTCCTGCAGGGTCATGTTAGGGCAGTGTTCGAATTTGCTTAGGATTCTAGTTAGGATATCAGCATCCTCGGGTGAACGCAGGCTACAGATAAATACTAAGCATTTAAACTGGTCTTCAGACATGGAAGACAATTTGAATCTCTCACATTCTCGGTTCACAATTCTTGCATGTTTCACCCAGTCATCTCCTGATTCTTTCGTTAACTTTAAGCACTGATAACGGATACTAAATAGAGATGATTGTTCTCCAAAGATTTGAGACAGGGTTTAAACTGTTTCATTGAAACTAAAGTCTCGTGGATTCTTCGGGAGAATGAAGTTGCTGTGGCGTTTATGTTCCATAGTTCCAAGTTTTCTCAGTATTCTGACTTTTGATGCGTCATCCAGTTTGCAAAGATCAATATAAAACAAATCTTCCTACTTCTTAAACCACGACTCAAAAGTTGCACCTGCTACACCATCAAAATTAAATTAATGGACGGCGTTAATGACTGAATCAGTATGTGATACTTGTAACTCACCGGAAGCAGGGTTTCGCTGGGATAGGGAGAATTTCTGCATCAGGGCTTCCATGATTCTGGTTTGGGACTCTTCAAACCTCATTTCTTGATGCTCAATATAAGCTTCTAGTTGCTCCAAAGAAATATTCCATCTAGTTTTTCCCGTCGCCACTGATGTTATGAAGTTATCCGAAAGCCGACTCAACTAATTGGTTGATCAAAAGGTTTTTATTGGTAATGGTCTCAAAAATTATCTTCCAAGACTTATGATACGGTTTGCCTTACTTTCTTACGCCTGGTACTCCTCATGGAGGAGCATAGGTCGCTCACCAGCATTCTCAGGAACTCTCTAGTGTCGAAGAAGTTTCCATAACGTCCTTCTATCTACACTGCCAAACGCCTTTTCATAGTCAATGAAGTTGATGTACAGTGACAACTTTTATTCAACTGATTGTCCGACGACGATCAGTAGTGTCGCAATTTGGTCTGTGCACGACCGATTCTTACGGAATCCAGACTATTGATCTGGAAGTTAGGCGTCTACTGAGTCTTTCATCCGGTTCAGCAACACTCTGTTGAAGAATTTTTCTGGTACTGACAGTAGTGTAATGCCTCTGTAGTTTACACATTTGCATATGGAGTCAAACTACTGGTATTTTTCTACAGAACAAATATCAGTACCCTCGAATGATACATGAATATGGTTACTTGACAGGTATAGCAATTACCGACGTTGAAATATGATCTTTGAAACATTTCATGTATTTTCTTAGCACACAGTTTTGGGGATTGAGTAATGAATTAGGCCTGGTTACGAAACTACGAGTTCGCGCGCTTTGCAAAAAACTAAATGGCTTCAAGGTAGCTTCCCTCGTGTTTTCGTATTAGTTCGGGATTACGCTTTGAAATTGCTTTAAAATGTTTATTTGTCTTTAGAGATAACCGTCTTTCCGTTTATGTTGGTAATCTCCCCCCGAATACTATACAAGGGCATTTTGATTACATATTTGCAGGTTGTGATGTAGGTCCCCCTATTTTTTTTTCATTTATAGTGTAGATAGAAAGTGTTAGATTAGTGAGAGACAAACAGACAGACGAATTCAAAGGTTATGCTTATGTAGATTTTAAAAATGAACAATCCCTACAGAAAGCACTAGCTGTCGACGGTGCGGTATGTCACTGGTTCTCATTTTACTTTTCTGTTTAGATTGTCGACGGACGCTCTCTGCGAGTAAATCTCGCAGGCGAAAGACCTGGACGTGGTATGTTTATTTTTCCCCCGTATTTGTGAAAGCTTCATGTTGTGCATGTAAAACTTTGTGACTGACAGTTATTGGCAAGAAAACATAGGTAAACATTTATTCCTACTTTTAAACTCGAAAGTCTCTATTAACGTGAGTTGGCTTCATGCAGCAGACACTGTATTTTGTTAGAAGGTTGTTTTCCAAGCTCCTTTTCTGCTTAACTTTCTTGTCTGGCATGTGAAGATGTTCTCAAATCCTGGTAGATATATTGATGTATTATTATGATGATCCTGTAATAGTTTACGAAATAGCCAGATGGTTACTCTTAACAAGCTCATATTCACAATTAGTGAGATTCAGTGGCTAAGAGATTTTCCTAATTGTGAAGTTAATGTACGTTGCACTACGTATGATTTTCAATTATTCACTAATGCGAACGCAGTCAACTTGCAGTTTAAGGTACGTTTAGATCCTCGCCACCTAAAACGCTACAGCGCATTTAGTCTACTATAATTTATTTACCACGGGAAACCTTGGTAACATGAGTTTACAATACCCAGTTGAACTAGCCTTTCTGCGATTGGATCTCAGCTACAGCAGGTTTGTGTATACACAAATAATAAACAGGTAGTATGGGTCACTACCCAATATTCTACAATGTCGAAAAAGTAAGGCGGATAGAGAATCTAACAATTACCGTCTATTATTAACATGGCATTCACAATAGCTATTTTAATGGGTTTGTGTGCCCGTCTTCTGTAACCAGAAATTTAATCAAGTTTTTTGATGACTTGTACTGTCACATGTTTTGCTGTATCTGCATTATCATGCTTTCACTATCTGAAGGTGGTGGTGGTGGTCAGGGTCAATGGGGTATGAACAACGGATATGGAAATCAAGGACGTGGTGGTTTCGGTAGTCATGGTCGCGGTGGTTTCGGAAATCAAGGACGTGGTGGCTTTGGAAATCAGGGACGTGGTAGACCTAGCATGGGTGGTGGACGGATGGGTGGGCATACTGTTTTTTTTCTTGACTTTTCATCTGGTTTGGTTAATAGGTTTGTCTTTCCGACTCACTGTACCGATCAATTTATGTCTGTAAATAGGATCGAGCTTTTTAGGTTTGTCAGCTATAAGTATTCCAAAAGTTGTTTTTAGTGTGGTTAAAATCCCAGACATTTTTCATATAGAATAGGACTCGATTGTTTCGTTTTCACCACAGATGATTTTGTAATTACTTACTGGTGACTTGGATAAGCTTAATTTGATTAATTCACATGGATATTCATTTTCCCCCAAAACATTCACTATGTATTTTTAATCGTTCTGCATGGTTTTTATGGTATTGAAAATGTGCATTCGAGTAACTTAACTGGGATGCTGAAGTTCGGTTGTGATGTATTTTCTGATTCTAAGGTTTTCGCATTCAAACAAAGGATATAAGAGAACCACAGAATAAAACTATGGAAACTATGAGTCATTTCTAAGTGTAATGCTAAGTAGGTTTATTCGGCCTAACTTAAATGTGTTATGCATAAAATGGATGTATATTTTTTAACAAACGTGTTTGATGGAATTAAAGGTGTAAATCTCTGTAAACTGAATAATTGTTACTCATTCGTTTATTGATAGCTTAAAAATATCTACCAGCATGGTCATAATGATCAAAATCTGTGGGATTTCTTGACTAATTATACTGAGGTTCCTTTTTTAAAAGAACATGCCAAACCGTTAACATCAGTGCTTTACAAATAATAAGATAATATAATCCATTTAAAACACAGACTTATATATTCGGCTATCAGCCACATTTTACTTGATACTACTCGTCAGCCCAAGCCGACCTAGTTTACTCAGGTTTCTGACTTGCACTCTAATGTCGACCGACCTACCTGACGAGGTGGGAGTCGTGAAGGGTCACCAGCCTCTGACCCCTTTTGAAAGTCGTCCCATTCTACCTTGTGGGTGTGGAACATTAGCCATTAGGAATGAAGGATATTCGTAGATTGCTAGTGTTCGACAATAGGTATCTTCGAAGCATTGCCCTTGTGTTTTGGGACCATGGAGTAAGCAATGTCTGGGTAAGGATGGGGATTCTATTCGTGAGGTAACTGGAATAGACATTGCGTATGCCGAACCAATCGCAACTGATCGATTTCTTATTGGCATATGTGCATCCTGTGTGGATTGCCTCGTTATTTCCTCAAGTCAAAATCATCATAAGCAGAGTTAGATGGGTGCAGCAGCGATGTACTATGAATGTCGTTCCTCCGAATCCGACATCATGCATTATTTACCGATGCTGGGACTGGTTGGAAAAAGTGGAGAGGTGGTCAGTTTACGATACGATCTTAGGGTGTGGACGAAAGCTTCATAGGACTGGGATATATCGGTTCATCCTGACTTCCTGATTGGGTTCCTAGAGATGGTGTAACTTAGTGCCTTGAGACGTTATCAAACATGTCTCAAAATAGAAGCAAGCGGCGATCCTGCTGTGATTTTCTTTTGCTTTCTTCATATAGGTTAGGGAAACTTCGTTAACTGAGCCTTTTCTGGTTGTACTTTTCTTAACTGAACTGCTCTCAGTTTTCTACTCGGTTCATAATTCATCACACTATTGAAATCGAGTTCCTTTAATTATTAAGGAATTGTTTTTATTTTTTAATTATATAAACACATAAACATTGGTACGAGGAGGCACCAAATAGATATGCGCCACATAAATCTTTCGATCTGTGTGAGGGCCGGGATACTCTACGAGTGCCCAAACCGAAGCAGGAATAAAAAATCTCGAAATATTCCTCTTCCATATTACTTTTTTTAGTGTTTGTTATAATCTCTTTCTTACGGTTATAACCCAGCTATTCCTATTGCTTGGTAATCTTGGACACCAAATCACTCGACAAGTCCCCGAATCAGAACACGGTTGAACAGGAAAGAGATAATATTCCAAATAACAAGGTTAGATGGAAGCAAGAAGCACAGCAGGAAAAGCGTTAGTTTATTCATAGTTTTTACATGAGAAGATTCCAGAGTATTCTCCGAGTATCGACTAGTGCTGATCGGATAAGAATTAGCCAATCAGCGTGCACCAAAGCAATCGTGCATTGAGTATGCTTTAATCCAGTCTATGTGCCGCTAACAGTGCTTTAAAATACTTTTTACCATTACGTATATATTATAATCTACAGATGAAATGTAAACTATAATTTTTGTTTAATATGTAATAGTGGTTTAACATTTCGATGATGTTCGGCTTATCAATTGTCATTACATCATTTGGCTCATAATTCGTTACAATCACCGTTAGTTTAGGTAACTAGATAAATATTTTTATCATCTATATAAAATATAGCTAATATACTGTTTATTTGTATGTTAAACCAATTATTCTTCGTTACCAAATTGAATTTGAGAAATTTTTATTTCTTGTTTATGTTTTACTATTAGAAAGTTATGGACGTCCAAATAGAGGCGGAATGGGTGGGTTCGGTGGACAACGACAAAGTTACCATCCTCCAGGACTGTCACGAGAGGAATTAAATGAACCTAGTATCAGGAATCCTCAGTCAAATTCTACGGATTCAACCAGTAGTGGTTCGGGTGGTGATCGACCTAAACTAAACCTAAAAATCAGAGAGACCCCTGTAAATACAAATGATGATCGACAATTATCAGAGCGTGCCCGTGCGATATTCGGAGTTGGGCGTCCTCGAGAAGCTAGTCCAATTCGAGAAAAAAAGTAATTAAAGTGTGCATCTGAATTCAGTACTTATTTAGTTTTGATTGAGTTCCATTCTCATACTTCAGTTTTACGAAGTTTTGAAGTATAACCTGTTTAGTAAACGTCCTAAAGTTAGTCAATCGATCGTATGAAACGTACAACTAATCACATGTGAATCATTTCAAGCGGCTACGTCAGATTAGCAACGTTCGAATGCCATACTTAAAAGACAACGGGTTTGAACTTTGACTCAATTTGTTAAGTGTGTAAATTACCTTTAATCGATTTCGTTGTCGTACTTTTGTCGATTTTTCGATTTCATCTTAAGCCTACTAATTATTTCGTACTTCATTTGTAACTTTGTTACAGGTTGGGTTCTGAAGAAAATGCAACCGGTTCTAGTTAATGAGAGAAGATCATTTATATTCAACCAAAGCAACTTGACAATTGTTTTCACCAACATTTCTACGAATATGTGTATTTTTCTTGTTTAATTCGAACATTTCACCCCCCCCCGTTTTTTCTTACATTACCACATGAATATATACATATATATTTCTGTGTATGAACTAATTTCATCTTAAAAGTGTGTTACTTTTTCAATTTGATCTTTTTCTCATTGTATTCACACTTTAGTCTTTAAACCTCATTGTCTTTTCAAATCAAAACGTTTAAATGTACAGGTTGTCCGAGTTTTTTTTCCCGTCAGTTCTACTGTTTGGTTAGAATCTTTTTAAAACAATAGTTCTATTTGTTGTTGTTGTTGTGCTAATTGTCATTGTTGTTTGATTGTAAAAACAAGCTTATCTCCTTGGTAATTGTTAGACAATTTACCCGTTTTCGTTTTTACTATTTGTCTTCATATATGCGTGTGTGTGTGTGTATGTGTATACATCCAAGTGGGTTGTTTGTTTGTTTTTCTTCTTTCTTTATTACTGAACAAATCATATACATCATTCAATTATCTTCTATATTACTGAATCTGTTTAGGAAAGCATATGTAAAAATAAGAGAATACAATAATCTATTCTCAAAGAGAGACAAAAAACTAATAATAAATTCCTTTTTATAATAGATTTTGTTTTACAATAAAAGAATGAATGATTTATACTGTTTGTTGTATTTAGATTACATAGATGGTGATTGGAGGTACTCGACAGGAAACCCTGGACCCAGGTTTCGTGCTACTTGGCACTCGTCAGCAAGGTGTACTTGTAATCTTGAGGGGACTAGTGCTCCTTGGCGGATTCGATCTCGTGTCACCCAGCTTCCGCCAGAGAGCACCAGCACTGGTATGGCCGAGAGTGGGGAGAGTCCGCCCTCCCTCTCGAAATGCTCTCACACGGCCACGCGTAAATAGCCTCTGCCAGGGAAGTCCTACTCACTGCCTTCTCGTGGCGGGGGTGTTGTTTACGAAAATGAGAGGACGAAAAGCGAATGCCGGCGCTTTAACCGGATTCCAAATCAATGGTGCACATGGGCTCCAGTATCCTGCGGGAACAAATGGCGTATGAACCAATCGTTGGTCACGGGCTACCATGGGGCGGCATCTCCTCACGATGCTCCACTGCCTTATGGGTTAGACCTTCAGGTCGAAGGCTCGGGGAGTGGCCCCCTAAGATAACCACCTGCTTCGGTCTGGGCATCCGAGCAGTATCACAGCCCGCACACAAATATGATGAACTGTCGATAATTATGGAAAATACTTTTCTTGCTTCAACTATTAATCAAACGATTCACATTATTTTTATCACTATTGTTATTATTTACTACATCATTTATTCACTCTCTTTTATTCCTACTCTGTCTATCCTTATTTTTCGACTTATACAGCAGCTCGTCTATGGTGGAAATTCGGTTCTATCTAAACGTTCTCGAGTAGAGACGTTATCAGATATGGCTCAGAATAGAAGCCAGTGGCGATCCTGCTGTAACCTTTTACTTTCGTCATAAAAAGTGGTTGCTTCTTCCTTAACTGAAATATCTCATCTGAGTGTACGTTTCTGTTTCCCCCATTATTATTATTACATTACCTTACACTAATCTGTTCGTTATCGTTTTTTTTTACGCTCCTTACCTTTTTTTTCCTTCTCTGCAAGTTCTCATTGTTTTGTGTGGCGCATATATATTTGGTGCCCTCCTGTACCAATATTTATGTGTTTAAATAAATAAATAAACAGGTACACCTTGCTGACGAGTGCCAAGTAGCACGAAACCCGGGTCCAGGGTTCCCTGTCGACTACCTCCAACCACCATCTAATCTCAATATATAATGCCCGCAGTGTCGAGTCACCTACCTAGACTGATGACCACATTGCAACATGGTCGATAGCATTCGATCTGCACTGAATAAGAACTAGACACGCATGATCAGTCAATTGTGATTAGATTACATAGTTTACCTTATTCTTATTCTTCTTTATTATTTTATAGGTAAGACTTGTGAATGGGTAGACGTTTTATCTGTGATTATTGTGACAAATCATTTCCAGATAATCCAATTAATCGAAGAAATCATCTTAAAGGTGTACAACATCAACAAGCTCGAAAATTACATTATGATAAATTTCTTGGTAGGATTATAAATTATGAAATGTGATTTCATTTTATAAATATATATATAGATCCTAAAGAAAAACTTAGTATAGAGAAAGCAAAGAAACCATGTATAACATTTCGTAATTCTAGTACATGCACTTATGGTCCATTATGTAAATATTCTCATATAACCATCGAAGAGATTCGTATATTAGAAGAGAAATCTAGTAAGATAATAATAGTTTTGTTTATTTATCAAAATTTAGATGCTGAACTTCTTGCTTCATCTTACTTAAATCATTTAACATCTGAAGTGAATATTGATAATCAAATTAATATATTAGAATCAAAATTAATATCTAGGCGTGATAAACAATCAAATTCTGGATCAACTAAACAATTTCATATTCCAGAAGGAATACAACTATTATATCTACCTCCGTCATTGTCTTTACATTAAATATTCCAGATAGATGCCTGATTTTTATCTTTCAAAGGATTTGTGTATATCGAAAATTCATTTGAGGATTCCACGTGTTTCTATAGTGAGGTTTTAATTGATAGACAAACCAATCAGATTTCAAATAAAGAGTTATAGATTTTAGCATCAACTTCTGACTTCTCACACTAATTCATAAACCTATTTAGACCTTTTTAAGTTGGTGCAATCTCTCAAGGTCACTATGACATCACTCAAAGGTTGTCTATAAATTCTAACTCCACTTTATGGGACTTCTCTGACGGTTAAAGGATTTCTGTATATTTACGCTATGGAAAATAAAGTACTTATTACTTTTTAGGCTGTTTGGCCTATTACTCTTTTCTTTTCAAATATATTCTGTTTGTTCGGGTTCTTTTAGTTAGTCGAGGGAGGGATTTAATCGTGAATAAGATGATCTTGGTTGTTGCTAGAAGTATAAGGGTGGAGGGATATTTCTTCTTTAGGGATCTGAAAAACCGGACTTCTGGTGACCATAGAGATCTGAGAGCGTGATCTCCTGAGCCCGGTCACTTATGGCATTTCTGTGGGACTTTTTTTAACTGTTAGCTCCGCACTTCGATAGGCCTTACCGCTGGAGACAAAAATCCATGGGTAAAGTGAGGTGTGACATTTCAGGGTTGACCTTTTCTAACCCCTTTCGTTATGAGAATACAACATCACTGTCCGAGGGAACTACCTTACTGCCGTAGCGCCCCTTTGCACTCGGCAGTACGACTTCACCATCGTGCCTTAATTTACTGCTTTTAATCTTACCGTTCTCCAATCGACCTGCTTCGTATAGTAGAGTTTAAAGGAGAATTTGTTTTAACCAATATACCACGTCAAGATAGCATATACAGTCGAGTTCATTCAATTCATATAGCCCCCACCAGCACAAATATGATACTACAACCTGAATTCTAAAAGTTTAAGCGGTTAGCATAATAACATTTAGTTTATTGAGTGAAGTATAAGGTGCTTCTTTTTTAATAGTTTTTCTTGGATTACTGATATTGTTGCACATGTAATCAACATACAAGTACACCAACGAAATGTTATATGGTGACGTGTTTCGTCTTTCTAATTTGAAAACCAAGTAAATGACCGAATCACATTGCTGTAAGAAGAGCCAAACAGACGTAACGCATTAATGTATGTATTCTTTGTAACCTAGATCACTGAGTTTTCTAAACGAAGGTATTTGCAATACGTTTGAATTACATCTATTTACAACACAAGTGTTTCTAACAAATTCTCAAGTTCCGCATTGTGTCCTACAGTCGCCAACGCTTTTCAATACTAGCTCGATAAAATAAGTGTATATCACTACTATTGTTTACTGAACAATCCAAGCAATAAAATTACACTAAGTGATTATTACTTGTTTTCTTTTCGCCCGAGAACTCACATCAGCAATTTCAGTTTTTATTGGTCACCAACAGACCCGAGATTATATTGATATAACACAGGACCTGGCATGACTGCTTAATCAGAGATACTTATACACAGCGACTTTTTGATTCATACAAGTAAGGAAGAGTGGTGAAATTCCTAGTGAGATGACAATACAATTAACGATTACCACAGTGTGTAAGATAGAGCGACCAATAGCAGTGGGAATCTGTTAGGTTGCGAAGGCCGAGGTAACGATTGTTGCGGGAAGATCCGTCAGTTAGTTCACTAGAATATAAATTGAAAGTCATTTTGTTTTCTTGACTCCAATAAATTACCCGCAGTTTTTTGTATAAGGTATGGTTCGGACGTTGTGTTGAAAAGCAGTATCTGTACATTTTTTAAAACCATTTTGGATGCTTATTTTACTGTTTGGGAACTTAATCTTGTGATTCTATTGATTTAACTCGATCATAACTGGCATTCATTACTTCGCCTCTTTAAGATCTTTCGTAAATTGAATAAGTAAATGAATGTATACAATCGTCAATTCAGTCAAGGTAGAGTGTAACATAAATGTTTGTTACTACAATATGACGGGATGACGAGATAAAGTTAACAAAGTAAGTAATATGTGTAGTGAGAATGACTTAACTTTGAGAATATGATTTGGAAAGACAATAAAAAATTATAAGTGGAGGAATAATGTGACTCATAGGATATAGAGTAAATCCATCTGTTCCAGCGTGACTCGTCCTGATTAGTGAATTGTAGATGGGACGTGTATGAAGATAAATCATAGTTGGCTTTTGTCACATTAATACCAGCTGACAACCTATTAAAAAACCTAGAAATAATGAATCTCTATCTTACTTGGTTTCTTAACAGTGCACGTCTGTAGATAGTTGAGAAATAACACAATACCTTTGTTGAATTGTAAATGATTTAAACGAATAGTAACATTCATGGAAAACAGGTTACTAAATACAAAAATTCGGATTTGTAAGTTATATATTAAAACTCAATCTAAAATAGCAAATATATCTACATTACCGCCAGCCACCCAATTCGAATTATTTTATTTACGATCTACGACCATAGGTTATGATGCCTTGGTACGGCCGAAATTGGGGAGAGGCAGCTCTCCCTCTCGAAATGATCGCACATGGCCACGTGCATACAATCACTGCATTCTCGTGGCGGGGATGTTTACGAAATTGAGAAGACGAAATGCGAGTGCCCGGCGATCTAACCGGGTTGGTGGATGTGGAGGACCAACCTAGGAGAGTTAGAAAACCCTGACTACAACCCCATAGTACACATAGACTCCAGGATTCTGAAGGAACAAATGGCGTATGAACTAATCATCGATCACCGGCTACCGTGGGACAGCATCTCCTGATGTTGCTCCATCGTCTTGTGGGTCAGATGTTTAGGTCGAAGGCTCCGGGTATGGGCTAATTAAACCACCTGCTCCCGTCAAGACACTAGGGCAGTATTACAGCCCACATACAAATCAAATGGCATGTGTGGCGCATATGTATTTGATGCCCCTTTGTACTAATATTTATGTGTTCAAATAAATAATAAATGATCATTAACCGACTAACTTGACTGTCATCTGTTGATGTTGTTAATTTGCAAATTTTTCCTATTATTAAGTAATACAATCGTAACACACTATTTTTTTGTAATAAGCACAAATTAACCCATAGTTACGTCATATCTATATGAGATAATCTTCAACAAGTATTATCTTCATAACTAAACAGAACTAATCAGTCAGTCAGCAACGTGGAACTTCGTACGTACGTACATCAGTTCGAGTTGATTAATGTTTACATAATTATTATCAATTATTATATCTATCATTCATCGATGTCTTATTTTTATGAGGTGCATTTATTACAACTTATTGATTTCATAATCCATTTCGAGACATTTCAAGAAATCTATATAACTAACTCTTCAAAAAGACCATCGCATTGTATCACTTATAATGTGAAATTATAAACACTATACTCTTTGTATCCAAATCATTTTTAACCTGGTAATAGAGTTACATAATCATTATGAAGGATGTCTGTCTGTTGGAAATATGTATCTGACGCGAGAAAAAACAAACATACAAATCAGCTTTCATTTAGTAATTTTGCTTACAGAATACATTGTATACTATAACTTCTAAATGTTTGTTTAACGAAGATAACTTTTTAGTGTAAACAGTTATTTCCGTCATAAAACGATATTAATTAAATAACCAGAAAGCGCATTGTATCAATTATATGTCACTCCTCAATAATCAACGAGAAATTTCGTAAAAGAATGTTGGTTCCTCTACTACTGAATGCTCGAAGGATCCGTTTCTTGTGGATCGATAACTTATTCTTTAGAACGTTTGACTTTCAGTCACAAGGTGCTATATTCCAACCCCACCCAACATCAATTTGATCCAGTAATTAGTATTAATACATCTCAAATTTACTACGTCTCGCATACTCAATTACCTGGTGAACTATTCAGTGTAGTTGTTTTATTTGTTTTCTTGTTAGGTGGTAAATAAATCCACAAATTTAGGTCACTTTTTTTTCTTAAGAGATAAAATAGGATCAAGTAATAAGTCTCTAGAAGGTAGTCTTTTTGAGTTTCTTCTCGTCGTATTTTCAGAGGTTAGATTAAAAATATTGTGATCCTGTATAAACAGTAGTTGTCAATTTGAAATTTAGTAACAAAACGATTCAAATAGTTAAGGTTCGATCTTTTAAATCAGCTGTTCCACCAGGGTGCTTGGTATCTGTGTGGTCACGCCACAGTATTGAGCTGTACTATTCAGATTGTGGCGTTAAAGCCTATATGGTGTCTGGTTGTCCTATGAAGCGGGATCGAGTTGTACTGCTCAGGTTATAAAGTTTAAGCCCGGATAGTGCTTAGTTCTCTTGAAAACGGGATTGGGCCGTACTAATTGGGTTGTCACGTGAGAATTTGGATGGTGTCTGGTTCTCCCAAAAATCAGGAAATCAGCGAAATACTCAACACGATAATATTTATCTAAGGTATACAATAATCAGATTTATTTATCTTCACTACCTAGCTGTTTAGTTAAATTGATCATTGTTTGTCAACAGTTTAACATAGAACCACAGTAGTAGGTAATAGAACATTCCTGTCTTGTTCGGAAAAGACTAAATGAATGGTAACTTCCAGGGATTATTTAGTGAAAATCGCAAGAACAAAGATTCTAACAGAATAGCATAAATTCATTTTATTTCGTTTAGTTCTCGTCAACTGCTTACAACCTGTGATATTTAAGATCATAGTTACATAATGGGTTTAAATTAATAACATGAAAGGGTTTGGTTGGAAGTGATATTGAAGACACATTAGTATAGTATAGCAAGGGTGAAAATGAATTAAATCGACTGAATATTGTAAATATATACCTTATGTGATGAAAGAACATTCTACAACATTGATTGTGACAACAGTTCAAACGGCTAGAAACAAGTGATTATTTGATGAATAAATATTGATAGATGGTGGTTGGAGGTAGTCGACAGTTAACCCTGGACCTGAGTTTCGTGCTACTTGGCACTCTTCAGCAAGGTTTACCTGTAATCTTGAGGGGACTGGTGCTCTCTGGCGGATTCGATCTCGTGTCACCTAGCTTCACAGTCGATAGCATTCGATCTGCTCTAATACGGACTAGACACGCACGACATTGATCGCCACCCACTGATCAATCAATTGTGAAATACTGATAGGAATATGGTGAGTAGAGCTCAGTTAATAAAACATGGTTACTAATCTGGAAGATAGTTGAAATAAAACGCAATGATGTAATAAATACAAGAAAGAGTTTAAAGAAGAAGATGCAACGAAGGAATGTTTGCCACCAAAGAAAGGAAAGGCAAGATTAATGACCATCTCCTTTTGAACATGCAAGTCAGGATTCCGACGCCTGATAGCAACGGCTTCAGAAGACTGGAGTTTAACTGTCTTTCACTTGTTCTGAGGCTTTCTGGGACATGTTCAACAAATCTAAGACATGCGGTCCTTTCTGTTTGGCCAATGTAGCTGCTTTGGCAGGTACACGTAAATTTATAAATAAATTTGGCGATAACATGTATGTATTATATACTTATTATGTAACTACATTATATATGTTCATATTTCTTTTATAATACCTTTCATTTGACCTATTCACTATTGCCATACGATTTATTTCTCTTAATTTATTCTCATTGTTTAATTTACAGTCCCCCCTACTTACAACCACTTTTAGCTTGAACTTGAATAGTTGTTACTTTGAACTTTATGGTATGATGCAGTTTGGTTTGTTTGTATATGAACTAAGTATGTTTGAAATATAATATCCATACGATAGGTGCCGATTATTTTGTTCTGAACTCAACGAGTAGGGCAAAGGGTGCAGCTACTAAATCGAGTTGACTAAATGCTACGACTGTTGGTCAGTGTGTCATTGATTCCCTCAGAGACAAGCTTATAGTGATCAGTATTCTGGTTGGCAGTTCTGTCACGTGATATTTAACAGGGCCATAAATCATAACAATTCCGCTTTACACAATGACATCTTAGGAATTCTCTCCCATACAACCATGAATGAGTAAGACAATAATACACGGGAATTACTATGGAAATTTATTATCTATACTTTGATGAATATAAGGAATAATTTTAGCCGAACAGTATCACACTACCTTCTTTATTTATGCAAATGATCATGTTTAAAAGAGAAACATTGAAGTATAAATTGATGTTCATTCTTTTTCATTAGATGTGGTAGTAGCATTGCATATACTTGAGTCTGTACTCATTTAAATTTATTAGGCAATTCCGTAACAATTGACTTATATGTTCACGTGATTAGCTCTACGTTTCTATGATCATGTATCCTTGATCACATGTTACAGCCTACATATATATTCTCCTTACTAGCCTAAATGCTAATCGTCTGGATTCACTGGACGACTCATTGCTTAGTTATATAGATGTTCTTCTTAATTCCTATTCATTCATCCATTCGTATTCGCTATTTGTATTAGTGTTTTCCTAGTGTGCTTGGTATCTTTATCTTCCGGAATTTATACACGATTAGGAGTTATCTAAAAACAGTTTTCAGTATGAGTGATATACGAAGCATTCGAATTGTTTAAATGAGAATCCACTATAACGTAGTCGTTTGCTCTTATTGATCATCCATTGCAGTAAGCAGTATAGTAGCGCTAATCAAAACTTCGACTTAGTGACATTGTCATAGGAGTGCAATTAGTATTTTTGGAGATAAATAATTAAATCAAAGAATATATGCTTCCAGGTTTTCAATGGTGGTTTAACATCAATCGGTTCATGATCTCAGTCAAAAACTTAAGTTTCCACAACCCTTAAACTGATAATATAACAGTAATTGATGCTATTAGTGTGAAATTCTTAGTTCTATAGTAGATTAGCGATGGGCTTAGTGATGTAGATTTTAAACTTGATTAATTAGTAACTTTTATCTCGAAATTGCAGATACGTGCTACTTACTGTTATAAATTGTGCCCTGTGTACCTAGTAATGTATAACGTAATGATACCGACAATTAGAGAACAGTGACTTATCGACTCAACCAATGACACAAAAAACCTGTACGAGCAGTCTAGAGTCTTTATCGTTCCTATTAAGTTCAGAAAACCAATCTCAACCACCCCTATTTGAATCATTCATTTCAAACATACTGGCTTTATATACCACCAGCCAGACAAACCACATCGTACCAATAAAATATGAAACAACATTTGTACAAGAATTAGCCAAATGTGGCTATGAATGTGGGAGACTGTAATTGATATACAGGGTGTAATTCAAGAATGGTAAATCGTATAATAACAGTTCATAGGTCAAAGAGCGGCCTATGCTCCTTCACGAGGAGTAACAGGCGTAAGTAATAGGTCAAAACAAAGTTAATGATAAGAGGAACGCGAATATGAATAGTTTAGTTACTTAACAATTATACAATAAAAACTAAATGTATCGTATTAGTCCAGAAATAGATCCCAAAAGTTACCATTCACAACATTTACTAGTCTAATTATTCAGTTAATTGTTCTTTGTCAATTACTTTCAACTATATAATCCATAAGCCTTCATGTCTGTGTACAAGATCTTTTTTGTAAGTCTTGATAATCAAGTGTTTAATGAAAGGACTTACTTAGCATCAACACAGAATATAATACTGCTACCTGAAAAATTAATTGTATGTTGTGGTTATAATCGTGGAAATAATGGGGAGAGATTCTCTTTCAGTTTTACAGCTTCAGATTTATATTTTGATTGAAAATAAAAACTACATGGAATTTGTTTTTTTTTTTCTGAAGAATCTTTTATGAACTTTCAACTTGGAACTGATGACTGATTTATCAGACAAGCTTGGATAGATTACCTGGTATCTCATTCTCGTATGGTAGATGAGAGATCTAGGTAAAAGAAGATAACTTCTTAAGGACTCTTAGTCTTTTTACTTAATATAGTTGGTTTACGTGGCATTACAATTTATTATTCATCCAATCAAGAAAATTGCCCCCAAATGCCTTGGTACGGCCGAGAGTGGGGAGAGTCCGCCCTCCCTCTCGAAATGCTCTCACATGGCCACGCATATATAGCCTCTGCCAGGGAAATCCTACTCATTGCCTTCTCGTAGTGGGGGTGTTGCTTACGAAAATGAGAGGACGAAAAGCAAATGTCCGGTGCTAAAACCGGATTCCAAACCAATGGTACACATAGGCTCCAGTATGCTGAAGGAACAAATGGCGTATGAACCAATTGTTGGTCACCGGCTTCCATGGGACTGCATCTCCTTACGATGTTCCACTGCCTTGTGGAGCAGACCTTTAGGTTGAAGGCTCCGGATGTGTCCCTTCAAGAAAACCACCTGCTTCGGCTTAAGCATCCAGGCAGTATCCCATCCCTCAAACAAATCAAATGAGATTTGTGTGGCGCATATATATCTGGTGCCCCCTTGTACCAATACCTATGTGTTCAAACAAACAAAACACTGTTTAAGTTCATACAAGAATTATGTGTTCAATGTAAACTTATGCAGTTATATAATCAGTTCGACATGACTATGAATAAACAAATTCATCGAAAATGATTATGGAAATGAGAAAAGAAGAAGAAGAAGAAGAAGAAGAAGAAGAAGAAGAAGAAGAAGAAAACGTCATAGTCAGTTCGTCAGCTCTTCCGTACAAAGAGTCGAACCTAGGCCACTTTAAATGAAAAAAAGTATTTTTATCGTGAAAGTTTTTGAATTTCTTGTGTTAAACTATTAATCTCATCATTTTGTAATTTAACTAATTGTGAAAGTTGTTTTAATTGTTTCGAATCAACAATTCCTAATGAACTTTGAATCGTTCCAATCTAAAAAGAAAATTAAAGAAAAAAAGAAAAATTATAACAATCATAATAAACAATAATGATACTTTTCCAATGATCAATATGGATACAAGAAAAAATTAGGGGCGTGGTGAATTGATTAAATAAAGCTTTAATAGATAGTGTGTTTTTTGTATCCATAGTTCTCTTTATTATGATCAACAGAGAGAGAGTAAGAATGAAAATTGGTGCAGAATAATAAATGGACTCATTACGTTAGATACTTATCAGCTACTTACAATCGATCAGATTTTAAAATCAATATTATTACAGATATTGACATCTTGATAGTAATTACGAAGGTGATTGGAGATGAATCGATAAGTATTATGATGTAGGATATAGATCAGACATCTGATCATTATCATTTAGGCGTATTTCAAAAGATTAGAGTTTGATTATTTCTTAATCATCATGATTGACCTCAGTGTATCGATTTGATATCCTGTGTATGCAAACAGAAGGAGTAATAAATCTTTCTTTGCCCTGATAACATTACAACCCCCCTCTTCTTTATTTATTACGTCATTCATTATTTCAATTCTTTCTGAAGTTTAAAATTACATCATCATCATCATCATTTTCTTCAATCCATTCTGATAATAATCACCAGTTCACTAGTGATTGACTTCAGGTGATACTCCTGGAGTTCTAGTGAGAAGTTGTTTCCAGTGGAGTTCAACGAGGTCTGTTGTGAGATATCAGCTCACTGAAGACAATGGTATACACTGGCGCAACTTCGTGGATCGGTTGAAGTCAGACATTAACACCGTCGATTGCCAGCCGGCTCAGTGGTCTAGTTGGTTAAGCGCCTGGTGCGAGACTGATAGGTCCTGGTTTCAAATCTCGTGGGGTGCGGGATCTTGGATGCGCACTGCTGAGGAGTCCCATACTAAGAGGAAACGGCGGTTCAGTGCTTCCAGGTTTTCCATGGTGGTCTAACTTCAATTGACTTATGATTTCAACCAGTGACATATCTTTCGTTTTATTGTCATTAATCTATCTTCAGTTAGTCCATTACATAATCATCTAATGTTTGTTAACTCTATGAGTTCTAATCACTCTTTCAATGTTCTGGAAGTTTCCCTCTCAAACTTTATTCATTTATCCAAAACAAACAATTTGTAATGACCCTAATGAACTTTATTGAAATCTTTACTACATCATAATACACATAGATTCATCTCTAATCACCTTCATATTTATTATAAAGAGGTCAATATCTGTAATAATATTGATTTTCAAATCTGATCGATTGTAAACAGCTAATGAGAACCTAACGAAATACAATGAATCCATTCATCACCTAACTTCATTTTGTTCTGTTTAACATAGTTTTTAGATGATTATATGGAAATGAGATATTTTGGAAGCGTTTTTATCAATAAACCTATTTACTATTTATGTTCATCTTTAGATTGTTGCTAACTAATTCTAAATTTATATATCAGACTTTTATATCAAAAAAAAAGATTCTAATTCAGAATATACGGAGATTCGTTATTAATGATACGTCGTGAATTTGCATGACATGTATTATGACGACAAGACGTCAACGTCTGAAGGGAAGCGCGGGATACAATGGACATCTAAGATGCAGTTGGATGATCTAGACTTCGCAGACGATCTGGCCCTTCTATCCCAAACGCAACAGCAGATGCAGGAGAAGACAAACAGTGTGGCAGCAGCCTCAGCAGCAGTAGGTCTCAACATACACAAAAGGAAAAGCAGGATTCTCCGATACAAGACAGCATGCACCAATCCAATCACAATTGACGGAGAAGATTTGGAAGATGTTAAAACCTTTACATATTTGGGCAGCATCATTGATGAACAGGGTGGATCTGATGCAGATGTGAATGCGCGGATCGGCAAAGCAAGAGCAGCATATTTACAACTGAGGAACATCTGGAACTCAAAGCAACTGTCAACCAACATCAAGGTCAGGATTTTCAATACAAATGTCAAGACAGTTCTACTGTATGGGGCAGAAACCTGGAGAACTACAAAAGCCATCATCCAGAAAATACAAGTGTTTATCAACAATTGTCTACGCAAAATACTTCAGATCCATTGGCCGGACACTATTAGCAACAACGTACTGTGGGAGAGAACAAACCAGATCCCAGTGGAGGAAGAAATCAGGAAGAAGCGCTGGAAGTGGATAGGACACACATTGAGGAAAGCACCCAACTGCGTCACAAGACAAGCCCTCACATGGAATCCTCAAGGCCAAAGGAGAAGAGGAAGACCAAAGAACACATTACGCCGAGAATTGGAGATAGACATGAGAAAAATGAACAAGAATTGGATGGAACTAGAAAAGAAGGCCCAGGACAGAGTGGGTTGGAGAATGCTGGTCAGCGGCCTATGCTCCATTGGGAGTAACAGGCGTAAGTAAGTAAGTAAGTATTATGACGACGTGGTTTTTTGTTGGGGAGATCCAGAAAACTCCTCTAAAAAAAAGCCAAGAAGGGCTCTGAGAACACTGAGAAGCATCTTATTAAATCAACGTTCATTAGAAACATCAAGGAAGTGAGAAGTCACATGTAGAGTTTCTGATTGGATGATTACTTATACTGCTACTGTGGTGTGAGGTACTTATATTCATATAAGTAGTATATAACGTGCGTTTAATAAACGTAAGGTCCGGCAGCAGAAGATGGCGAAGATCAAGAGCACAATGGAATTGTAAGAAAACGCATGTACAATGGAATGGGAGACAATGGATTAGTGTTTGCAACGGGAACAGTACAGTTTGATATGATGGAATGATATTTTGCAAATTGACGATTGACTTTATGGTATTCACATTTATTGAGATAGTCTGTAATCTTTGTGCTAAATACAATCGATTGTCCCCACCCGTGTTCTTGTTCACTACACTACTATGTTTTGTAAAATTCCAGAATTTTCGGGGGACCCAAGGACATTTAAAATACTATAAAACCCCTAGATTTTGTTGTAAATAAAAGAAAACTATGGAGTAAAATGTTTCTTACATATTTCACGCCTTTTCTCTTGTGTTCAAGTCGCTGTGTAATTCTAGCCTGAAGGTTACTAGAAGAGTTTAGGAATCAAATCTAAAGTTCAGTTAGCAAGACCTATCATGTTTGTAGTTGAATAATTATACAAAGTACTCTATTGACTTGTCAATATTTTGATTGACAATGAGTGAAAACTTCTGAATGGGAAGTCGATAGCTTACCATATACAGTAGTATTTGAAGTAGACAACTCATAACCGGTTAAGCAATAAAATAAAATAGATGTAATAATCAAGAACAAACATCAATTGAAGAGTTGCTGAAGATTAACAAGCATTAAACAAATATCTTGGTCTATTTTCGAAATCATCTACTAAAGAGAATTTTCAATATTGATATATAACGAAGAGGATACGGAGATAGTTATGACGTTTGGAACCATTACATATGCAAATTATTGTATATATTTTTATGATGGTGCTATATCGAGATAAACACTAGGCAAAAATAGGACTTTCGAAGTTAATATTTAAAGCTTTGTCGTATAATTAATGATTACTTAAATTATAATAACTCCACGTGAAGCCCCTCTGGGGCTACTGCCGGTCCTAACCTCCGATAAAGGAGGAGGGTTGGGCACGGGGTTAGCGACACCATCCCGTAGAAAAAGAACTCGCTAAAAAAACGCTAACCAGGAAAAAATATTCAAATTATTCATAGTCTGCCCTGGGTATCAAAAAGTCTTCATTTAGAAGAGTTATGACACCTCGCGGCGAAAGCCGAGTTCCTTCGGAATTCACGAGATTGATGCTTCTTCTGACAACCAAAGCAACCATTTATTTAGGTATATGGAATGCTCGTACAATGTGGGAGACCGGAAGAGTCTTCCGAATTGCTGCAATTGCTATATTATCATAGTCTTGTATTCTTCTACCTGTAATCTTTGACACGGAATTGATCGTTGTATGTTTTACGTTTCCTAAATTATTGTTAATTCATTATGGTTCCATCATTCAGTTCTATTTCACTTATGACACAGTTACCCCCTCTCATTCCATTGTAATTTCCTAATTCTGTTAATGTTTGATCAGGAATTTGCTCTATATTATTGTGTGATTAGTGATTCACTACTTTGAACTGTATAGTTAGAAGTTGTTTGCTTGCTGATTTGTTCTCCGTTCGGTCTATCTGGTGAGTGAGAGTCGGAAATAGCATTTTGGACAAATAGTCATTTAGTGTTACTCTATGCTTTTATCTCACATTTGTCGTCCAATTAGTTTACCGAAGGCTATTGGTACTACACAGACAATCTGGATGGGCTAATCATTAGTCGGACTAGATAAATACAACTCTTCTCCTATCTTAAGGTATAATCTTACGGGCCCCAAATAATCAAACAGTAAAATCTGTTTAGTTTTGCGGACATAAAAAGATAATTGGATTGTTGCATTTTTTTATTCTGAGCAATGTAAGCTATCGGCTGACCCATAAATTATGGTTATACTCTCTTCATTCGTTACTGGTCTATTACTCCTTTTCTACTTCATCTAGGGCATAGTTATGCGTATACCGTAATTTGTTTATTGTTACTACATAGTCAGGAATATACCAAATACCTGTGTGATCGATAATAAAATCTGCACACTAGAAATCTTAGCTTCTCGTTATGTTTTCTCATTGGATTGAAGACTGAGAGTACAGAAGAAAGTGTGCCAAAATTAGCTCATCACTACTCGAAGTTAATTTTTAGTGGGTGAAGCGTTATATTGTGATGGAGCTGACATGTTTGGTTGTGGTCGTAGTATAAAACTTATTATTTATATTTAACTAACTAATTCTTCAAGAGGTATCATCAGTAACAGCCTACTGTAGGAGAGAACAAACCAGCTTCTACCTAAAGAACAAATTAAGAAAAGACATTGGAAGTGGATAAGACATACATTATGGAAATCATCAAATTGCATCACGAGGTAAGCCCTAACTTTTAATCCTGAAGGGAAACGGAAAAATGGAAAGCCAAAGAACACACTACATCAGCAATTGAAAGTAAACATGAAAAGGATAAATAACAACCGGAAAGAACTGAAAAGGATTGCTCAGGACAGGGCTGGATGGAAAGTGATGGTTGGTGGCCTATGCTTCTCCATGAGGGGTAGTAACAGGCTTAAGTAATTCTCCAATAACCATGTTTTTTTCTTCTTAAACACATAAATATTGTCTATAAACAAACACAATCAATGTTCACTTACTTTTGCACCATTTGCTTGATTCAAATCATTTTGTAATTGTTGATTTTCATTGAAAAGTGTTAATAGTTTTGTTAAATAAACCGTATTTTGACGTATTTGTCCCATACATGAATCTCTTGCATCACGTATTTTAGCCTTCATTTATTAGATTTAACCAAATTGATTAGAATCAGAATCATAGAAGAAAACAAACAAACAAATTATTATCAATGTTCAACGAATTCAATAAATAAAGTATCATAATTTTACGAGTATAGGGGTTGTGGAGATTGTTAAGTTTTTTTGATTGAGATCGTGAACCGATTGATGTTAGACCACTGTTGGAAACCTTGAAGCACTGAAAGGCCGTTTTGTCCTATTATGGGACTCCTCAAGAGTGCGCATCCACGATCCCGCTCACGGGATTCGAACCTAGGGCCTTCGGTTTCAGGCGTGAACGCTTAACCTAATGGACCACTCAGACGGCGTCCAATGGTGAGAGTGTCTAACATCAACCAATCGACGAAATTGCGCCACCATCTTCCATTGTACTGAGGTAGATACCTGTCTTTACCCGACACGGATTAGATCCACTGATCACGGCTTCACACTAGAACTCCGAGAATCTTCTCACGAAGCTAGTCACTAGTGAGCACATATTAATTATCAGTATTGGAGTTGTGGAGATTGTTAATTTTTTTGATTGAGATCATGAACCAATGGATGTTAAATATTTTTATCCTTTTCAGTATTGAAAATCCACATGAAGCTGTGATCAATGGATCTTGACTAAGTTGAGTGAAATTCAGTCAACCTGTTATAGGTGAAGATTAAGTTACCGGTAACTTCTGAGGACTGTTAATAGATTAATATTCTATAAATATTCTTATTGTATAATTATCCAATAATTATCATGTTAAGTCTAATGGTATCCTTGGACTTTAAATGCACATTTCCTATTGGTCAATGTTTATTTCGCTTGTCAAATATTTTACAAATGTTGTTTCCTATTTTATGGTACGATGTGGTCTGGTTGGTTGGTATATAAATAGAGTATGTCTGAAATATAATGATTCATATTGCGAAAACTGGTGTTGTGTTTTTGGACTCGAACAGACGGGGTAGGAGGACCTAGGACCAACAAAGCGCTAGACTGCCCACACCGGCTGAACGTCATTGGTTAGCATAGATTGACGATTAGTATAAGTTGTATTCTGATTGGGGGATAGTTCGTGTGATAGAAAAGTCAGACATCAAGATCATAACAATAGGGATTAGAAGGTGGTTGAGAAATATCATGAACTGATTGAAGTTGAGAAATATGAACTATTGGATCCCAATATAATTGTCTAAAAATTAAGTGAACAACAAAAGATTTGAAGGTTGTAAGTTCAGTCCTTAGTAAAATCGTAAATGGGCAATGCTGAGGAGCCTCATATTAGAATGAAACTGTTGTCTAATGCCCCAGGGTTTTCGATAGTTGTCTGATTGAAGTTAATTCATGACGTACACTATAACATTCAGCGGTTTCGACAAATCCCTGACACTATTCGCAAGAATGTAAGAATTCCTGATAAAATCATAAATGGCTAATTGTCTGTTATAGTTTTGTAGAAATTATTTTACATTAGGATCAGTAGTCGTCAAGGATTAAATCTGAAACCATTACACAACAATATCTACTATACATCTGTTTCATCTTTGTATGGGACTACATAACTGTCCCCAAATGCCCTAGTGCGGCCGACACTAAGGAGAGTCAGCTCTTCCTCTCAAAATGATCGCACATGGCCATGTGCATATAACCACTATCAGAGATATCCTACTCATTGCCTTCTCACGCCACAGTTGTTGTTTAAGAGATTGACAGGACGAAAAGCGAATGTCCAGCGCTTTTACCGGGTTGGTGAGTATGGAGGATCCACCTAGGGAAGTTGGAAAATCCTGTTTCAATCTCAACTCCTGAAATAGCATTCAATTCACATTCTATCGACGAGTCCTACACTAAGATGAAAAGAATATTCAATGCTTCTTGATTGTTCCTGGAACTCAGAATGTAATAATTATCATCTAGAATAATTTATCATTGAAAGAACAAAACAACAAATACTAACCTCTATATTTGCTTCTTCTTTTGTGAATTCCTCTTGTAGTGCCAACATTTTTGTTGTTAAATCTTCTAGTTTAGGATTTACTATAACATTTTCCATTTTTTCAATATCATCTATTCTACCAAATTTATCATTCATTTCTTTATCACATAAAGCTGATAATTTCTCTATTTCTTTCTATTGTGAAAAAAATCAAGTTTATTAGAAAGTTATACAATGAATAGTAATAATAATTCTATTTAGGAAACATATATTTCCTTTCTAACAGATAATGTGTATACTACTTATGTCGATATAAGTAGTATATAACATGAGCCAGGAATAGGATATATCTGGTAGCAGAAGATTGAGAAGATCAAGAAGAAATAGAAAGAAATTGATATGGAAATTCAAGAAATCGGTTTCGTGAGTTTTATCCTGTTTTTTTTGGTCGTCAATCAACACTTATGAACAATCGTAAACTAGAATAGATAACCTTCCAAGTAATTAAACAAATCTCTACGATATATTTAAGTAGGTGTTATGTCTCGACAAGAATAATGAATGGTAACTTTTGGGATCTATTGATGGACCAATACTAAACGTATATTTCTATTGTATAATTGTTAAGTGTCTAAACTATTCATATTCGTGTCCCTCTTATTATAAGCTTCATTTTGATCTATGAACTATTATTTTACGATTTACCATTCTTGAATTATACCCTGTCTAATAATTATTACCTCCCTCATTCACAGCCACATTTGGCTAATTCTTGTACAAATGTTGTTTCCTATTTTATGGTACGATGTGGTCTATCTGGTTGGTATATAAACCGAGTATGTTTGAAATAAATGATTCATATTTCAGAGGCTGAGATTGATGTTCTGGACTCAACTGGCTGGGCTAGGCGGAAAGTAGGACCATTCAGGACTCTAGGCTGCTCGCACGTGTTTTACGCGTCCTTGGTCCGATCGATAAGTCACTGCCCTCTAATTGGCGGTCACAAGTTATAACAGTAAATCGATTTCTTTTAATACATATACGATTGTCTTAAATGAATGTTTTCATCCTTCAGTAATAGTTTTTGTGATATCCTAGTGAAAGTTAAACTATAGGTAACTTCTGAGAATTCTTTATGGACATATACATATATATTCTTATTGCATAATTATTCAATAACTGGATTATCTATATCTATATTCCTCTTATCATAAGCTTCATTTTGACTTATAGATTATTATTATACGATTTACTGTTCTTAAGTTATGTCCAGTTTATTCATTACAGTCTCCTTTAATCACAGCCACTTTTATGGCTTGATCTTTGTATAAATGTTATTTCCTATTTTATGATGTGATGTGATCTTTTTGGTTGGTATATAAACCCGGTATGTTTGAAATAAATGATTTGTATAGTGGAAGCTGTTATCGATGTTCTGGACTCAACTAGCAGGTTTAGGAGAACAATGGACCAGTAAGGAAGCTAGGCTTCTTATACTGTTCAATGCGTCATTGGTTTGGCACAGTACTAAGATTGTTTAAGTCGTAGTTCGATTGACGAATAAGTCACGTGATAATTAAACCGGCTTATTGTCTACAGTTGATGAATTCTGATCATCAGATTTATCGACTAGATTATTAGTTGAATTATGGAACTTTTCCTGGACACTATTAGGAACAACCTACTGTTGGAGAGAACAAACCAGATCCCAGTGGAGGATAAAAATCAGGAAGCAGCGCTGGAAGTGGATAGGACACACATTGAGGAAAGCACCCAATGGAGTCACAAGACAAGCCCTCACATGGAATCCTCAAGGCAAAGGAAGAGAAGAGGAAGACCAAAGAACACATTACGCCGAGAAATGGAGATAGATATGATAAAAATGAACAAGAATTGGATGGAACTAGAAAAGTAGGCTTAGGACAGAGTGGGTTGGAGAAAGCTGGTCGGCGGTCTATGCTCCTTTGGTAGTAACAAGCGTAAGTAAGTAAGTACCATGGAAAACCTGGAAGTAATGGACGGCACTGGATGCATAATAAACATCAATAATAGTCGTACTAAAATTATGCTGATAATTATTTGGTTCTTTCAGATTGTTTTAGATGAATGTTATATTAATTGTGAAGCGTAAGTTTTACATGATTCAGGACAAAAATTACGTTATGATTTTTAAAAAGTTTCATTTTCATGTTCTAAAGTATCTTTAACAGTTCTAAGAAGTTAGTGTCACTAATCGACACGTTGTTCCTCAATTTTTCGTATTCTCGCTATCTCACTGACACCCTCGTATGAGGGCCTTGTTATTCAGTTAGTTAAGCTTCTTGAATGGAGAGAGTTATTTTACTCAGTGTTTGAATTAGGCGTTTAGAACATGCAGATAATCACTGCTGAATATGCAAGCGAATAGTTGTAATGTCACAGGAAACAATTAGCACTGTATATGACTTACATAATCTTTTGTATCTTCATGTCGACATCAGCAATCACCGGCTAATGTGCGAGCAGAAATTCACAGTGCCCAACAACAGGAGTATCACGAATCGGAGAATAATCTTATATAGATTATTGATCCTAATTAATTAATTACGTCTGTTATCCCCGATGGTCCATAGACCGCCGACCAGCATTCTCCAACCCACTCTGTTCTAAGCCTTCCTTTCTAGCTCTATCCAATTATTGTTCATTCTTCTCATGTCTGTCTCCATTTCTCGGTGTAATATGTTCTTTGGTCTTCTGTTTCTCATTTGACATTGAGGAATTCAAGTGAGTGCTTGACTTGTGTGTCCTATCCACTACCAGCGCTTCTTCCTGATTTGTTCTCTCCCATAGTAGGTTGTTGCCGATATCGTCTGGCCAAGGATCCGAAATATTTTGCATAGACAGCTGTTAATAAACACCTGTATCTTCTGAATGATGGCTTTCGTAGTTCTCCAAGTTTCCGTCCCATACAGTAGAACTGTCTTGACATTCGTATTGAAAATTCTGACTTTGGTGTTGATTGACAGTTGTTTTGAGTTTCAGTTGTTCTTGAATTGTAGATATGTAAATTGTTGATCACATTTCTTGATAGCTTTTGCTCATGTATCATATTTACTTATTCATTCCCTACCCTAGGGTTTCAACTTAACGTCTTATTGATAGAATCATGTTCACCAATAATTATCTTAGCAACTTAGTTTGCATATTTATCTGACAGGACATATATATGTGTATACAGAGTCAAAGTGATATCTTATCGGAACGAAATGAAAGAATCACTACCATACTATGTCAATAATAAGGAGAAATTTTGACTTGAAATTCTCCACAACCCCTATACTGATAATTACTACATGCTCAATAGTGACCAGCTTCGTGAGAAAATTCTCGGAGTTCTGATGAGAAGCCGTGTGAACAGTGGAGCTAATCCGTGTCGGGTAGAGACAGGTATCTACCTCAGTGCAATGGAAGATGATCGCGCGATTTCGTGGATTGGTTGAGGTTAGACATTAACACTATTGGATGCCGGCTGAGTGGTCCATTAAGTTAAGCGTTCGCGCGCGATACTGAAGGCCGTGGGTTCGAGAGCCGCGAGAGGGATCGTGGGTGGGCACTGCTGAGGTGTCCCACAATAGGACGAAACGGCCATCCAGTGCTTCAAGGTTTCCAACGGCGGTTTAACATCAATCGGTTCATGATCTCAATCAAAAAATTCTATTACATGTACCTTTGAAACGGCATTAACAGAATCGTCCATTTATCGATAACTAGTATATGAATATATATAAAACTCCGCCTGGGGCCCCTCTATGGTAATACTGGTCCCAAAGCCCAGATACAAGAGAAGGGTTGGGCATGGGGTAAGTGACCCCACCCCTCAAAACTAACCTGAAATAATTTTTTATATTTCTGTAACATAATATGATGTGTTCTGGCTTGTTTTCTTTCAATTCTTTGTTGTTTCTGCTCTAATTCTAATTCATGAATACGTTTTTGTAATGAATATAAATTCTGCTTTAAAAATATTAAACTATTTGTCATATCCGATGGAATAGAATGTTGAGCTATTTGATCTAATCGTAATATAACAACAATTTCTAATTCATTCAATTTACGTTGTTTTTCTAACTGAAATAAACAAACAAAGAAATTGAAACTATCAAACAAATAGAAAGAAGAAGGTAGATGATAGAATGAATGTGTACTATAGACCAAGTAGAATTTCGATTATAGGCATACTTTTTTTCACATATGTGGATTAATAAAGTCTCCAAATGATCTGATACGGCTGAGGGTGGGGAGAGTTAGCTTCCCCTCTAGAAATGATCTCACATGGTCATGCGTATACAGTTATTGACAGGGAATTCCTACGCACTGACTTTTAGTGGAGGGGGTGTTGTTTACGAAAATGAGAGGAAGAAAAGCAAATATCCGGCGCTTTAACCGGGTTGGTCAATACAGAATATCCATGTAGGAGAGTTGGAAAACCCTGATTCAAAACCAGTGGTGCACAAAGACTCCATGATCCTGATGGAACAAATGGCGTGTGAATCTATTGTTGGTTATCGGTTACCATTGGACTTCATCTCCTTATGTTGCTCAATTGCCTTGTGGACCAGACCTTTATGTCGAAGGTTCTGGGTGTGGCCCCCTAAGAAAACTACCTGATTCAATTTTGGCACCCAGGTAGTATCACAGCCCACACACAAATCAAGTGACTTTTGTGGCGCATATGCATTCGTTGCCCCTTTGTTCCAACATTTATGTGTTCAAATAAATAAATTAATTAATGAATAAAGCAGTCTAGAATGTAGTATCTAAAAGATCCTAAATCATTAACGTAAATTAAACCATGAAAATTTAATTTTCAATAGTTACCAAGAAGGATTGTTTTTTCTGGTTAGCGTTTCCTTAGAAAAGTTAACTCCCAAGGATGGAGTTACTGACCTAATGCTCAATCCTCCTCTTTTCCATGTGCGTGAGAGCTGCAGTAACCGTAGAGAGGCTACTGGCGAACTATACTATAATGTTGTACATGAAGGATAGCTCACAGATGTATTCCAAGTGAGGACCGGTGTCAGACAGGAATGCTTACTCCCCCCCTTCGTTTTCTTCTGATAGTTGATTAGATTATGTAGGCCTCCACATCTGAGAGGAAGCACAGAATACAATGAACAGCTTGCATCCAACTAGACGATTTAAACTTCGAAGATGATCTAGCTTTAATATATCTTCTGCTAATGTCCTAAAACTTTCCCGTAGTAAGAGACAACTTACTGATAAGTATGAATTTAGATTCTAAGCTTATCAATATTCTTTTGGTAGATAGTTTTCAAAATCATTTGAAGACTAATATTTCTTTAAAGACAATGATTTCGAAAAACCTGATATTCCGGTTGTACAACTGACATTTGATGGATACAAGTTGCATAATTAGTTGTGGAAACAGTAAAGAAGATTTGTAACTTAAGGTAAACATTTCGATTATGTTGCTTATTCTAAGCATCATGAATTGTTCATTGACTTTCCAAACAACATCATCAACAAAGATCTCACTTTGCAATATCTGTAATTAATAATAATAAGTTTAAATACTTGGTACTTGAGATGGTGAAGATTTGTAGCTCAGGTGGATGATTTTGGTGGAGTTTTGTTCTCTGAGCTCAGAGAACAAAACTCCACCAAAACTTGGTACTTGAGCTACACAATTCATTTCATAAAGGTTGATAATACCAATAAAGTGACAGAACCGTAGTACGCACAGTAGAATTCAAGCCCGAGAATCAACAGTTGAATCACAAAGATATTGAACAGACTATGAGTTACAGCCCAGCAAAAGAATTATCATTGCAAGGAACACCCTTCTTTAAAAAAAAAACATATTCTTAAAAACAGTGATATGCTTAAATTACTCTTTACCTGAAATGCTTCCAATTCATTTTGAGCTTGTTTTAATGTTGTTTCAACAACACGTTGTTTTTTAGTAAATATATCTAAATCTTTACGTAATATATCTAATGTTTTCTTTTCTTCACTCATTTCTTCTTCAACATCTAGACGTTTCTCTCTAATTAAACAAGTACGTTCAAAATCTTCCATTGGACAACCTGGTGGACATGTATCTAAATCCATAATAACAACATCTTCATTTTCATCATCTATTTCTTCGTAACTGGAATCATCATCAGATGATGATGATGAAGAAGATTCTTCTGATTCATCTTCAGAACCTTGAAATTTTTTTTGAAAAAAATAGTTGAAACAAAATAAATCTAGTGGTATCTAAATTTTATTCAGACGACTGTTAGTATCGCTGTATTTTCCCCCAACTACCCTGGTACAGCCGAGAGTAGAGAGAGTCAGCTCTCTCTCTCTAAATGCTTTCAAACGACCACTTGCATATAACCACTGCCAGGGAAGTCCTACTGATTTCCTTCTCGCAGCGGGGGTTTTGTTTACGAAACTGAAAGGACAAAAAAGCTAATGTCCGGCACTTTAACCGGGTTGGTGGACATAAAGAGTTCACCTAGGGGAGTTGGAAAACCCTGATTCCAAACCAATGGTGCACAAAGACGGCAGGATCCTGAGGGAACAAATGACGTATGAACCTATATTTCGTCACCGGCTACCATGAGATTGCATCTCCTGATGTTGCTCTACTGCGTAGTGGATTAGAACTTTAGGTCGAAGACTCTGGGTGTGGCCACCTAAGAAAACCACCTGCTTCGATTTGGGCACCCGGGAAGTATCCCAGCCCTCACACAAATCAAATGATTTATGTGGCGCATATCTATTCGCTGCCTCCAGGTACCAATGTTTGTGTTTAAATAAATAAATAAATAAATATCGTTGTATTTAACCATGGATCGTAAGGATTTCACTGTTGTATCCTTTAATCTTTATAAACTCACCTCCATATGAATCAGCTACTGGTAATATTGTCTGGAATGACAGTGTAAGTTACTAAGCACGCTAACAAAACTATCCCTTAAACCAACTTGTTTACTAAAAAATCACTGTGATGTGCCGTTATTATTTTGGCAATCTATCTAAATGAAACCAACGAACAAATGATTGTGCTAAATAAATAAATGCGTATATTCACAGTATTCCAGCGTCAACAAAGAAATCTACACTAAATGATTACTGACGAGTGATCAATGTCATTTTGTTGATTCTTTAGCTTGTTGGGCACATTCCAACTCAACTGACAAGATTTCATGAGCTTCAAAAGTCACTTAAATGATGACAGTGATCAGTACAAAATGTTATTGCATTTATGTTATCCCTCGTTTTTACCAATCAATGAATCTGCTAACGTCCAGCGTTGGTTTACACCGATTAAACTTTATTTCAAGTGGAGATTTTGAATTGTTTTCCTTATTGATATACAGTATGTATTTACAACGGGTTATCATAATGAGTAAATGGTAAATATGTGATCAACAGTTTAATTTTATAGCAGTCTAAAGACCAAACAAAATAAAACTGGTCACAACTTTTTGGTCAGTCAGTTACAACATAGGAACAGGCACATATATACATCCGTTCACGTTGACACATCTCATTAGCACAACAAGATGAACATCAAATACATAGAAGTGGTTAAGTCAATGGTAGTAATATATAAAAGAAAGATTGCATATAAGGACATAGTACAGCAAGAAAGATTTAGTTCGTAGAAAGAAAGACATAAAGCGATTTTAATCTCATAGTTTAAGGGAAGACAGAGAGTGTATACACCTACGCCATTGTGATCGATTCTGAGCTATGTCACCAAGAGTCTCCAACCATTGGTTACGATAGTCACATGGACCCTAACCAAGTAGTCTGCATCTACCAACATGACACAGAACAGAAGTTAGTGACTTTGTGGATTGATGCCACGGTTTGGTTTGGCCGCCCCTAACTTTCTTCCAACCATCCCCTATACTAGTCAACATTGCGCGTCGCGGTAATCGGTGTTCAGACATACGTAACACGTGACCCAACGATGTTAGTCGATGAAGATTTACAACTCCATCAACTCATTTACCATCATTCCCTAATACTCTGCATCTAACCTCACTATTACTTGTTCGATGATCCTAACAGATGCGAGCAATATTTCTAAGACATCTGTGGTCAAATACTAGTAGCCTGAGAGTATCCTCTGCTCTTAATGGCCACGTTTCGTAGCCATAAAGTAGAACAGAACGAACTGCCGCGCAGTATATTCATAATCAACTCTTTGACCAACTGATGTAGATATTTTCAACAGTTGAGATCATGAGTCAATTGAATCTAGACCACCATGGAAAACCTGGAAGCACTGGACGGTCGTTTCGTCCTATTTTTGGACTCCTCAGGCAGTGCGCATCCACGACCCCGCCTCGCGGGATTCCAACCCAAAACTTATCAGTCTCGCGCCAGGCGCTTAACCAACGGCGTTAATATCTAACTTCAACTAATCCACGAAATTGAGCGACACATCCACCATTGTCATCAGTGAGTTACTACCTCAGTCCTACAAGAGTTCAGTCGAGGGTTGTCTAATTCAACACTAAAGTCTCTAACTATGACAATATACAAGCGTTGGTCAAAATCTCCTCCCTCCTTACCTTAAATTATCACACTAATTTAAGAAGATATTAGAATGTATAATTGATCTGCTACAATTTACCTGTTACCACCTTGGTCTCTTGTGCTGTTACGGGTATGAGGGCTGATATCACTTCCCGGCTGCCCACACCGTGGAAGGGTGTTTCTTGAGGAACCTGAAAAGGAAATTGGATTAGTGTTGGTCTTGACGACCTGGGAGGGTGACCGCAGAGCCCAAGGGACCACTGCTTGAGGCCGGTCGCGCACGGCCTTTTTGTGGAAGGTTTTTGACGTGTTAGCTCCGTTCTTCAAAGGGCCTTACCGCCGGAGACGGAAATCCGTGAGGTAAGGTGAGGTGTGACATTTTTAGGGTCGACCTTTCCTAACCCCACCCCTCCTTGTGGGAAGGCAGCATCGCTGTCATGCTGGATGTCCGAGGGAAACACCTTACTGCTGTCACACCTCTCTACAGTCAGCAGTACGACTTCGCCCTCAGACCTTGAGTTGCTGCTTTTAGTCTTACCGTTCACCAATCGACCTGCCTGGCATGGTAGAACCTGCAGGAACATATGTTCCAGCCAATATAGCTCGGTTGGGTCATCACGATAGGCAAGCCCGACCACCGCGTCAAGGTAGCAGCTTCGATCGGGACACGTGTTACGTATGCCCAACGACCGACTGCCTCGACGTGCGATGTTCAGTGGTATAGGAGTAGGTTGGAAGAAAGCTAGGGGTGGCCAAACCAAAACATGGCACAAGTCCATGAAGTCACTGACAAGTGAACTGAGTCATGTTGGTAGGTGTAGACTACCTGGTTGGGGACCGGGACCGCGAGATGATAGCAACCGATGGTTAGAGACCCTGAATGACATGGCTCAAAATCGTTTGCAATGGCGCAGGTGCATCCACTCTCTGTGTTTTCTCAAATTCTAATCTTCTGAATTCTTCATGTCCCTTTTTTCCTCTTTCCAAATTTATTTCACTGGATTATACTCTTCAAGTAACATCTTCAAACCCTAATCTTCCTGCTTATACTGCTTATACTCTTATTACCTCTACCACTATGGGATTTGAATCGACAACTGCATCTCTGTGCTAATGTGGTGTGGCAACTCGAACTGATGTACGTACGTACGAAGTTCTACGTTGTTACTGACTGACTGACTGACTGACAATTTACCTGAATGAATTAATTCTTGCTTCTTTCGTTTAATACGTTTTTTAAATACTTTTGTAAGAAATTCTATAAATTTATGTGAATCATCTAAACTTGTTTTAAATTCTTCATGAATTTGATGTTCACGTTGAGAAAGACGTTCTAGATCTTTCTTTTTTTGTTCAAGTTTCAAAGTTAATTCATTTACCTTTAAAATAAAATTTAAAAAAAAGGAAATGAAACGATTATCAGAAAGGGATATTTTGTAGAGATTGTAGTAATTTGAAAATAGTTGAGATCATGATTTAATTGAAGCTAGATCATTATGGAAAACCTGGAACCGTTGGACAGCTGTTTCTTCCTGGTATAGAACTTATCAACAGTACGTATCCACAATCCCTCTCTGCAGGATTCGTACCAAAAACCTATCGGTCTCGTACGTGTACGTTTAAACTTTAGATCAATAAACCGGTATCCAACGGTGTTATTGTTTAACTTTAACCAATCCATAAAATTGAGTCACTGTCCATCATTGTCTTCAGTGAAATTGTTAGTGACCAATTTTTTCCAACAAAAACACCCGTTAAAATTTTATTGTCAGCTGATCTTTACTTCAAATGAAATTGTTAAGTTTTAAAATAGAACAATAAAATAAGAGTCTATATTAGTAGTATAGTAGAGGAGAACAACAATAGGGAGAATCGACTGCATTTGAACGTCTTAGTAAAATCTGAGAACCATATACTAAATAGTGCAAAATGTTAATCAGTCATCTTAGACTTTATTGTTTATTTTCGTTTCCACACCATTCATTCTCTGTTCTTGTTCCTTTTTTTCTTCGATCTTCTTAACCTTCTGCTGCCAAGTCCTACTTTTTCGATTGATGATAGATACTATTTATGTCTGTTGACATCAGGAACACACACCACACTACGAGATATTCATTAATTAACCCATTTTAGGTATGAATTGAATTAAAAGTCAGCGAATAAGTTCTTAATCATTAAGATCAACATCAAATGTATGAATTGTGATAGGTTGATTTTTCATTTAATGAAGATAGAAGTCAAGTGTCTACACAGTATGAATTGGTAGATATAATTCCTAGTTCAGATGAATCCTTTAAGATAATGATAAGTGTTTCGAGGTGAATAGTTTAATTATATAACTTTAGCTATCGTTCTAGACAGGATTGTTGAACCTTTAAGCTTTTATAGTGAACCAATTACTTTCAGATTATAATGTCCGGATACCATCAGCAACAGCTTAATGTGTGAGAGAACAAACCAGTTTCCAGCTGAAAAGGAAATTAGGAAAAGATGATGGAAATAGATAGGACATACATTATGCAAATCACTAAACAACATCCCAAGGTAAACCCTAACTTGAAATCCTGAAGGGAAACGGAAAAGTGAAAAGCCAAAGAATACATTACATCGAGAAATAGAAGCAGATATATGAAAAAAGATGAATAACAACTGAAAGAAGCTAGAAAGGATTTCCCAGAACAGGTTTGGATAGAGAATGCTAGTAGGCGGCTTATGTTCCTCCATGTAGGAGTAACAGGAGTAAGTATTTGAATTCAACATATTCAATTTGTTCAACTTACCTTATTAGTAATATCTTGTTTTTCTTCTAATCTATTTTTCATTTTTTCCATTAAAACATATTCAGATTTATCAAATTCTTTTAATAAACAATATTCATTATATAATGTACATTGATATAATTCAGAACGTTTTAATAATACACCTAATTGATAACGTTGATGACGGAATGAATGAATTTCTCTATCAAAACAACGAACTAGTCGACTAGCTAATTGTAATAAATGATTACGATAATAAATTGCTTTAATACATTTTTGTTCTTTATATTCCATTTCTAATGATCGTAACATTGTACTACTTTGATTGATTTCACTGAAAATACCAAAAAAAAATAAAGAGAAAAGAAACAAATGAGAAAGAAGTAAAAATGGGCGAAACTTTAATTTATGAATGAGTCAATTAGAAGCGTTTGAGGAATTTCAAGGTTACGGAGCCAAGTTCAATACCTGATGCTCACATACGATCGGTTTACAGCGAATTTTAGAGAAGAGGTGATTATTGAGCGGCTACAAGAGATGAGACTAATAAGAAGTTCCTGTATCTGTGATTGGGGTTATCAAATGACTGCAGTATAGTGTGCAGATTATCGTGATGAGATTGTATTTCGTTGTTGTTTATGTTGGAGAAAAAAGTCTGCTCGAACGAGGACTTTCTTCACTCGATCGCGACTGAGACTGAGGCAAATCATGATAATAGTTGTAAATTGGATAATAAAGACACCAGTAACACTGACTGCGGCGTTTGCAGATGTTACTGAAACTTCAGTCGTCCAGTGGTATGAGTATTAATGTGATATATGTGCACTTAAAATGACTAGTCTACACGAATCACTCGGGGGAGTCGGAAGTATTGTGGAAATAGATGAAACAGTAGTGCGAAAGCGATAATACAACAGGGAACGTTGTATCAAGGAAGATTGGGTAAGTAGCACTTTCGTAAATATACTTGACAGATACTTGGAATTTATGGTCGCTCAACACAAAAGGGGCATTTTCAGAGGGTCAATAACCGGCAAGCAAGCACAATAATACCAATTATACAGGAATATCTGCAGCCGGGCAATACGACATATACAGATGATTGGAGAGAGTATAGATGCCTTCATAGACTTGGGTATGTCCATCATGTCGTAGTGCATAAACGCCATTTTTTCGACCCTACTACGGGCGTTCATACTAACAACATTAAAGCCATGTGGTCGAGACTGTAGGAATTTTTAAGACCGTATCACGGCTCCAGAGGATGACTATTATGGAGCCATATGGACGAGTTCCTATATCGTATGCATTATGATTTTAGAACATCTGAACCTTTATCAAACCTTATCAAGTTTTTAAATCATGTAGAAGAAGAATATCTATTGTAATTCATCAGTTTCTTATAATATATTTTTACTTCATACTAACTGTCTTCTGATTGGCTAAGAATTGCCAAGGTGGCGAGACTCTAATTTAGGGACGAGCCAATCAGAAGCGTTTGAGCAATTTCAAGGTCACCGAGGCAAGTTCAACAGGCGCTGCTAACATACGATCGGTTCACAGCGGATTTTAGAGAGTAGGTGATTAATGAGAGGTTACAACAGATAGGACGGCGAGACTCTAATTTAAGGGCGAGCCAATCAGAAGCGTTTGAGCAATTTCAATTATTAGTCAATCGGAAGACAGCATAAAGTAAAAATATATTAAAAGAAAGTAATAAATTACAGTGGATATTCTTCTTTAACATGATTTAAAAACTCGTATGTTAGCATCCTAACCCTAACCTTAACCCTCACCTAACTCTAACCATCACCTAACTCTAACCCTAAACCTTAACCCTCAACTAACCCTAAACCTTAACCTTAACCCTAAACCCTCACCTAATCCTAAACCCTAACCCTAAACCCTCACCTAACCCCAACCCTGACTAACCCTAAACCCTAACCTTAACCCTGAACCCTCACCTAACCCTAAACCTTAACCCTCAACTAGCCCTAACCCTAACCTTACACGTAAACCTAACTCTAACCCAATAGACGAGTTTCTATTCCATATGCATTGTGAATTCAGAACCTCTGAACCTTCATCAAACCTTAACAAGTTTTTAAATCATGTAAAAGAAGAATATCCATTGTAATTCATTACTTTCATATAATATATTTTCACTTTATACTAACTTTCTTCTGATTGGCTAATAATTGTCAAGGTCACTTAGGATTCGTTCAAAGGTCGTCCTTAAATCAGAGTCTCGCCGCCAAGGTCATTCAAGATTCGTTCAAGGTTGGTCCATAAATTAGAGTCTCTCCAAAAAAGGTGTTATGATCAAAGATCATGTCCTATTACGTTAATATTTATTCACAGTTGATTGATCACTGGATGAGTGATGATGAACGTCATGTATCAAATCGTTCTTAGTGCAGATCGATCAAGTTGCAATGTGACCACTAGTCTAGGTGACTCGACATTACGTGCAACTATATTGAGGTAAGATGGTGGTTGGAGGTAGTCAACAGTAAACCCTTGAACCCGAGTTTTGTGCTGGTGAGTGGCCTATGCTCTTCCACGAGCGGTAACAAGCATAAGTAAGTAAGTAGTCTTTTAAACTGTAATCTTCTAATCTAATCAATAGTGTAATCAGTCAGTCAGCTACAACGTAGGAACAGGCACAAGTTGCCATACCGCGTTAGCACAGCAAGATGGACACCGGATTCATACAAGTAGTTAATTCAATAATAGTATTATATAAAAGAAAGATTGCATATAAGGATATAGTACAGGAAGAAAGATTTAGTTCGTAGAAAAATATGAAGCGATTTGAATCTCTTAGTTTAAGGAAGGATAGAGAGTGTATACACCTACGCCATTGTGATCGATTCTGAGCCATGTCACCAAGAGTCTGCAACCATTGGTTACGATAGTCACTCGGATCCCAACCAATTAGTTTGCATCTGCCAACATGGCACAGACCAGAAGTGAGTGACTTTAAGCACTGATGCGACGTTTTGGCTTGACCGCCCTTAACTTTCTTCCAACCATCCCTATTTCTGATGTCACACATCAATTCACACTTCACTTCTATCTGAAATTTATGCTGATGATGTTATTCAGAAGAACGATAGAAGCTCCACGACTAAACCATCCAGTTCAGAGAACAAAACTCTATCAAGATTAAACTTACTTTAAATTTATATCTTCCGTTTGATTCTCATTCATCATGTAGGAATTCATTTTATCTGGTCTTATTGGATGATATATTGATATTTTTATTGTATCATCGGTATCTTTTGTTTGATTTTCTTGTTGCTGTGATTGTTCTTCTATTGTTTCATTATTATATAATGGATTATTGATTGACATTTCATCAAATACATTATGTAATGATGGTTTTAATAAAGAATACTTTTGATTTGAATTATTTAATCTAGTTAGATTATAATGATCTGATGCTAAACAATGTAATGGAAACCAAATAACATCTATAGTATCTGTTTCATCATTACAATCAATCATATTGAGATTACGGAATTCTTTGATAATTTCTGGTTCTTTCCAATGACAACGTTCTTCAGGTGGAATACATTCAGTAAATGAAAGTATTTTATTTGATGGCTTCTATAGTAAAACAAAAAAAAAGATAATAGAATCCAAGACGAAAGAATAGGTTTTCAGGTTGACTTTATGAAAACATTGTTAATTCAATGTTATTGTTATTATTTTGACGAATATATTTGAAAACGATGAAGCTAATATAGTAATTTCAATAATTGAGATCATGAATCAATTGAAGTTGGACAACCATGGAAAACCTGAAAGCGTTGGATAACTGTTTCGTCCAAGTCTATTGTGAGATTGTAACTGACTGATGATAATGGTGAATGTGTCACTGGATTTCGTGGATAAGTTGAAGTTAGACATTAACACCGTTGGATACCGACCGACTCAGTGGTCTAGTGGTTAAGCGTTTGAGTGCGAGACTGATAGGTTCTGGGTTTGGATTTCGCTAGACGGGATCATGGATTCGCACTGCTGAGGAGTCCAACAATAGGACGAAACGGCCCTCCAGTGCCTCCAGATTCTCTAAAGTGGTCTATCTTCAATTAACTCATGATGTCGACTATTTAAATAATACCGAAATGTTGACTAATGTCATCTTTTCATAGTCTATTAATTTAGATTAAATCCAATAAATCAAGTTTCAATGTAATCACTAGTCTAAGTCATTTAAAATCACGTCTAATATATTGAAGTGTTAGTTGTATGGAGATAATTGATAGTAAACACTGGTTATGTATTAGTTGCCATATGTCAACAACATATATGTGTAACTTTGAGAGGGAATCGATATTCCCTGTGGTATTCTAGCCTGCCTTATTCAGTTTCATAGTTTAACAGATTATTAGAACTGAAATATTAACAGTTGATTGATCAATCACTACTGAACAGTCTATCGTTCAAATCTTAATGTGATATTCATTACTTTAAGTTCACACGTACACCTTCTTAATAAATGCCAAGTAGCTTGAGAAATAGGTCCAGAGTTTCTTAATCAATTTATTTCTATTTATCTAATTAGTTAATATACGTTGGAAGTACATTATACCTCGTTGATGTTGATGATAATTGATTTTATTATTATTATTGTGTTTACTTAACAAATCAATCAATAATTGTTGTAACGGGTGGGTGACTGCAGGTTTTTGATAAGCAGCGTTATTTATCGATCGCGATCTGTGACAGTGACACGGAAAACACGTACGGACGACCTAGTGCCCTGATTGGCCCTGCTTCGCTGTCCGTCCTAGCCCAGTTGAGTGAAGAACACAAGTCACAGCCTCGGAGTTATGAATCATTGTATTTCAAACATACTCTATTTATATACCAAGCAAACAAACCACATCGTACCATAAAATAGGAAACAACATTTGTACAATATTTAACAAGTGAAATAAACATCGACCAATAAGAATGTACATTTAAGGTTCAAGGACACCATTGGACTTAACATGATAATTATTGGTCTCATTTTCCGACTATCCCAACAATAATATTCAACCAAACTCAATAAATCGATAATATCATGTACTGCTAAGCAACTAATGGTTATAACTAACATAGAAAGTCACTTAGTTACCAATTGAACTATATAAAATAGAATTCATTTTTGTATGGATTGTTTGGATTTTCTTATTGATGTTTAAACCTTCAATTGATCAGTCTCTTATTGGTCAATATGTACATTCTGTGAGGATTGTCTTGATATACTACACAAATATTTATAATCCTATATCATCACTACAGAGATAGTAATGACAATTCACAAAATCAATGCATAGAAATAACAGTAGTATTAACGATTAAAGTTTTTGAGAAAAAAGAAAAAAAAATTTACGAAAGAGAATAAACTAATCGTTCCACCTCCCTCTGAATGAAAATCAAGTGGTTGCTAATTACGTAATACCAATTTTTAGTTTATCCGCTTAGAGAATTTTTTGTAGTTTATTCCATTTGACATTAATAAAAGTGGATACTTTATACGTACGTAACACAGATTTCAACCTTATTAATCGATGTCAGTTAGTCACTTGATGTATAGTTCTAAACAGATTGTTAGTTATGTCTATGTTAGTTCCCGATAAACATAAAGAATGGTCACTTTGGGATCTATTGATGGACTAATACTAAACGTATATTTCTATTGTATAAGTGTTAAGTAACTAAACTATGTATATTCATATTCTTCTTATTATGAGCTTTATTTTGACCCATAAACTTTTATTATACCATTTACCATTCTTGAGTTATGCCCAGTCTATTAATTACTGCCTCCCTCATTCACAGCAACATTTGGCTAAATCTTGTACAAACGTTATTTTCTATTTTATGCTACGTTGTGGTCTGTTTGATTGGTATATAAACTCAGTATGTTTGAAATATGAGGATTCATATTGCAGAGGCTGAGACTTGCGTTCTGGACTTAACAGCCTGGGCTAGGCAGGAAGCAGGACCAATAAGGACTCTAAGTTGCTCGTACGTGTTTTACGCGTCCTTGGTTCGATCGATAATCCGCTGCTTCTGATTGGCGGCTTTGGGCTATAACAGTCTACAAATAACCAATCAGATCGTTGTTGTTAAGCTCCCACTACGTCAATTTGGTCTGATTTATCTGTAGACTAATCCCTATTGCATGTAACCTAACAATTGAAGGACATTATTATCCTATTATATTAGTGTGACGAACTCCGTCTGCGGCCCCTCTGCCGTTGGGCATGGAATTCCCGACTTTATCCTGTAGAAAACTAGAACGCTATCAAAAAAATATTTGTATGACTCATAATATTTTCATTCATTTCGATAAGATACGCAACACTGGTCGGTATGTTTGCACGTTCCACTTAAAGACTATAACTCTTATAATTATTACTGTACTAATCAAATCTTGCGGGGTGGGATCATGGATGCGCACTGCCAATGAGGAGTCCCACAATAGGAAGAGTTAGCCATCCAGTGCTTACAGATTCTCCATAGTGATCTAGCTTCAATTAACTCATGATCTAAACTATTGAAACTACTATAATATCCACAATAAACCCCATTCTGATATTAATCAAACTGTTACTTTTACTGAGATCATATACCGATTGATGTTAGACCACTATTGAAAACCTGGAGGCACTTTGCGACCGTTTTGTCCTATTTTGGGACTCCTCAGCAGTGGGCATCCACGATCCCGCTCGCGGGATTCCAACCCAGGGCCTTCAGTCTTGCGCGCGAACGCTTAACCCACGTTTAAAATCAGATAAAGTTTTCAAGCCAAATTGTTCTTGTTCCGACAACACAGACACTGAGGTTCGCCACCAATATCACATTTACAGTTCTAGTACTATATCTGTCAAATAAATTAAATTCGGTTGAGATATAACATCATATTGATAAACAAATAAACATTTATGATCATTTACCTTCATTGTTGTTGCTATGGTGACATTAGTTTGTTCTGTTTGTTTATTCGTTTCTAAATTCTCTTTAAAATTCAATAGAATCTCATTGTTGTATATGAATTTTCTTTTTAGAAATAGTTCCATTTTTTGGAAGAAAAGAAAGAAGACAAAATTATCATTTATGAACGAACCAATCAGAGGTATAAGATAACAGATCTCTGGGATTTTGGCACGGAATTCACAGATCCTTTTGGCTAAATAGAGTTTAAGCATTATAGCTGATGTTAGTTCGTGATGAAAAAACCCTAAATCTAATTCCTAACCTTAATCATCAACTGTAAATCATAATCCTAATTTCTCATACAGGTTTATAATTCTCATTTGATCCTAGTTACTAGTAGGTGAACACTCTCAAGGTCACTGTAGCGTCACTCAAAGGTCATCTATGAATTATAATCTCACCACATTCTTTTTTATATGGAACGTTTCATGCGCAGGGCCATGCTAATCCTCTCTGTATCGTGCCAATTTTAGTAAATATACACAAAATACTTCGGATCCATTGGCCAGACACTATGAGTAACAATCTACTATGGGAGAGAAGAAATCAGATCCCACTGCAGGAACAAATCAGGGAGAAGCTCTGGTAGTGGATAAGACACACATTGAGGATATCACCCAACTGCTTAACAATGTAAGCACTCACTTGAATTCCTCAATGCCAAATGAGAAGCGGAAGACTAAAGAACACATTACACCGAGAAATGGAGACAGACATGAGAAGAATGAACAACAATTGGATGGAACTAGAAAGGAAGGCTTAAGATAAAGTGGGTTAGAGAATGCTGGTCGGCAGCACATGATCAATTGGGGGTAACAGGTGTAAGTAAGTAAGTTAATCTCTGACTAGACTAATAATGATTTTCTTTTCTACATATAATTCTCATCATGTTTCACGTAATATTAGATTTCTGAACGATATTATCAGCATAAACGTTACTTCTGTTTGAAGTTTATACTAGAGATGTTGTTTTGAATGTTGATCCAACTTTCACAATGAAACCATTCAGCTTGAAGACCAGAATTTCATTAAAATCTTTATCAATTTTAACTCAAACTATCATTAAAACTAAATTTTCCATAGTTGCTAACATAGAACATCTATAAGACAAGAAAGTACTGCATCTTTTAATCGATAGATGATTCTGATTCGCATTATTCGGTAACATCTTTCTTAATCATATAGTTTAAGAATGTAGATAAATTGGTCTATAATTTAGATGAGATTCTTACTGTTATACTCCGATAAGAACAATGGATAGTAACTGTTGGAATCTATTTCTGGACTAATACGATACATGTAGTTTTTATTGTATAATTGGTAAGTAGCTAAACTATGAACATTCAGATTCCTCTTATTATAAACTTTATTTTGATTCGTAGACGGCGAGACTCTAATTTAAGGACGACCTTTGAACGAATCTTAAGTGAGCTTGACAATTATTAGCCAATCAGAAGACAGTTGGTATAAAGTGAGAATATATTGTAAGTAAGTAATGAATTACAGTGGATATTCTTCTTTTACATGATTTAAAAACTTGTTAAGGTTTGATAAAGGTTCAGAGGCTCTGAATTCATAATACATATTGTATAGAAACTCGTCCATAGGGTTAGTGGTTAGGGTTGTAGCCTGTCAATAGACACCTCTTCTCTAAAATCCGATGTTAACCGATCGCATGTTAGCACCCTAATCCTAACATAACCCCTAATCTAACCCTAACCTTAACCTAACCCTAAACCCTAATCTAACCCTAACCTTAACCTAACCCTAAACCCTAATCTAACCCTAAACCCTAACCTTAACCCTAATCTAACCCTAACCCTAATCTAACCCTAACCCTAACCTTAACCTAACCCTAACCTTAACCTAACCCTAAACCCTAATCTAACCCTAAACCCTAACCTTAACCCTAATCTAACCCTAAACCCTAATCTAACCCAAAACCCTAACCTTAGCCCTAAACCCTAACCTTAACCAAACCCTTAACCCTAATTTTAACACCAATCCCTAACCCTATGGACGAGTTTCTATACAATATCCATTATGAATTCAGAACTTCTGAGCCTTTATCAAACCTCAACAAGTTTTTAAATCATGTAGAAAAAGAATATCCACTGTAATTTATTACTTTCTTGTAATATATTTTTACTTTATACTGTCTTCTGATTGGCTAATAATTGAAATCGCTCAAACGCTTCTGATTGGCTCGTCCCTAAATTGGAGTTTCGCCATCCCATCAGTTTTAACCTCTCATTAATCACCTCCTCTTTAAAATCCGCTGTGAACCGACCGTATGTTAGCATCGCGTGTTGAACTTGGCTCCGTGACCTTGAAATTGCTCAAACGCTTCTGATTGGCTCGTCGCCTCGTAGACTATTATTATACGATTTACCATTCTAAAGTTAGGTCCAGTCTATCACTTACTATCTCCCATATCCACAGCCACTTTTGGCTAAATTTTGTATAAATGTTGTTTCCCATTTTACAGTACGACTGATATGCTTGAATGCTATTACGAGTTCACCTTACTCGATAAACGGAATAAAGGTCAAAGATACAATGATACGATAGGCTATTCTAATCCGTTGTCCCCAGCCCTGTCAACTAAATCACCAAGTCTTGATAAGGCGTAGAGAGTGTATTCTACAACCACCTAGAAAATACGAGGTCACTAAGCACACAAATCAAGCTTATTTATACAACGATAGAAACGCCCTTGGGAGAGCCATAAAATAGCGTACTAAAAAAATCCGTTAACCAATGACAGTCAAGGATTTCCAAGTGGGAAATGTAAGCTGTGAGTCAACTAAGCGTCTTTTGGCGCGAAAACATAAAATTCAAATTTTCAGAATAAAATTACAAAATTAGGACCTTTTCCAACGTTCTCAACAACGATGTAGTCTATTTAATTTGTATATAAGCCTAGTATGTTTGAAATACATGATTCATATCACAGAGGCTGAGATTTGTGTTCTGGATTCTAACCAGGTAGGGCTAGTCGGGAAGCAGAACCGACAAAAACTCTAGACTGCTCGTACAGGTTATATGCATTATTAGTTCGGTGGATAAACCACAATTCCCTAATTGGCAGTATCATTACATTATAAATTGATAGGGTTACAAGGTTATAAGTTATAACACTCACCATAAGGATTATATCATTATTTAATTAAATTTCAATAATTCAAAATGTCAGTATAGTGGTTGTGGAGATTGTTAAGTTTTTGATTGAGATCATGAACCGATTGATGTTAGACGATCATTGAAAACCTGGAAGTACTAGACGGCCGTTTCGTCCTATTGTAGGATTCCTTAGCAGTGCGCATCCACAATCTCGCCCGCGGGATGATGGTCTAACATCAATCGGTTCATGATCTCAATCAAAAAATTCAAAATATGTTTTATTAATTTTGTACAATTCATTTCAATGATCAATAATACCTTTCAGGATATTCATCTTCATCAAGTTCATCAATATGTAAACGTATACCATATTCATTCAATGGTAAATTACAATTAATATATTTTAATTGTTTATCAATTTTTTTCAAATTTTCTATAATTTTCATTTTTTTATTACGTAATCCAATTAATGATACATTGAATTCATGACTTAATTGATACACCTATCATTGAACAAAATCCAACAAAAATTATATATCAGAAGGGGGTTTGTGGAGATTTTAGAAATTTCACTGGTTGAAATCATGAGTCAATTGAAGCTAGACCACTATGGAAAACCTGGAAGCACTGGACGGCCGTTTCGTCCTAGTATGACACTCCTCAGCGGTGCGCATCCACGATCCCGCACCACGCGAGATTCAAACCCAGGACCTATGAGTCTCGCTCCAGGCGCTTAACCAACTAGACCACTGAGCCGGCCTCTATCCAACGGTGTTAACGTCTAACTTCGACCAATCCACGAAGTTGCGCCACCGTATACCATATCATATGCTCACTAGTGACTAGCTTTAAGAGATACTCCTATAGTTCTAGTGAGAAGTCGTTACCAGTGGAGTTCAACCAGGTCTGTTGTGAGATATCAGCTCACTGAAGACAATGGTATACACTGGCGCAACTTTGTGGATTGGTTGAAGTTAGATATTAACACCGTTGATTGCCGGCCAGCTCAGTGGTCTAGTTGGTTAAGCGCCTGGTGCGAGACTGGTAGGTCTTGTGTTCGACTCTCGCGGGGTGCGGGATAATGGATGCGCACTGCTGAGTCCCATACCGGGACGAAACGGCCGTGCTTCCAGGTTTTCCATGGTGGTCTAACTTCAATTGACTCATTATTTCAATCTGTGAAAAATGTATATCAATAATTAGATTTATCCTTGGGTTTTCATTTATAAGTTGAGATTGTAACGGTAAATCAATAGCTCTGTAAGTCTTCGACATTGGATGCTGAAAGCGCTCGGTCATGCATCTGCGACAAATCATGAGTAGGAACGTCATGCTGCTCAACTTCCTTTGCAATCGCTAGCCAGTCTAGATCAGTCGATCCTCAATATGCTGATAGCCTATCAAATATAACTTCGAGCATCCTCGATTCTGACTTTTGACTTCACTTAGTGGGTACGATTCATAGCAGCAGGTGTTATTGATTAATGAGTTGTCAAACTCCAAATACCTGTAGTATCTTCAAGATCATAAGTTAATTGAAGCTAGACAACCATGGAAAACCTGAAAGCACTGGATGGCTGTTTCGTCCTATTGTGGGACACCTCAACAGTGTGTATCCACCATCATGACTCGCGAGATTCGAACCCAGGACACACCAGTCTTGCACTCGAGCGCTTAACCATTAGACCATTATTCTCGGCTAATATTAAAAACGTTCCACTTGTGGTTAGTTAATGGTAGCTTTCATTGTTTAAGGTGGTAACTTTCCAAAGTTTAGACACGATGTACGAGTGAATAGTATTACCTGGATTAGAATACATTGACGACAGTTATATGATTCGAAAGACAAGTGCTTAAGCTAATTTATGATTAGCTTGAGGCATAATTTAATTCATAAGCAATAATGAGAGAAGTTTAACTATCTTTGTAGTGTCGGTTGCTATGTTAAGCCCATATAACTTATTCTAGCTTCTGGATAGACCAATTTATCCATTAATCTTGAGACATCTTTTGACCTTGCTTTTTATATGAGTGATGTGTGTCTACATCTTATTCTACCCATCACATCTTTGTAGCTTATTTGTGTGTAACTATACCTATTGATTAACGTTTGATTAAATCGAGTTGTTGGCTCACACGCCTTTTCCACTAAGCGTCATTTCGCTTCTTTATCGTGTGTTTGTCCCATCGCTTTGATTATCTGTCCAGATTAATGAATGTACAAAATACATGTATTCAAAACTTCGTTCTCATATTTAATTCCGTTATTCACTAACGTGATTTAAATCGATAGTCAGGATATATATTTCGACAGCAATCATTCAACGATGATCATTTATCTGATCTACCTGGAGTCAGATCTCGGGCCACAGAACTCTGCAACCGAAAAAATGTCGTCGATGCTACTACAAGTTATTTATACAGTAAACTAAAGCAATAAGTCACTGAAATTTGATGACAGCTTAATGATTCTGTGATGGGCTAAAAAATGAGTGGAGTCAGGAGTTTGTACTGCTAGTATCTGTTACGTAATCGACGGCTTCTAAAATGCGTCACTGCTAACGTTTCATAATGTGAAGCTGAATAATTTGTATTTCAATCGAACAGGGGACCAGTTACCAACGCTTGTAGACAGACCTTTCTCGTGAGTGTTAAACAGAATAAATCCTAAGTGGAGCAGGGTTTCCTGTCGATTATGTCAAATCATTTAAAATCAACACATGTTTCACATGATATTGATTCTTCTAGACTAGTAAACACTTGGCAGTTTGATCTAAGCTAAGAAACTAGACAAATATGACAGTGGTAACTGCTCAGTTGACAATCCGTTGTAAACTACAGAGATATTCTAAACTTTGAAGAAGTCCCTACTTGGTAACATCTAATTTCGAATAGTTACTCACTTGATTCTGTCTTCGAAAGTCTATTTTCAGTTAGATCATTCTTATGCTGTAGCTTATTATGTACCTCTATCTATATATATTATCTCGTGGCTAACAACTTAGTCCATCACAACACATATCTTGGCACATATGTACATTGGTTCAAGTTGCTATAATCTATTAGCAAAGACAGATCAAATTGTCAGAACAAATTCCAAAAGATAATAACAAATCCAAAAAGTCCAATTCAAAACTTAACAAGACAACTGAGATTAGATGGTGGTTGGAGGTAGTCGATCAACTACCATCTAATCTAAATATATAGTACACGCAGTGTCAAGTCACCTAGACTGGTGACCACATTGCAACATGATCGATAGCATTCGATCTGTACTAAATAGGGACTTGACACACATGACATTGATCACCACCCAGTGATCAATCAATTGTGGTTAACAAGACAACTATCCAGCATTATCTCAGTTCTCACTAATCATCCAATTCATTTCATTACATAACGACAATATTGACTTACATGATCCACAAGATTAAGAAGTTTATGTTTCACTTCAAATGTATTCAATTTCATACTTTCAGGTATTACATAATTAGTTGCTGATTTCAATTTATAATCACCTATTGTTTCTTTAGCCAATTGAATTTCTTTCATATCTCTTGGATCTTCATAATCATCAGCTGGTTTCATAGCTTCTAATTGTTTCCACTTAAATTTAAAATAGTCCATAAAGAAAATTGTACATTTTATATAAACACAATTACAAAATATTAATAGTTGAGATCATGAGTCAATTGAAGTTAGACCACCATGGAAGACCTGGGAAGCATTGGATAGCCGTTTCGTCCTACTGTAGGACTCCATAGTCGACACCAGTAGCACACACACCACAGTACTACATAGTCTGAATAATTCTAATGAGAAATTCACTTTGTGATAAAACTAATTAATGCATAATAGCTTATCGTACTTTTTTCACTTTAGCTTTAGGTTGGTTTAGAACATTAATCAACGATCGCATTCTTTATGGTCATTGTTATAACCAATGTAATTGTGTATCATAGTTTTGTAGCTCAATGAAATATAAAATACAGGATGAAAGCAGTCCAGTTATGTCATCCAATCGCTGACCAATACCACGTGACAAAACCGTCATTCAGAATCCCGATTTATGTGACTTAGTGTCATTGAGTTGGTCAGTTACACGTCAAAAACATACCAGTTACCTTGAATTAACTGCTAAGTCATTTTTGTTCCATAAATCCATTCATACCTTCTTCCTCCGCCCCCTTCCCTGGAGTTCAGAAGTCAATAACCAAACTCCATAATACGAATAATATGTTTCAAACAGACGTAGTTTATATACAGACATACTAGACCACATCCAACTATAAATTTCACGATAACAGTTATACATGATCAAGCCAAAAAGTGGCTGTGGGTAGAGCAAACTATAATTAGAAAGCTGGGAAGTGACTAGCAATAGCAAGTCGCCTAACAGTAGTTAATGAACAAATCAAAAGCTTATGATGCGTCTGAATGATAATACAACAAAATCATAAGTTAGGTTGATATCATGAATGGATTAACACTAGACCATCATTGAAAACCTGGAAGGACTAGACGACCGTTCCGTCTTCTTATGGGACTCCTCTGCTCATCCACGATCCCGCACAGGGACTGGGACTTAGAACCTCCGGTCTCGCGCGCGAACGCTTAACCTCTAGACCACTAAGTTTGAATTCAATGATGTTAATGTCTAACTTCAGCTAATCCACGATGTCCCATACTAGGAAGAAACGATCATCTAGTGCTTTCAGGTTTTCAATGGTGATCTAAGATTGATCCATTTATGATATCAATCTAAACTCAACAATAATCCGATAATACTAACTCCAATTTTTACAAGATCCATTCCGTTATAAACAAGTAGTCTTTATATTCATTCACATAGTTTAGTGGATGGAGTGCAATATCAATTATCATATCAATCCACATGGTCATATCAAATATCTTGAATAAAATTAGAAGTATTTACCAATCATCACATGAATGAATAAAAGATCAAGTTGAAAAACCCTATCAATGATTCAACTACCACTTAAAGGTAACCTTAGCGGCTGGCACCATATGTTAAGCCCTCATAACTCATTCTAGCTTCTGGACAAATCGATCTATCCATTGTCTTTAAGCTACAATTTTAACCTTGTTAATCATTAACTTATCAAAACTGACTGTTTTTATATCAGCCTATGTGTATCCACATCTTATCCTACTCATCACATGTATGTAGCTTATTTTTGTGTAATTATTAATATTGATTAAATTGAGGTGGCTTACGTGCCTTCTCCCGTGCTCATCGTTTCGTTTCGCTCTCTCTTCTTTGCTTCTTTCGCTACGTATCTCTAATTTTCTGTTCCGATTAATGATTGTACAAAAGATATGTATTCGAAATCCATTCTCGTACATGGGATATTTTAATTCCGTTATTTACTAACATGGATTAACTCGATGATTATATACGGGGATTGGCGATATGTATATCTCAATAGCAATCAATCATACGATATTACTGGAGTGAGATAACGGATTACAAAAGTAGTGAGCCCTTCGATAGCATCATCGTACAATCAAACTAGTCAGATACAAGAGCACTAAATAACAATGATTAAGTTCTTTTTATCAACACCATACTCCTTATCATAATCAAAATAAATGCGATGAAGATGTAAAGTGTAGCGAAGTTATTTTTCAATTGGTATTGTTTACTTGAATCTTCCCATTGTTATTTAAGACTGCGAATGATCAGTCTCTTATTGGCATATGTGCATCCTATGTGGATTGCCTCGATATTGCCTTTATTCACAAGCATTATGAGCAAAGATAGATAGTGGCTAGCAGTGTAATCCAGGACGCACGTTTCGTTCTACTTCGGACTTTTCATTTGGATGTACCTGCATCTCAGAGTTGATGTTCACTCTGGGACTCGAATTACTATTCTGGATTGTTCTGAATATGATCATCAATGAATCTATTCAAATTCATAAAAGGAACCAACTACATAGATTATAATACTGCCAAGTTTATTAGCAGAAAGTAGTTTTGTAGATATCATAGTAAGTTAATAGTTGAGTTCATGAGTCAATTGAAGCTAGACCACCATGAATGCCAGCTCATTGACCTAGAGGTTAAGCATTCACGCTCGTGACCAATAGGTTCTGGGTTTGGATCCCGCGGGGAGGGATCTTAGATGCGCACTGAGGAGGAATCCCACACTAGAACGAAACGACTGTCAAGTTTGTATAAAAGAATCATATATTTGGGTTAGTATATGTCATATTGTAGATGATTTATGTTTTCAAATCGAATTTATAGATTTACCTGAGCTCGACGAGCATCTCGTTTTCGTCTAGATTCCTCAAGTAAGTGTAACTTTTGTGCAATTCTTAAACCCCGTGCTCCTTTTATTGATGTATTAACTTGATTAGTAACATTTTTAATCTTTTCAGATTCATGTTCCAATGTACTAGTTACATCTAAATATCAAGATACATAAAAAAAAGGGTGAGACTATAATTTATGGGTAATCTTTAAGTAACGCTAGAGTGACCTTGGGAGTATCCACCTAATTAACTAGGATCGAATGAGGGTTACAAACCAGTGTGAGGAATTAAAATTATGATTTACAGTTGATGGTTAAGGATAAGAATTTCATTACGTACTGACATCAGCTATAACGCCAAAACTTTACTTATCCAAATGGATGGGTGAATTTCACGTCAAAGTCCGAGGCCAGTTATCTTGTACCTGATTGGTTTGTATTGAAATGTCCCTGAGTCCTAACCAAATCATCCAGCAGTTGGGTCATTGAATATCGAACAGTTCATCGATCCTCGTCAAGGTCAAGGACAACCAACACCCATCAGTTAATCGTATCCCAACGACTGGCACATTCGGTCTTCTCCGTATTCATTGTTACTTATATATTTCCATAATAACATCCTTTGTGTTATACGGTCTTCAAAGCAGTCATAGTACTTTGATACGTCGAAAAGGTAATCCAAGTTTGATGCTGATCTCGAAGTGTGACTTTAATGTCAGCTGGTTCGTCACACTCTTCCCGTCTAACTTGAGTAGGCCTCCAGTCATTCAACATAGATCATCTACGTTGATAATCAACAGGTTCGTCCATAAATTATAGTCTCACCGAAATAAAGTTTATTTTACCTAATCGATTTTATACAATCTGCAAGTCAATATAAGAAGCACTAAGATCGAGAGGGTACAGATCAACTTTGTCACGTATACGTGATTATATGTAAGTATTAGATTGCCATATACATCTTAAAATGAATGTAATTATCTTCTCATTACTAGTTAGTTTCAAAATAGACTTTTCGAATTTAAAGTAGGGTAATGTGAAATCTAAAGCTCAGTCATGTCAGAAATATGGTGTTCTCCGTGTTGTATTTGAGGACCTTGGTTTTCCCCTTGTGTATGCTGAGGCCTACTGATGCAGAGACTGCTGCTACACTGGCTGTCTTTATCAGCATTTGTTCGTGTTTATGGGATAGAAGGTCTAGGTCATCTGCGAAGTCCAAATCGTCTAATTGATTCTGAGCTGTCCATTGGGTGCCGTGTTTTCCCTCAGATGTCGAGGTCTTCACAATCCAGTCGACCACCAGAAGAAAGAGGAAGGGAGAGAGTAGACAGCCTTGTCTGACTCCGGTTCTTACTTGGAATGCATCTGTCAGCTTTCCTCCATGCACGACCTTGCACTGTAGTCCGTCGTATGAGTTCCGGATAATGTTTACAATCTTCTCAGGAACTCCGTAGTGGCTAAGAAGTTTCCATGGTGTCCGATGGATTTGTTGGAGCCGGCCTATTCAGGAGTTTTTCGAAGTACTGTACCCATCTGTTCCTCTGTTGTTGTATTTCAGTGATTGGCTTGCCTTCTTTGTCTTTGACCGGTCTCTCTGGTTTACTATATTTCCCTGCTAGTTTCTTCGTTGTATCGTAAAGCTGTTTCATGTTTCCTTCTCTTGCAGCTTTTACCGCCGTCGTTGCTAGTTCTTCCACATATTTCTTCTTTTCAGCTCTAATGCTCTTCTTCACTTGCTTGTTTGCTTCTATGTCCTCAGCTTGTGCTTGGACTTTCTCTGCTAGTGTTCGGCTGTTGTTAATTGCTGTCTTCCTGTTCTTCCCTTCTTTGATCCTGTCCAGTGTTTCTATAGAGATCCATTCCTTATGATGATAATTCTTGAGGCCCAGAACTTCTTGACACGTTGAAGTTAATGCTTCTTTGATACCTTTCCAGTTGTCCTCCATACTAGTTTCTTCGTCCTTCAGTAGATCCTGTAAGGCTTGGAACCTGTTGTTGAGAGCTATCTTGAATTCGTTGAGTTTGTCAGTATCTCGAAGAAAGGCTGTATTGAACCTTTGTAGTGCTGTTTGTCCAGTTGTCCAGTTCTTTTTTAGCTTCAGTTTTAAATTGGCCACAACTAGGTGGTGATCTGAAGCTTTGTCAGCTCCTCTCCTGGTTCTCACATCTTCCATTGTCCTTCGGAACTTTTTATTGATGCAAATATGATAAATCTGGTTCTCTGTGTTGTGGTCCGGTGAGATTCATGTAACTGTGTGTATACGTTTGTGTGGAAATATTGTGTCGCCTATGACCAATTTGTTGAATGCACACAGACTTGCAAATCTTTCTCCATTTTCGTTTCTCTCTCCCAGTCAATGTAGTCCCATGATATCTTCATATCCGGTGTTGTCTATTACGACGTAAATTGAACCTGCAGAACACTGGATAAAACTATTTTGTAATAAGTTTCCCTATTTGTACTGGAACCGCGTCTTTTAATTTTTAAAATATATCCGCCGTGCCAGTACGTCGCGTTCTTACTTCACAGGCATTTACCGGTTCTGATTGTTATGTTGTTGTTTCAGATCGCTCGTGTTTCCAAGTGAACGCTAATATAACGTGCTTTAAATGTCATTTTGGCATTATAGACCGAACGTTAAATTGCACCGTCTATTTTATGTGTAAAATTGATTCCAGCATCATTCTATTGCTTGACTGCTTTATATTTTTTATCAGAAAGGGTTTTGTGGAGATTTTAGTAATTTCGATAGTTGAAATGATGAGTGAATTGAAGCTGGGCCACCATGGAAAACCTAGAATAAATGGAAGGCCGTTCCGTCCTAGTATGGGACTCCTCGGCAGTGCGCATCCACGATCCCAGTCCCTGCGAGAGTCGAACCCAGGACCTACCAGTCTCGCTCGCGAGCGCCTAACCATTAGACTACTGATCCAGCCGGCAATCGACGGTGTTAATGTCTAACTTCAACCAATCCACGAAATCGCGCCACCGTCTAACATTGATATCTCACAACAGACCTGGTTGAACTTCACTGGTAACGGCTTCTCCGTAGAACTCCAGGAAATATTCTTTGTTAATCAACTCTGGTTATAGGTTGTTTTCAAATTTTGATATTTGGTCAGATAAATGAATCAAGTATATCATGTGATTGAGTATTATGGTCTATTGAGGTGATTGATCTAATATATAATACCCAATCGAGTGTTTGTTATTTTTTGTGAACCCAATTTATTATTTATTATAATAATAATAATCTATTAGTATCAACTTACCTAATTGTGTAGAATGCTTTACTGTGTCTTCTTTTTCTTTGCTCAATGATTTTTCTCGAATACTAATTATCTCATCATAGACTTTCATGTGTTCTTCACTTAATTTATTCATACGTATTGAAGTTACACAGTGACCACTACAAAATGCTTTGACAGTTATACGATCACAATCTAACGGCTTTATGAATCTGTGAAAGTAAATTGTTAATAACACGGTAATTAAAAACTCATATGAAATTAGAAAGATTATAATGAGATATGGATGGTGGTTAGCAACGTAATCTAGGGCACATGCTACGTCCTATTTAAGACTCGTTAGCTAGCTGTACCTGGGTGAGTATATTGGAAAATAGGCAGTATTGGATAAGTTTTCCTTCTTAGTGTGAAACTATTCACCGGTGTGTAGTTTGTTATTACACTTAGGATCTAATTCGTGAAGTTCATGTTCCACTGAAGAAGTGATGTTTACCTAAAATTGATTCAAAATCCGAAAGTTTAATTTTCCTATCTTTATCCAGTAATGTTATAGTTTAAATATCATTCACTTTCACGTTATCAGGATACTAAAGTAATTGTGGACGTGAATAATTACACTATTGAAATACTAAGGAGAATGATAATGACTACCATATTACACTAGTTTAGTATTACTGGATATTTTAAAGAACAGTTAAGTCAATAGTTTCTCCGATTGTTAACCAAATAATAACACCGTTGGATGCTGGTTCATTGATCTAGGTGTTAAGCGTCCACACGCCAAACTGACACCCCTAGGTTGAATTCCCATGTACAGGATAGTGGAGGCGCGCTGCTGAGGAGTCCCACATTAAAACGAAACGGCCGTCCAATGCTTCCAGTTTTTCAATGGTGTTCTAGCTTTAATTTACTCATGATCCCAACTATTCAAATTACTACAATCTCCACAAAATCTCTTCTGATACTACATCATATATGTTTATATTTCTTTTATCATAAGCCTTCTTTTGACTTAATAACTACTGTCGTACGATTTGTTATTCTTAATTTATTCCCATTCTTTTATTTGGAGTCCAACCCCTACTCATAAACACATTTGGCTTAATCTTGTATAGTTGCTATTTTTCATTTTGATGGTGTGATGTGGTTTAGTTTGTTTTTATATATAAACTACGTGTTTGGAATATATTATTTATACAGTAGTGGCTGACTATTATGTTCTGGACCCAATGGGCGTGGCAAGGAGTGCAGTTATTTTATCAAGGATCAATAAGGAAAGAGAGTCGACGGAAGGCTACGAGTGATGGTCGGTTTTTCATTGGTTAACCAAGAGACAAAACCGTAGAGATCAGTATTTTCATTGGTGATTTTATGAAATGATATTAGACAGGGCCATAACTCATTAAAAATGACATTTGGATATTCACTTTTATTCACATAATAGAAGTACAATTTCTCTAATGTAATAAATGAGCCTAAAGCTGATCTCAGTAAGAATGTTTAGTTTATATCTAATCAGTCATTTTTATTCAACAAAAAAGTAGTTATCAGTATACCGTTGTGGAGATTATTAGGCTTTTGATTGAGATCATGAACCGATTGATGTTAGACCACCACTGAAAACCTGGAAATACTGGACGGCCGTTTCGTTCTGTCTCGCGACTCCTCAGCAGTGAACATCAACGATCCCGCTCGCAAGATTCAAACTCAGGGTTTTCAGTCTCGCGCGCGAACACCTAACTTCTAAACCACTGAGTCGGCAGGTATCCAACGGTGTTAATATCTAACCTCAACCAATCCAAAAGTAGTTGAAAATTTGAACAAAATATCGAATCAAAACTAGGCATCTTATGTCATACCATTTAGTGTTTTCACAAAGACTGATAAACCTTATGATGTTTATCAAGCAAATTATACCTTTGGTTTCAATATCTTGAATAAATTTAGTTTAGGTTAAATCTAATTACTATACTCTCACCTTAAACTATCAAATCCTCATACAATAGTCACTATTATAAAATGAATGATTGGAATTGTGTTTTTATTCAAAGCAGATTGTTTTTACTAAAGTGAATTCACTTACATAGACTACAATTGAATGTATACAGAAATAATCATTACAGAATTATTGTATGCTTATTCAATTTCATCTGGCTAACGTTGGTCATCTTATGTTGGGTTTTTTTTTGAATACATTTTTATACTACTTAAAAGCAAATTCAATAGTAACGATACAATAAAACGACATAAACATTTCACATATAAAAACGTTACTCAAAATTCAATCTTTTTATTTTGTTTTTGTTTCACACTTACACATTCTCTAATTTTTCTAATGCCAACCTATTTTTCTCAGTTTCCCAAGCTGTTTCTCTATAGACCAAATCAATTTCAGTTTCACGATCTTTGAGTAGGTCATATCGAATTTGTGGAACTAAATTGAACGCCTTGATTAATTTGATTTTTCAATTAGAATATCAAACAGGAATGCATGAGATTTATGTAACTTTTAAAATTAAAATCATTGAATCTTAGCATAAAATAACAATCATTAAAGGTAATAAATAGAAACATATGGAACTCAAAACAACTGTGTTGGGATATTCAGAAAAATATCCCAAAAATTATTGTGTTAAGCCTAATGCTATCCATGGACATGAAATGGTATCATCCCATTGGTCAATATTCATTTGACGTGTCATTTTCCTACTGGTCAATATTGTCCAAATGATATTTTCTATTTTATGGTACGATGTGGTCTGCTTGATTAGTATATAAACAGAGTGTGTTTGAAATATAGCGATTCATATATCCGAGGCTGAGACTTGCGTTCTGGTTTTAACTGGCTCGGCTAGACAGGGAGGCGGGACCAATCAGAACCCTAGGTCATTCTACGTGTTTGCGCGTCTTTGGTCCGATCAATAATTTGCTATCCTTTAATCAGCAGCATTTTCACGCCATAACAAACTGTCTATCAACTAATATCAAAGTCACAATCTTCAATACGAACATCAAGACAGTTCTACAGTATGGAGCTGAAACTTATAGAACTACCAAAACCATCATCAAAAAAGTACAAGTATTTATAAATAGTTGTCTACGCAAGATATTTAATATCCATTGACCGAATACCATCAGCAATAGTCTACTGTGAGAGAGGACAAACCAGCTTCAAGTTGAGGAGGAAAAGACGATGGAAGTGGATAGGAAATACATTATGGAAATCACTAAACTGCATCACGAAGCAAGCCCTAACTTGGAATCCTGAAGGAAAGTGGAAAAAGGAAGACAAACGAGCACATTACGTCGGGAAATAGAAGCACATATGAACAGGATGAATAACAACTGGGAATAGATAGAAAGAAGTGGCAAGGATTGCCCTGTATAAGGTTACATGGAGAATGTTGGTGGGTGACCACCTATGCTCCTCGACGAGGGGTAATAGGTGTAAGTAAGTAAGCAATAAATAGGAAACTGAAGATCTGTTGGAAGTCACTTAGAAATATTACATAATTCTAAAATTTGAGTGTACGTTATTAATTAGTACAGTTAGAAAAGAATCATGATAACGTATATAATTACATATATAGAATAAATTTGTTTGAATATTTGATTAATGACTACCTAATTATATTGAATATTCTTATGTGCTTGATGAATGCTGACTTGTAAAATATCAAGAGTTTAAAGCTCATTATTGGTTATCTTCAGCTGTTCATTATCGAATGTACTGTTCACCATGTGCTCACTAGTGACCAGCTTCGTCAGGGAATTCTCGGAGTTCTAGTGAGAAGCCGTGATCAGTGGAGCTAATCCATGTCGGATAGAGACAGGTATCTACCTCAGTACAATGGAAGTTGGTCGCTCAATTTCGTGGATCGGTTGATGTTAGACACTAATACCATTGGATGCCGACTCAGTGGTCCAGTAGGTTAAGCGTTCGCGCGCGAGGCCTAAGGCCCTGGGTTCGAATCACGCGCTCTGGATCGTGGGTGCGCACTGTTGAAGAGCCCCACAATAGGACGAAACGGCCTTTCAGTGCTTCGAGGTTTCCAACGGTGGTCTAACATCAATCGATTCATGATCTCAATCAAAAACTTATTAATCTGTACAACCCCTATACTAGTATGCAACTTCAAAAGTTATCACTTACCAGTTCGTGTCGTGGACAATATAAAATTTTCATAAATTTTAAATCATGAACTGATCATAGTTAGACTACCATTGAAAGCCTGAAAGCACTGAACAACTGATTCGTTGTACTAAGTAACTTTTTAGGAGTGCGATTCCGCAACTCCTCATCCTGCAATCGAATTCACAACCTCTTGTTTCGTGGATAAATGCCTAACCCCTAGGCCACTAAACAGACAGACATCAAAGTTAGTGTACAACTCAATATTGAACAACCCTCATCCATTACTTGCGGTGGATAACCATATCATACCCAAAATGGTTGAAATTCCCAGATCATGACTTCTCACTAAAACCTCAGGAATTACACCTTGAAACTGGTCACTAATGAGCCCAGTGTATTACTTCGATGTTTTCAATGGTGTTCGAACTAAGATAAGTTTAAGATTTAAACCATGAAACTTATATACATATATATCTTACAGTTAAGCATTAAATATATTCATCAGTTCATTTTACCTCCGTTGATAGACGAATTCTTTCTGGTAGGCGATTGTTTTGTTCTTTTAATTTTCTTAAACGATCTTTCAATTCTGTTACTTTTTGTCTGGTTTCCGCTTTCTTTCTTTCTGCTAATTCTACAAGACGATCATGTTCTGATTTTTGCTTAGTTTCTTCAATACTATAAGCTTTTGGATCAATGATGTCATCTACTTTTACACTAGTATCCTGTAAAATATTTAAAGGTGTTAAGTAAAGTATTTTTGTAATTTATCAAATTCGAAGTACACTATAATAATCAAATGAAAGTATGGTATGTTATGAACATAGATGGCTACCACGATCCCCAATACGTTATCGCTCTATTGCGATGAATTCAAGAACGTTTTTGAGGATGACCAGGTCAAGAATCGACACTAGAATACGAAAGTACAAATAGTTGACTTAAGTGATCTAGTGATATGGTCAGCGAAATATCTCATACTAGATGATATACAACTATATAGGGAATGATGGTAAATCATTTGATAAGGATGTTAATATTCATCGACTGAGATAGTTAGGCCACGTGCTACATATACTTGAACACCGATTACCACGACGCGCAATGCTGACCAGTGTTAGGGATGGTTAAAAGAAAGTTAGGGGAGGCCAAACCAAAACATGGCATCAATCCATAAAGTCACAAACTTCTCCTCTATGCCATGTTAGTATATGCAGACTACTTGGTTGAGTTCCGAGTGACTATCGTAATCAATGGTTGGAGACTCCGAATAACATGGCTCAGATTCGATCACAATGGCGTAGATGTATACACTCTTTGTCATCCCATAAACTATGAGATTAAAATCACTTCATATATTTCTTTCTACGGACTAATTCTTTCTTCCCGTACTATTTCCTGATATGTAATCTTTCTTTTTTATATTACCACCATTAGCTTAAGCACTCCTATGAATCCGGTGTTCATCTTGTTGTGCTAATGAGGCATGGTAACTTGGACCGATGCATATATGTGCCTGGTCCTACGTTGTAGCTGACTGATTGATGATCTCTGTGAAGTGAAGAACCTAACCGATACATATTTGTATTAGATACTTGGTTGATTCTATACCTATATTTACCCTTTTTTGTAATAATTAAAATTGATTCTGTAAATTGCATTAAACAAATTGATTATCAATTCTGTTTACTTTGTGGATCTTATGTAATCTGTTCTTACAGTATCTATGATTATCATACAATTGGTAAGAGATTATGTCACTAGATTAATTAATGGAAATATATAGATGTGAATTTTTGTAATCCTCGAATATCTGACTACAGTTAGATCGCATGATTGATTGTTATTGAAGCACACATGTCGCCAATCCTCGTCGTATATGATCATCGACTTAAATCATGTTAGTGAATAACGGAATTAAAATAAGTCAAATATGAGGATGAGGCTTGAATACGTATATTTCATACAATCGTTGATCCAGATAATTGAGGGAAGAAAAAACGAAGCAAAGCGAAATGACGAACAATAGAGATGGCGAACGAGCCAAATCAATTTAACCAACTGTGTGTGGTGAAACCTAACTCCGCCTGGAGTCCCTCCGGGGGCTACTGCCGGTCCCAAGCCCGGATAAAGGAAGAGGGTTGGGCATGGGGTTAGCGTCCCCGTCCCGTAGAAAACTAACTCGCTAAAAAAACGCTAACCAGAAAAAAATTATTCAAACCTTTTAAACTCTGCCCTGGGAGTCAGAAGATCTTCATTTAGAAGAATTATGACGCCTCATGATGAAAGCCGAATCCCTTCGGAAGTTACGAGGCCGATGCCCCTTCTGACAACCAGAGCGACCATTTATTTAGGTACATGGAATGTTCGTACAATGTGGGACACCGGAAGAGCCTTCCAGATTGCTGCAGAAATGAGAAGATACAACCTGGAGGTACTTGGGATCAGTGAAACACATTGGACACAAGTTGGACAACAACGACTAACTACAGGAGAGCTCCTGTTATACTCCGGCCATGAAAAAGAAAATGCACCACATTCACAAGGAGTTGCATTGATGCTGTCCAAACAAGCGCAAAATGCACTTATAGGATGGGAATCTCATGGACCAAGGATCATCAAAGCCTCGTTTAAAACAAAGAAAGAGGGCATTTCAATGAACATCATCCAATGCTATGCGCCTACCAACGACTACAATGAAGACGCTAAAGATCAATTCTACAATAGGCTGCAGTCAATAGTCGAGAAGTGCCCAGCAAAGGACCTGACCATTCTGATGGGAGATTTCAACGCCAAGGTTGGAACGGACAACACTGGATATGAAGACATCATGGGACGACACGGACTGGAGAAAGAAACGAAAATGGTGAGAGATTTGCAAACCTATGTGCCTTCAATAAGCTGGTCATAAGCGGCACCATATTCCCACATAAACGCATACACAAAACCACATGGACTTCACCGGATCACTCTACACAAAACCAAATCGACCATATTTGCATCAACAAAACGTTCAGGAGGACTATAGAGGACGTGAGAACCAAGAGAGGAGCTGATATAGCATCAGATCATCACTTACTGGTCGCCAAGATGAAATTGAAACTCAAGAAGCACTGGACAATGTGGCGGACATCACAAATGTTCAATACAGCCTTTCTTCAGGACATTAAAAAACTCAACAAATTCAAGATAGTCCTCAGCAATAAGTTCCAGGCCTTTCATGATCTACTCAATGGAGAAGGAACTACTATGAAGAGCAACTGGAAGGGGATCAAAGAGGCAATCACTTCAACATGTCATGAGGTCCTGGGTCACAAGAAGCACCACCACAAGGAATGGATCACTGTTGGTACACTGGATAAGATTCTAGAAAGGAGGAAGAAGAAGGCAGCGATCAATAACAGCCGAACAAGAGCAGAAAAAGCCAAGGCACAAGCTGAATACACGGAAATAAACAAACAAGTAAAGAGGAGCATCAGAACCGACAAACGTAAATATGTGGAAGATTTAGTAATGACGGCGGAAAAGGCTGCAAGAGAAGGAAACATGAGACAATTGTATGACACGACAAAGAAACTCTCTGGGAATCGCCGCAAACCAGAACGACCAGTGAAAAGCAAGGAAGGCGAGGTAATCACCAACATTGAGGAGCAACAAAACAGGTGGGTAGAACACTTCAAAGAACTCTTGAATCGACCAGCTCCACTGAACCCACCCAACATCGAAGCAGCACCCACGGACCTCCCAATCAATGTTGGCCCACCAACAATTGAAGAGATAAGCATGGCCATCAGACAAATCAAGAGTGGCAAAGCAGCAGGACCCGACAACATCCCAGCAGAGGCACTAAAAGCAGACGTAGCGGCAACTGCACGGATACTCCACATTCTCTTCAATAACATTTGGGATGAGGAACGAGTACCAACAGACTGGAAAGAAGGACTTCTGATCAAAATACCGAAGAAAGGCGATCTCAGCAGCTGTGATAACTACAGGGGCATCACTCTTCTCTCAATACCGGGAAAAGTCTTCAACAGGGTATTGTTAAACAGGATAAAGGACTGCGTAGACGCACAACTTCGTGACCAACAGGCAGGATTCCGTAAGGATAGATCGTGTACAGACCAAATCGCAACTCTACGGATCATTGTGGAACAATCAACTGAATGGAATTCATCACTCTACATCAACTTCATTGACTACGAAAAGGCATTTGATAGCGTGGACAGAACAACACTATGGAAACTTCTTCGACACTACGGCGTGCCTCAGAAGATAGTCAATATCATACAGAACTCATATGATGGATTAAATTGCAAAATCGTGCATGGAGGACAGTTGACAAAGTCGTTCGAAGTGAAGACCGGTGTTAGGCAAGGTTGCTTACTCTCACCCTTTCTCTTTCTCCTGGTGATCGACTGGATCATGAAAACGTCAACGTCCGAAGGAAAGTGCGGGATACAATGGACATCTAAGATGCAGTTGGATGATCTAGACTTCGCAGACGATCTGGCCCTTCTATCCCAAACGCAACAACAGATGCAGGAGAAGACGAACAGTGTGGCAGCAGCCTCAGCAGCAGTAGGTCTCAATATACACAAAGGGAAAAGCAGGATTCTCCGATACAACACAGAATGCACCAATCCAATCAAAATTGACGGAGAAGATTTGGAAGATGTAAAAACCTTTACATATTTGGGCAGCATCATTGATGAACAGGGTGGATCTGATGCAGATGTGAAGGCGCGGATCGGCAAAGCAAGAGCAGCATATTTACAACTGAGGAACATCTGGAACTCAAAGCAACTGTCAACCAACACCAAGGTCAGGATTTTCAATACAAATGTCAAGACAGTTCTAGTGTATGGGGCAGAAACCTGGAGAACTACAAAAGCCATCATCCAGAAAATACAGGTGTTTATTAACAATTGTCTACGCAAAATACTTCAGATCCATTGGCCGGACACTATTAGCAACAACGTACTGTGGGAGAGAACAAACCAGATCCCAGTGGAGGAAGAAATCAGGAAGAAGCGCTGGAAGTGGATAGGACACACATTGAGGAAAGCACCCAACTGCGTCACAAGACAAGCCCTCACATGGAATCCTCAAGGTCAAAGGAAAAGAGGAAGACCAAAGAACACATTACGCCGAGAATTGGAGATAGACATGAGAAAAATGAACAAGAATTGGATGGAACTAGAAAAGAAGGCTCAGGATAGAGTGGGTTGGAGAATGCTGGTCAGCGGCCTATGCTCCATTGGGAGTAACAGGCGTAAGTAAGTAAGTAAGTAAGTGTAGTAAACCTGCTTTTACCAAAAGAACGCGATTGATTTAATGGGAACAATCATTATTATACTGGTTTATTATTATAACCAATTGTACCAGTGATTGTTTTACTGTGCTCGTTTGTTTAACTGTGCTAAAGACAGCCATATTACTGCTCTATTATCTTTTGATTGTGACCTTGCACGAGTTCGGTTACGCTCACTAACGACACTTGTACTCCTTTGGCACGATCTCCGTATCCTTTCGATACCACGAGATCGCCAAAAAATACATCTCGACTACAGCCATCAACTACTTTCTGATATTTGTCTTACGGGGGAATTTATCGGTTAACTGGCACGTAGTCTTCTTGTAGTAGTGTTCATAATCAACCGTGACTCGACACCACGCTACAAGTGAATCGATATTTATAGTCAAACCAAAACTAAGTTACTGACATGTGATGAGTAACATAGATGATGCACAGATACATAGCCCTTACAATAAAAACGGACAATGATAACAAGCGAATAATTTAACAAGGTCAAAATATGACTCAAGAGGAACGAATAGATTGGTATGTCCAGAAACTAGACTAAGCTGAGTAAGATTAACATAGCAAACGACACTACAAAATAGTTGATATAACTCTTCAAGATAATATTGGACACTCAATGATAAAATATAGAACCCTTCGATTCAAGTTAGTTACACATAATCAACAAAGTGAATTATGATTTGAAGAGGATGGATACATTCAAGGAATCCAAACTCTCCGAATCTAAATAATTAACAAGCTAAATTGATGTGAAAACTATACTAATTATAATGGAGATCATATTAGTACATCCTTGTTGTCATAGTGATGTAAATGAGACAGAAATGAACATAAATAATATTTGAAACTTCATTTACTAGCGACCACCTATATTTGTAAGTAAATCTATTCGTTCATTATCCGTTATGTTTCAATTGATTGTTAGGCTCTGTTGACAGGATATCATCAGTAACAGCCTACTGTGGGAGACAACCAAACCAGCTTCGAGCTGAACAAGAAGTTAGGAAAAGACGTTGGAGGCGGACAGAACATACATTATGGAAATCATCAAATTGCATCATGAAGCAAGCGCAAACTTGGAATCGTGAAGGGAAACGGAAAAGAGGAAGTCTCAATAACACACTGCATCGAGAATTGGAAGCATACATGAAAAGGATGAATAGCAACTGGAACCAACTGGAAAGGATTGCTTGGGACAGAGTTGGATGGAGAGCGCTGGTTGGCGGCCTATGCTCCTCTATGAGGGGTAGCAGGCGTAAGTAAGTATGTAATTGTTGGGCTATAAAGATAAGCTAAAATAACGGCTGAATTTAATCCATCACTTTTTGTGTATAAAATTTCGAACAGAATACTTTATTATCAGTTTAGGCGTTGTGGAGATTGTTAACTTTTTGACTGAAATCATGAGTCAATTGAAGCTAGACTACCATGGTGGTCTAAACTGACAATTACCATATGCTCACTAGTGACTAGCTTCGTGAGAAAATTCTCGGAGTTCTGGTGAGAAGCCGTGACCAGTGGAGCTAATCCGTGTCGGGTAGAAACAGGTGACTACCTCAGCACAATGGAAGTTGGTAGCGCAATTTCGTGGATTGGTTGAGGTTAGACATTAACACCACTGGATGCTGGCTCAGTGGTCTAGTTTGTTAAGCGCCTGGCGCGAGACTCATATGTCCTGGGTTCGAATCTCGTGGGGTGCGGGATCGTGGGTGCGCACTGCTGAGGAGTCCCATACTAGGACAAAACGACCGTCCAGTGCTTCCAGGCTTACCATGGTGGTCTAGCTTCAACTGACTCATGATTTCAATCAAAAAGAATACTTTATAATTGACCAGTCACCAAAGTAAATGAACATATTTACAATGTTTACTGATGAATAAACATGTGTGAGATAAGCAGTCAGAATTATCCATCATATGGCCAAATGAAATGAATCCTAACTAATTTCTCTTTATGAAAGTTCTTTTTATCATGAACTATGACTTACAGCAAATTAACTAAAAATAAGACAGAGTGGAAAAACTTTTCTGTCATACTGTGAACATTGGTAACCTCTTAAAAACTCACAAACCAAAGCTGCTTATGAGGGGCGAGACTATAATTTATAGACGAACCAATCACGATTAAGAGAATAGGTCTCGGATTTTGACGTGAACTTCACTGATCCATTTGTCTAAATAACGTTTTGACATTATAACTGATATCAGTTCGTAATGAAAAGCCTTAAATCTAATTCCTAACCTATAACCATCAACTGTAAATCATGATCCTTATTCTTCACACTTGTTTATAACCTCCATTTAGCCGTAGTAAGGAAGTGGACATTCTCAAAGTCATATTAGCGTTGCTTAAAGGTCGTTCATAAATTATAGTCTCGCCGGTGTTTAACATCAGTATGCGATTATTCATGATGATGACGATGATGTATCATACCTGGATGCATCTCCATGGAAATAAAAAAATATTTCAATTCTAGAACATATGTGGTTTTGAATTACTTTTCAATTTATAAATTAACTTACAAATGTAGATGGAATTCGTGCACGATACTCTTTAATTTCTTTATCTTGCATTTCTTCTGTCATAAGTTCACAGACAAAAAGTGTTCCATCACTTCCAGCGCTTAAAACAAATCTTTCAAAAGAAATAGAATAAACTTAGACATAACTATTCAGCAAAATAAGTTATTGTTTATACGGTGGTTAATCTCTAGTAAGTATATTTACGAAAAAAGATCTAGTCTGGACGACACATCAGTGGTGGAATATTAACCTCCATAAGGAACAGTTTAATTACTTACATACTTACGCCTGTTACCTCTCATGGAGGAGCATAGGCTGCCAACCAGTACTCTCCATCTAACCCCATCCCAAGCAGTCCTTTCCAGTTGGTTCCAGTTGCTATTCATCCTTTTCATGTATGCTTCCAACTCTCGATGTAGTGTGTTCTTGGGCCTTCCTCTTTTCCGTTTCCCTTCACGATTCCAAGTTTGCGATTGCTTCGTGACGCAGTTCGATGATTTCCATAATGTATGTCCTATCCACCTCCAACGTCTTTACCTAATTTTCTTTTCGAATGGAAGTTGGATTGTTTTCTCCCACAGTAGGCTGTTGCTGATGGTATCCGGTCAACGGATATTGAGTATCTAGCGTAGACAATCGTTTATAAACAGTTGTATCTTTTTGATGATGGTTGTGGTAGTTCTGCATGCTTAACTAAATACAGTAGAACTGTGTTGACATTCGTATTAAAGACTGTGACTTTTATATTGGTTGACAGACATTTGTTTTGAGTTGCATATGTTCTTCAATTGTATAAATGCGGCCCTTGCTTTGCCGATGCTCGCCTTTATGTTTGCATCGTATCCTCGATGTTCATCGGTGATGCTTTCCAGGTATGTGAAAGATCCCACATTTTCCAGAGTTTCTCCGTCAAGTGTGATTGGGTTGGTGTTCTCCGTGCTGTATTTGAAGATCTTGCTTTTCCCTTGTGTATGTTGAGGCCCACTGATGCAGTAGCTAAATTGTTTAATAGCTATTTAAAATCTTTGTTGATTTAACTGGCTAAAAGCATATAATCCAGCATTCATGACAATTTCCTGGCACTTATTTGCTCTTATATGATACTTTTATCTGTCTAGCAGTAAGTCCAGAAACTTAGGACAATGAGAATGAATGACAGAGAACAAATTAATGAAAAAATATTGTATCTTGATGGGATTTAAGAACTTGAACAGACGTTGGATTGATAGCCTAACTCATAGCTTGAATCGAAGAAAACATTGGCTTCATGAGTGTGTGTTATTTTATTTATTTGAACACATAAATATTGGTACAAAGGGGCAACGAATACATATGCGCCACACAAGTCACTTGATTTGCGTGGGGACTGTGATACTTCCTGGATGCTCAGACTGAAGCAGGTATATTTTTAGGGGGCCACACTCAGAGCTTTCAACCTAAAGGTCTGGTTCCACAAGGCAGTGGAGCAACGTTACACGATGCAGTCACATGGTAGTCTGTGACCAACGAAAGAAATTTGTCACCGATGTGAGAAACACTGAATCTACAATCAAGCCTATCTTGTATTACTATTTTCATGCTATCTCTGACGTAAAATAAGACAGTGTATAAGATGATATACAAAGTTTCAGAATGAATAATATTTATATTTCGAATGAATACTATACTTTTAATAAATACCAGCTATCTACAATGTCTATCAATCGATATGGTTCAGGGAAATTACTGAATTAATGAAAATGAGCTTCTATTGACAAAATACAAATCGACAACGAATATCATTGTCAGCCTTAATACCCTATTTGGCGAGACTATAATTTATGGATGACTTTTAAACGAATCTTAAATGACCTTGGGTCAATCAGTAAACAGTCAGTATAGAGTAAAAAGATTTTATACAAAACCAAGGAAATAAAGTGGATACACTTCTTATACATGGGTCAAAAACTTGTCAATGTTAGAAAGAGGTTCAGAGGTTCTAAAATCATAATGCATGCAGTAGAGGAAATCATTCAAATGGCTACAGAATAGTCGGCCCCTAGAGCCATGATAATGTCGCAAAAACGCTTTCAGTCTCGAGCACATAGATTCAATATTGTTTGTGTGCACTCCGGTTGTTGAGAAAATAAAATCGCATTTGTGGATAACGACACGATCCACATAACCAAGCCTATGTAGGACTCAATGCGCTCTCCAATCATCCGTATATATTGTAGTACCTAGGTGTAGCCAGTGTTACTGGTGCTTTTATTATCCAGTTCGCAATAATTGTCATAATTTGCCTTAATTAGGAATTATATATAGAGTTTTCATCACGAACTGACATCAGACATAATGCCAGAAATCTATTTAGCCAAATGGATGAAAGGCTTTCACGCCAAAACCCGAGATCTATTATCTTATACCTGATTGGTTCATCCACAAATTATAGTCTCGCTGTTTTATCTGTTATAGCCGCTCAATTATCACGTTTTGTACAAAATTCCCTGTGAACCGATCGTACGTTAGCATGAAGCACTGAAGTTGGCGTTGTGACCTTGGAATCCTTCAGACGTTCCTGATTGGCTCGTCCATAAATTATAATATCCCCATTCTTTATATACATTATATAAGCACAAATCACAAATATAACAAAAATTGATTGAATAGTTTATGCCGATTGGTTGAACTGTGGTACATGCCACTAACATCGATCGATATAAGTAGTATGTATTATCAGTCGTAAGTGAAATGCCTAGCAGCATATGGTTAAGAAGACCAAAGAAAAGAGAATGAGAATAGAGAATGACTGATGTAGAAACGAATGAGCAATGAAGTCTGAGATGATTAATTGACATTTTACAAATGAAGTATTTACTTTATGTTTCTCTGATTTTACTATGATGTTCAAATACATTTGATTGTCCTCATTTGTGTTCTCGTTCACTACACAACGATAACATAAGCTGTTCGACGAAATTATTCAAGTCGCTGAACAATATGACATAACAATTACATAATGTATGTTTTAAGTCTTTGATAATTATAAGCGTTAGATAGATGGAGGTAACCAATAAATGTCTTGAACTAAAGTTTTGTATTTATTTAGGTATGGCTATCAAAACATCCTCTTTCTAAAAAGAAAATCATTTCCCTCAAGGATTTGACCCCATGTTACCCAATGTTACAGGAATAAGCTTTATCATGGAATCATTCAGACTATGGCTGAACTCTTTTAGAACTGGGATGTTTGTATTCATTCAATGTTTATTTTTGATAGTATAGTATTAGCTCATATACATATTTCCATCATCTGATGAACTTTGATCGCTTATTATTTCATTCATTTCCACTATGCATTTACAATTGTACAGCTATGAAATTAAATTTACTAAATGAAGTAGTAATAAGAAGAAAGAAAAGTAAAGTTGAACAATAAAATACATAGTACCAGCCCACTAAGTCACTGACTGTTCTTCTAATTTATGTTGATATGTGTAAACGACCTGGATGATCAACGATTATAGTGGTGAATATATATTCACTCTATATCTTTATCTAAATTATATTATTTATTTAAACACACATGAACATCAGTACGAGGAGACACCAAATAGATGTGCGCCACATAAATCATTCGATTTGTGTGAGAGCTGGAATACCACCCGGGTGACCAAAACGAAAAAAGGGGTTTTATTAGGTAGCCACACCCGGAGCCTTTGACCTAAAGGTCTAATCCACAAGGCAATGGAGCGACGTCACAAAATGCAGTCCCATAATAGAAGGTGACTAACAATAAATTTATTCGCCATTTGTTTCCTTAGGATCCTGGAGCCCATGTGTACCATTGGTTTTGAATCAAGGTGTTATATCCAGTGAAGATTAAATTACAGGTAACCTCCGAGGACTATTCATGGACTAATATTCTATAAATATTCTTATTGTATAACTATTCAACAATTACACTATGGATATTTATATTCCTTCTATGATAAGCTTTATTTTGGCCTATAATTTATTATTGTACGATTTACGGTTCTTAAGTTATGTTCAGTTTATTAACTACTGTCTCCCACATTCACAGCCACTTTTTGGGCTTATTTGTGTACAAATATTATTTCCTATTTTATGGTACGTTGCGGTCTGTGTGATTGATATATAAACCAAGTATGCATGAAATAAACGATCTGGTCTGATCTGCTTTGATTCGGAAGCTGGTATCTTGTTCTGGACTCAAGTGGAAGGGCTCGTAGGACATAGGACCAATAAGGACGCTAAACTGCCCACACCGGTTGAAAGTCATTGGTTGGCCTAGTGTGAAGATTCGTATAAGTCGTATCCGGATTGGTAGATAAGTCGTGTGATCGAAAAGTCAGACATCCAAGGCCATAACAATTGGCGACGGGGTGGAGGAAAGTCTTGAACCCTCAACTTCAAGGTCTTAACACAAGGTTTTCCAACTCTCTTAGGTGGACTCTCCGTGTCCACCAACCCTGTTAAAGCGTCGGAAATTCGCTCTTTCACCTCTCGATTTCGTAGAAAACATCCTTGGCACCATAAGATAGTGAGTAGGACCTCGCTGTTAGTGGTTGTATGCAAATGGCCATTTAAGAGGATTTCGAGAGAAGGAGAGCTGCCTCTCTCCAATCTTGGCCGTACCAGGGCATCTAAATTATAACTTTCAACCCGTCTGTTATTGATTGTTAATTTCATGTCATTGTGCTAATGTAGTATAGACAAATGGACATTTCTGTCACATTTGAAACTTATCATGTCTAATGACTACCTAATTAAGAAGAAAAATGTCTTTATCACTATAATAATAACAATAATAATAACCATAATAATATTGACCACAATAATAATGATCATAATATTAATAATAATAATGAGAACAATGTTATTAATTGAACAAGTACCAACAGATTAGAAAGAAAGATACCTGATCAAAATACCGAAGAAAGGCGATCTCAGCAACTGTGATAACTACAAGGGCATCACTCTTCTCTCAATACCGGGAAAAGTCTTCAACAGGGTATTGTTAAGCAGAATGAAGGACTGCGTAGACGCCCATATTCGTGACCAACAGGCAAGATTCCGTAAGGATAGATCCTATACAGACCAAATCGCAACTCTACGGATCATTGTGGAGCAATTAATTGAATGGAAATCATCACTCTACATCAACTTCATTGACTACGAGAAAACATTTGATAGCGTGGACAGAACAACACTATGGAAGCTTCTTCGACACTACGGCGTGCCTCAGAAGATAGTCAATATCATACAGAACTCGTATGATGGATTACACTGCAAAATTGTGCATGGAGGACAGTTGACAAAGTCGTTCAAAGTGAAGACCGGTGTTAGGCAAGGTCGCTTACTCTCACCCTTTCTCCTTCTCCTGTTGATCGACTGGATCATGAAGACGTCAACGTCTAAAGGGAAGCACGGAATACAGTGGACAGCTAGGATCCAGCCGGACGATCTACACTTTGTAAATGATCTGGATCTTCTATCGCACACGCAACAACAAATACAGGAAGAGAGAACCAGTGTAGCAGCAGTAGGTCTCAACATACACAAGCGGAAAACCAAGATTCTCCGATACAACACAGCATGCAACAATCGAATCAGACTTGACGGAGAACATTTGGAAGATGTAAAAGCCTTTACATATCTGAGCAGGATCGTTGGTGAACACGGTGGATCTGATGCAGATGTGATGGCGCAGATCGGGAAAGCAAGAGCAGAATATCTACAACTGAAGGGCATCTGGAACTCGGAACAACTGTCAATCAACACCAAAGTCAGGATTTTCAATACAAATGTCAAGAGAGTTCTACTGGATGGGACGGAAACTTGGAGAACTACGGACTCCATCATCCAGAAGTTGCAGGTATTTATTAACAGTTGTCTACGTAAAATACTTCGAATCCGTTGGCCGGACACTATCATCACCAATCTACTGTGTGAGAGAACAGATCAAATTCGAGTGGAGGAAGAAATCAGGAAGAATTGCTGGAAGTGGATAGGACATAGATTGAGGAATGAACCCAACTGCGTCACAAGACAAGCCCTTACATGGAATCCTCAAGGCCAAAGGAAAAGAGGAAGACCAAAGAACACATAGACATGAGAAAAATGAACAAGAAATGGATGGAACTAGAAAAGAAGGCCTAGGACAGAGTGGGTTGAAGAATGCTGGTCGGCGTTTTATGTTTCATTGGGAGTAACAGGCGTAAATAAATAAATAAATTAGTAACAATGATATAATTTCATCAAAGAAAACATACTTTTCATCATATGTAAGCGCTATACGATTGACACGTCCACGTTCATTATCATGTAAACGATACATCCAATATCCTTTAAATTTTGTTAAATCAAATGGTTTATCTAATAATTGTATACATATTGTACCATCATTAAAACCAATCAATAAACGATAACCAGAATTACAAAATGTCCAAAATGTAATAGATGTATCTTTTTTATTTAATATACAAATTGCATTATTTGGTTCAGTTGCATAAATTCGATCTAATAATGTAATATGATTTGGATCAATTATTTCTAGATTATCGATTTTCTCATTATTGATTATTGTATTATCATCTTGGGATTGTTCTAAATTTGTTACCTTGGTAACTAAATCATTTAATTGATGTTGTTCTTCTGTTTGTTTATTTGTTTTACGTAGTTTTTCAATGGTATCATCAATAGTTAATAATGGACCACCTAATTCACATTTATATAAATATCCTTTATCGAAATCATCCTAAAATTGAGAAAGTAACAATCAGAAATTATTATTATCATTGATTTATTAATAATAAACTTCAAAGTGTCATATCTTCTTTGAAAATATAAATCACTTAGATATGAATAGAATTGATAGACGATCTTTAAGCGACGCTAAAGTGACCCCTAAATGCTTTGGTAAGGCCGAGAGTAAAGAGAGGCAGCTCTCCCTCTCTCGAATCCTCTCAAAAGGCCACGTGCATACAACTAATGCCAGGTGTTATAGCCCAAAGCCGCCAGTCAGAAGCAGCGAATTATCGATCGCATCAAGGACGCGTAAAACACGTGCGAGCAGCCTAGAGTTCTGATTGGTCCTGCTTTTCTAACACCAGGGAAGTCCTATTTACTGCCTTCTGATGCTACGGGGGTTGTTTACGAAATTGAGAGGACAACGAGCGAATGTTCGACGCTTTAGCCGGGTTGGTGGACATGGAAAGTCCACCTAGAAGAGTTGGAAAACCCCGATTCAAAACCAATGGTACACATAGGCTCCAGGATCCTCAGGAAATAAATGGCGTATGAACCTATTGTTGGTCACTGTTTACTATGGGACTGCATCTTGTGACGTTGCTCCACTGCTTTGTGGATTATACCTTTAGGTCAAAGGCTCTAACTGTGTCTCCCTTAAAAAACTACTTGCTTCGATTTGGGCACTCGGAAAGTATCACTGCTGTCACACAAATCGAATGATTTATGTGGTGCACATCTATTTGGTGTCTCCTTGTACCGATGTTCATGTGTTTGAATAAATAAATAAAAGAGACAATTCACCTACTCTCCAGTGTCAAAAAAGAATTAATTGAGGGATTCAGATTTATAGTTAAAATTTAAGGTTTTCATCACTAATCGGTATCAGCTATAATCCTAAAATGTCGTTTGACTATGTAGATGAATGAATTTTACACCTAAATCCAAGACTTGCTATCCTTAATTCCATTGGTTCGTCTACCGATTATTGTCGCTACATTATGCAATTAGTGAGTTCAAAAATAGTTAAACTTATAAACGTATCTTTGGATTTGTGATGATTTAAGATTGTCATCATTATATGAATGTGCTTTCAAGCGCACTTTAGTATCTTCACTTCGATGATTGACTCTTGATCATTTTCCTTCGAGATAAAAAACAGTTCAGCTTCACATTACAGTGTATAAATTCAAGTTGTCATATATTGTAACAAACACACTTTTAAGATATAGCCATTGAACATGAACATGATACTATCACCATTAGATGCCGGTTCAGTGGTCCAGCAAGTTAAGCGTTCGCGCGTGAGACCGAAGGCCTTGGGTTTGATCCAAGCGAACGGGATCGTGGATGCGCTCTGCTGAGGAGTCCTACAATAGGACGAAACGTCCGTCCAGTGCTTCCAGGTTTCCAAAGGTGATGTAACATCAATCGGTTCATGCTCTCAATCAAGAACATGAAAGACTTCAATCGAAACTCAATTCAAAGCAACACAATATGCATTAAAACGACCTCATTAAGAATGTTGAATTTCGGTAAGAAAAAACTTTTAAAAAAACATCAGTCAATCCAATAGATATGAACTGAGTGAATGTCGTTTAGATATTTCTAATTGTTACTTTATGAACTGATGTTGATTAAATAAACATTGTTAGTCTAGAATAGCAACTGGAAAGGATTGTCCAGATTAGGGTTGGATGGAGAGTGTTTGTGGGCGGCCTATACTCCTCCACGAGTGATAACAGGTGTAAGTAAGTAAGTAAGCCTAGAATTACTGGAAAACTGTTTCATCCTATTATGAAACTCATTAACATTACATATTCACAACCATAGTAAATGTACAGATAAGGAGCTTCAGATTGCACGGTAAGGATTTTATTGGTAGACAAGTCAACTGGAATCTTACTATCTGTATTTCCAATTTCTGTTAACCTGGAATATTGAACCACTGTTAGTTATCAGTAATAGCTATGCCACTTTAGGCTTAGTTGAACTATACAGATCAAAGATTCTCCTTAGAGCTCGAAATCAATCATCAATAAGCTACAGACTAATATTCGGAATGTGACTTTGAATATATTGTTTATTATGTAAATAGTTTGTATCATAGTTAATTCAACGATTAATCTGTATGAATTCACTTAGTGTTAGCGGAATATAGATTAGATCAAAGCATATTCCATTCACTATTCCGTTGGTGCACACTGATTGGCTAATTCTTATCCAATCAGTGCTAGTCGATACTTAGGGAAGGCTCTAGAATCTTCTCATGTAAAAAAAAAACTATAAATTTACTAACGTTTTTTCTTATTGTGCTTCTTACTTCCATTTACCCTTGTTATCGCAACACAATTTTTGGTTCAGGGACTTGTCGAGTGAATTGGTGCCCAAGAACACTAAGCAATAGGAATAGCTTGGTTGTAATATGAGAGAGTTATAACACCTAGATAGACAACTTCAATCGTTACTGATTCATTTGTAACAGTTTCTATGTTATTACACATCTGTCTGATTGATACAGACTTTTGGATAGGCTTTTTAATAACTCATCCTATGACTGTTAAGTCATTTTTACCATTTTAATAACCTAATTCTTTTGACAGGGGATTGTAACCTTCATTGGATAAACCTCTTATATTCATGTGCTATATTCATCTATACTTATGATTATATCTGTACTATTATTATTTTATTGGATGCAAATAACCATGTTGCACCATTCATTATCAACTCTGAATAATAATCAAGGATTATAACGACTAGTATTTTGAGTACACTTGCGATAGACTTTTACGTTCCCCCGTTCATCGTTCATCCGCCAAAGTGAATATGCATGAAATATCAACATTCAAAGTAGTCGTATTCGACTTTCTTTTATCCGCGTTCTTATTAAATGAATTTGTTTACAGAACATGTACAACATACGTAAGTTGTATATTTTCTTTATAGAACTAACAGTTTGATCATACTACAGTCAAACCGCGAGCATGTAACATTTATAATATAAAAAAAACTTACTAGAGATACCCAAAATTGATTTGGTTCGCTTTTATCCAAACATCCATAAAGTAATGGTGATGGATTTGATGGATAAGAAGGTGTCCAATTAGCAATTTCAGACAGTACACCTTGATAAATAACCTCCTCGGCTAAAAGAAACATAATAAATATATAATATCAGAAGGGGTTTTGTGGAGATTTTTTAGAAATTTCAATAGTTGAAATCATGAGTCAATTGAAGCTAGATCATCATGGAAAACCTGGAATCACTGAGCAGCCGTCTCGTTCTGGTCTATTGTGAGACTGTATCTTACTGAAGAAAATGGTGGACGGTGGCTCAATTTCATGGATTAGTTGAAGTTAGACATTAACACCGTTGGATACCGGCCGGTCTCAGTGGTCTAATAGTTAAGCGCTCGCGCTCGAGACTGATAGATCCTGGGTTCGACTCACGCGGGGGGTGGGATCGTGAATGCGCACTGCTGAGGAGTCCAGTACTAGAACGAAACGGCCTTCCAGTTCTTCCAGGTTTTCCATGGTGATCTAGCTTTAATTGACTCATGGCTTCAACTATTGAAATATATGATAGTCATAATAATGGAAACATTAGGAGTTTTACAATTAAGTATCCATATCATAAATATATTACTTATGAATAATTAAAATGATCCTATTACCATCAATAGAAAATTGATCATAATTATTATATCTAGAGCTTAGATTCTTATTATATCGCGTATAACTTGAACACCTCGAATGCTAGAACCAACCAAGTTGCAAATGAGAAGACAGAAGACAAGTGAAAGAAATGCCATCCCAAACAGGGGGTTATTAGTATTTGTTCAATAGGAAAGTTATGCGTCGAGATTCTGGAATTTTCTTCCAAAAGATGATTGGATAGAATATCTTCGGCTCTTTCTGAACATCTTAGAGCTTCCTCGAGCTCACCCATGGGCCATCCTCACAATAATTCGTTTGGAAGTTTGATAACAATTAAAAGGATTATTTTAATTCATTGTCATCTTGATGAAATAAGTCTTCATTGATAAACAAACTGTCAAAATGATCAAATATGATCATTCAACCTTAAGATTTCATTATAATTTAATTGATCAACTTCATAACTACAACAATAAAAACACGTTTTAATTTTTTTAATTGATCCTATTGAAACGTTTAACCAAAACTACCGAGTTACTCTGGGAAACAAGGAAGGATCGGATGCATACGTGAAGGTGAGGATTGGCAAAGAAAAGACTGTCTGTCAACCAGTGCCAAAGTGACAATCTTCAATTCGAACGTCAGGACAGTCTTTCTGTATGGAGTTGAAACTTGGAGAACCAATACAACCATCATCAAACATGTACAAGTATTAATAAATAGTTGTCTACGCAAAATACTCAATATCCGTTGACTGGATGCCATCAGCAACAGCTTACTATGGGAGAGAACAAACCAGCTTCCATCTAAAGAAGAAATTAGGAAAAGACGTTGGAAGTGGATAGGACTATACATTACGGAAATCACTAAACTGCATTACGAAGGAAGCCCTAACTTGGAATTGTGAAGGGAAACCGAAGAGAGGAACACTGAAGAACACACTGACAAGTCCCAAATATGACGAAACGCACGTCCTGAATTCCAGCGCTAGCCACTATTTATCTTTGCAAATAATAACTATATCCAAAAGCATCATAACAAAGAACACTCGACTCTGGTACTAGTAACACAAAAAGTATGGGAACTGTTACCATTAAATACTGGTTTAATGAATATATGAAAATGTAAAGTAACTGTGAGATGTATTGGAAATCTGAAATTACGATATTAATCCAACAAAACAGTAGTGGTGTCATACATCATATCCTCAAAATGATCGGAAATGGAGCTTGTTGCTAAGTCATTATTATGTTGGTCGTTTGAAAATTTCCATTGATGTTTAGGATTGCAGTTGACCAGTCTCTTATTGACATATGTGAGTTCTGTGAGGATTGCCTCGATATTGTTTTTAATAAAAGGCATTTTAAGCAGAGATGGATAGTGACTAGTAGTTGAATCCAGGTTTCGTATCTCATTCTATTTGGGACTCGTTAGCTGGATCTGCCTGCATTCGAGTGTTGACATTCACTTTATGACTTTACTGCTAGCCATCATCCACCTCGGCTTATTAATAAGTAATGTAATTAACTTATAGCGACTCACGTGCAATTGAGTTTATTCTCATTTAACTCAGTTAAGCCCTTTTGCTAACTTATTTAGCGGACAAAGTCATCCTCACTATAACAACTTGTACTTTTATTATTATTGTTCTTACATGAAATATGTGTGAACGAACATTGTTTACCGCCTACGCAGATATTCATTCTGCCAACTTCATTATTAACTGCTCAATCTATTCGTTGATTCATCCATATCCCTATATATATATCATTTACGCTTACTACTACTGCTACCACTACCACTGCTACTATTACTACTACTGCTACTGCTACTACTGCTACTGCTACAATCGTAGTTCGCTTGCTCATTCGTTTTGCCTCTCTGCTGTGTGGTCCGAATTATCTACTAAAGAAACTGTAATAGCTGCTTCTTTTTACCTTCTGATTTCAAACACCGTTGAAGATTATACGATAACGGTTCGAGGGTGATTGTTTATCGAAGCACAGCCACTACAAACTTACGGAAGGAAGCAAATAAGGAAGATACGAAAATCAGTCGTGCAAGCAGAACCAAAAACTACATTACTATTTGGTCAGTGGGTTAAATTAAAATGTTTTTGTAGTGAGACTTGAATTCAATCCAGTCAGTCACAACGTAGAACCTGGTACATCGTGCCAGGTTGCCAGAACCCATGAGTAAAGATAGACGAAATTGTCAGGACAAATCCCGAAATAGTAGAGGTATTAACAGTATCAGTGATTAAAGAAATGGATGCACCTGTGGAATTGGCAACGATTTCTAGCCATGACTTTTGAAGCCTCTAACCATTGGCTACGATAATCACCCCGACCACAACGAGGTTGTCTACACCCATTAACATGGATTAGTCCAACTATCCATGACTACATGGATTGATGTTATATTTTTGGTTTGTCCGCCTCCACCTTTCTTCCGGCCTACTCCTACACCAGAATACATCACCAGTCGAGATAGTTGGACATACGTAACGCTTATCTCAGCTACCTCAATTGATGAAGATTAACTACTTCACCAATCAAATTCCCATGCTTACTTAATACCCTATTCTTCACCCACGCATTTCTTAATGTGAAAAAAGCCCGTTTTTATTTCGTCTATTCAGATATAAAGTTGTTCTTTCTGTGCTGTGTTCCGTTGTATTCTATATTTGAATATTACTATTCACTCAATATCTTTCATCATCTATGATAAATCAAATGAAGTTAGACTGAGGTAAATTGAAAATATCGAACAGAAAAAATGTTAATAATAATAACTTGAATGGAATTCATCATTCTGCGTCAACTTCATTGACTACGAGAAAGCATTTGATAGAGTAGACAGGACAGCACTATGGAGGCTTCTTCGACACTACGGCGTGCCTCAGAAGGTAGTCAATATCATACGGAATTCCTATGATGGATTAAACTGTAAAATCATACATGGATGAGAGCCCATAGACTCGTTCGAAGTAAAGACCGGTGTTAGGCAAGGTTGCTTACTCTCAGCCTTTCTCTTTCTCCTGGTGATCGACTCGACCATGAAGACATAAACATCTAGAAGGAAGCATGGGATACATGGGACAGCTAGGATGCAGCTGGACGACCTACACTTCACAGATGATCTGGATCTTCTATCGCACACGTAACAACAGATACAGGAAAAGACGGCCAGTGTAGCAGCAGCCTCACCAGCAATAGGTCTCAACATACACAAAGGGAAAAGCAAGATTCTCCGATACAACACAGCATGCAACAGTCGAATCACAATTGACGGGGAAGATTTGGAAGATGTAAAAGCCTTTACATATCTGGGCAGCATTATTGGTGAACACGGTGGATGTGATGTAGATGTGATGGCGCAGATCGAGAAAGCAAGAGCAGAATATCTACAACTGAAGGGCATCTGGAACTCGGAACAACTGTCAATCAACACCAAGGATGGGATTTTCAATACGAATGTCAAGAGAGTTCTACTGTGTGAGACGGAAACTTGGAGAACTACGAACTCCGTCATCCAGAAGTTGCAAGTGTTTATTAACATTTGTCTATGTAAAATACTTCGAATCCGTTGGCCAGACACTATCATCACCAATCTACTGTGTGAGAGAACAGACCATATTCCAGTGGAGGGATAAATCAGGAAGAATTGCTGGAAGTGGATAGGACACACATTGAGGAAATCACCGAACTGTGTCACAAGGCAAGTCCTCACTTCAATTCCTCAATTTCAAATGAAAAGCGGAAGACCAAAGAACACATTACACCGAGAAATGGAGATAGACATGAGAAGAATGAACAATAACTAGATAGAACTGGAAAGGAAGGCCTAGGACAGAGTGGGTTGTAGAATGCTGATCGGCGGCCTATGCTCCATTCAGAGTAACATTTATATGTATTCTTAGAAATAGATAAGTAATCTTAAAGTTCAACATTTACCAGTATCGAATTTTTGTTTATCTTCATCAGTTTCCGGTTGTAATCTTGCATTCATACGTCGAATTTCTTGTCTATTCTGTTTTTCTTTTTCATATTGTGCTAATTTATTCATTGTATATTCTTCATGATCTAAACGTGATTTAATACTCATGAATTGATAGGATTTAATTATTTTAATATTAGATAATGCAAATGTTTTAGAATGATCATATTTTTCATTTTCTGATGGACATTGTACCTAGAAGTGAAGTAAATTTGTTAAGAATTCAAATTATAAAAACATGATAATGATCGGATGTGTTAATGGGATCATAAAAAATGGATTGTATCAATAAGATACGATGGCGAGACTATGAATTACGGATGAATCAATCAGATTTTAGGACAATTGGTTAGTTCGTAGTGAAAAGCTTTAAATCTAATTCTTAACCTATAACCATCAACTGTAAATCATGATCCTTATTCTTCACACTTGTTTATAACCTTCAGTTAGCCCTAGTAAGAAAGTGGACATTCTCAACGTCACATTAACGTTACTCAAAGGTCGTTCATAAATTATAGTCTCATCAAAAAATTTTATACTAATGAATGTTGACCTGAAATGACGATTTCTAAATTCTTTTTGATTGAGACCATGAATCGATTGATATTAGACCACTATTGAAAATCTGGAAGCACTGGCCAACCGTTTTGTCCTAGTATTGGACATTAACACCGTTGGATACATGCTCATTGGTCTAAAGTTTCAGTGTTCGCACGTGGGACCGAAAGTTCTGGTTTCGGAATCAGAGAGCAGGATTATGGATGAGGACTGCTCATGAGTTCCATACCAGGACGAAATGGCCTTTCAGTGCTTCCAGGTTTTTCATAGTGATCTAGCTTCAATTGACTCATGATCTCAAGTATTAAAGTATAGATAAATTGTTTCTTCATTACTTTTTCTCAAAAATTACCTGCCTATTGTGTTCGTTCAAATGTTAAGTAAAAGGTAACTTCTGAGAACTATTCATGGACTAATGCTATACAACATATATTCTTATTGTATAACTATTCAGTAACTCGATTATGTATATCTATATTCTTCTCATTATATGTTTCCATTTGACCTACAGACTATTATGATACGATGTACTATTCTTAAATTATACTCAAACTCCGACTGGAGCCCCTCTGGGGCTACTGCCGGTCCCAGACACGGGTGAAGGAGGAGGGTTGGGCATGGGATTAGCGACCCCATCCTGTAGATAACTAACTCGCTAAAAAAACGCTAACCAGAAAAAGAACAAAGAAAATATTACACCGAGAAATAAAGACAGATATAAGAATGAACGAAAATTGGATGGAACAGCAAAAGAAGGCCCAGGACATAGTGGTTTGGAGAACGCCGATCAGCGGTCTATGCTCCATTGGGAGTAACAGGCGTAAATGAGTAAGTAAATAAATTATACTAAGTTTAATAATTACCGTCTCCGTCAATCACAGCCAATTTTATGGTTTGATCTAATATGAATGTTATTTCCTATTTCATGGTGTGATGTGATCTGTTCGGCTGGTATATAAACCAATTATGTTCGAAATACATGATTCGTTAATGGTTTTCTCTAGACCCAACTAGCAGGGGACCAACAAGCACGTTAGGCTGTTCATACCGATCGAATGTCATTGGTTTGGCACAGTAAAAAGATTGAATAAGACGTATCTTGATTGATCAACAAGTATCACATAATAACTAAGTTAAGTATATAATTCATAATTCAACTTACAGTTAATACACAACCATTTTCTAAATAAACAATAATTTCATTCATTTCTTTATTATTCATAGAGAACCATTCTAATCTTACGACTTTTCCATAAACATGAATAAAACCAATAGGTGATAAATGAGTAGTATGTACATTAAAAAAGAAAACAGTTTCATCTTTACTCTAAAGAGAAAAAGAGGGAAAAAACCAGATCAATAATAGTCAGTTAGAATTTTCAATATAATATAATGTCAAACACATTACTATCTACACATTTGAAACCATGAGTCGACTATCATTGAAAATCTGAAAGGATTAGATGGTCGTCTCGGTCTAGAATGGAGCTATTCAGCAGTATGTATCCACGATCTTGACGTTCAAATGCCTAAAAGCTTTCAATGGTGGTCTAGCTTAGATACACAAATCCCTAATCGGATAATAATCATGTGATTAGCTTCAGGATGTAACTCCTAGAGTTCCATTGAGAAGCCGTGACTAAGGTAGTCCAATCCGTGCCGGGTATGAGACGAATATATATATCGCAGTCAATGAGTGAAGGGTTGTAAAAGATCGTGGATTGATTGAAGCTAGATACTGATGCCATTGGATGCCGTCATAGTGGTATAGAGATTTGGAGTTCGCGCACGAAACTTGAGTTCCTTAGTTTGAGGACGAAGTGGCCATCCAGTGCTGCCAAGCTTTCGATCAATTTCAAAACTGATGACTATAAAATAAAATGTTTTCCTCAAAAATTTTGATTATTTGTCTCGTGTTGTAAAATTTATTTTACGTGTACATTTGTATTCACTGTCAAGTTATTTATTCATGAAGATTTAGACTTCAACAATTTGGTAGAATATAAAAACCATACCCTCAAATGCCCTAGTGCGGCTGACACTGAGGAGAGGCGGCTCTCTCTCTCGAAATGCTCCCAAATGGCCACGTGCATACAACCACTGACTTCTTATGATGGGAGTGTTGTTTCCGAAATTTAAAGGACGAAAAGCGAATGTTCTTCGTGTATACGGAGGATCCACTTAGGGGATTTGGAAAACCCTAATTCCAAGCCAGTGGTGCACATGGGCTCCAGGATGGTGAGGGAACAAATGGCGTATGAACCAATTATCAGTCGCTGGCTACCATGGGACTGCATCTTGTGACGTTGCTCCACTGCCTTGTGGATCAGACCTTTATGTCACAGCCCCACAAGGAAACCACCTGGGCAGTATCACAGCCCTCACACAAATCAAGTAACTTGTGTGGAGCACATCCATTTGCCGCATCCTTGTATCAATGTTTGTGTTTAAATAAATAAATAATAAAAACCATACGTTCAATACGTTCATTTTCAAATGATCCATCAATTGTCTCAAACTTCATTGTTCTTTCATTTCTATAACAATTACTCACTATTCACATTCTCTTCGATTTGTTCTTCTCAACCTTTCTGATTGATGTGTTATATACTACTTATGTCGATATAAGTAGCATACACCACATATTTATACATTTAAACACATTTTTCTTTTTCTATTCTCTTTATAATTCAGTTGGAATTTCCATAAAACATTCTACTGTTAAGTATATACATGTTAGGACCCCAGGGACATAACGAATGGTACCTTTTCGGGTCCACTTATGAACCAATACTATGTGTTTATTTTTATCGTATAATTGTTAAATAACTAACCTATTCATATTCATATCCCTCTTATCACGAGCTTTATTTTGACCTATGAACTATTATTCTACGCTTTACCTTTCTTGAATTATGCCCTGTCTATTAATCACTACCTCTCACATTCACAGCCATATTTCGCCAAATCTTGTACAAATGTTGTTTCCTATTTTATGGTACGTTGTGGTCTGTTTGATGAGTATATAAACTCAGTATGTTTGAAATATAAGGATTCATATTGCAGAGGCTAAGACTGGTGTTCTGGACTTAACTGGCTGGGCTAGGCGGGAAGCAGGACCAATCAGGACTCTAGGCTGCTCGCATGTGTTTTACGCGTCCTCTGTCCGATCGATAAGTCACTGCCCTCTAATCGGCGGTCACAAGTTATAACAATACATAAAGAAATACATTTTTTCTTGAAAAAAAAAGAAAAAAAAAGTTGAGATATTTACTCCAGTTATAAATAATTTCCCTGATGGACTATAAATCATTGATGTAATTGCTAATGTATGCGGTTTAAGTACTTGTCCAAGATCTAATAAAGCATATTGTTGTTTTGTACGTTTTATTAATTCTTCTGAATTTTCACCAAATTTGATTAAACGTAATACACCATCTTGATGGCCAACAATTAAAATTTTCCCTTTTGGATCAACCTGAAGTAAGATAAACAAAAAATAAAATACACAAAAATAACTCAAATGATTCGTTTATCTTTCAAGGCAAGACTATAACGAACCAATCAGATATAAGATAATAGGTCTTACATTTTGGCGCGAAATTCACTCATCCATATTTGGATAAATAGAGTTTTGGCATTATATCCGATATTTAATTCGTGAGATAAACCCTTATGCAGATTTATAATCCTCATTTAGTCCTAGTTATTAGGTGAACACTGTCAAGGTCAGTTTAGCGTCGTCACTCAGAGGTCGTCCATAAGTCATAGTTTCACCTATTTTCATTTATCAATTTGGATGCCGGCTCAGTGGTTTGATGGTTAAGTGCTCGCGCGCGAAACCAGTAGGTCCTGGATTCAAATCTCGCAGGGGGCGAGGTCGTGGATGCGCACTGCTGAGGAATCCCACAATAGGACGAAACGGCCGTCCAGTGGTTCCAGGTTTTCTAGGGTGGTCTAGCTTCAGCTGAATCATGATCTTAACCATTGAAATTATCAATTTACCTTAATGATAATTAACCGTTAGAAAACTGAATTCAAACTTATTTCAAAAATAATCTAAGTGAATTTTTTTTCAAACATGGAATATAAGTTTTGTAGTTTTTTTCACAGAAATTGATCTGAGTAGAAAAAGTGTATGTGATCAAACAGCTCAAGTAATAATTCGAGTTTAGAAGGATTCATACTTCTATACCATTCCCGTCGCCATATGATATGCTTGAATGCTACTATGGTAAACGGAACGAAGGTTAAAGATACAGTGACACGATAGACTAATCTAATCCGTTGTCCCCAGCCTTGCTAACTAAATCAAGAAGTCTTGATGAGGCGTAGAGAATGTATTCTACAAGCATCCAGAAAATACAAGGTCACTAAGCACACAAATTACGCTTAATTATACAATGATTAAAACGCCTTTGGGAGAGCCACAAAATAGCGTACTAAAAATAAAATCCGTCAACCAATGACAGTCAAGGATTTCCAAGTGGGAAATGTAAGCTGTAAGTCGACTAAGCGTCTCTTGTCACGAAAACATAAAATTCAAATTTTTAGAATAAAATTACAAAATTAGGACCTTTTCCAAATGAGTTCAAGGGATCTGTTCTAGTCGATCTTTTTTAAAACAATTCACAATTATGACTTAACAATTAGATAAAACAAGTATCAGATGTGAAAGTGAGGATTGGCAAAGAAAGGACCGCATTCCTACAATTCAGGAACATATGGAATTCAAAACAACTTTCAGTTAATATCAAAGTCAGAATCTTCAATACGAACGTCAGGACAGTCTTACTGTATGCAGCTGAAACTTCGAGAACTAATACAACCATCATCAAGAAGACACAAATATTTATAAATAGTTGTCTACGCAAAATACTCAATGTTAGTTGGCCGGATACCATCAGCAACAGCCTACTATGGGAGAGAACAAACCAGCTTCCATCTGAAGAAGAAATTAGGAAAAGACGTTGGAAGTTGATAGGACCATATATTACGGAAATGACTAAACTGCATTACGAAGCAAGCTTTAAATTGGAATCGTGAAGGGAAACCGAAGAGAGGAAGACCGAAGAACTACATTGTTTTGAGAACTGGAAGGAGGCATGAAAAGGATGAATAGCAACTGGGAAGAACCGCAAAGGATTGTCCAGGACAGGGTTGGATGTAGATTACTGGTGGGCGGCCTATGCTCCTTCACGAGGGGCAATAGGCATAAGTAAGTAGGTAAGTAAGTATTATGTACTCAAGACATCAATTGAGATGGTTCTCACTTTTAACTTCAATCAGTTTGTGATATCACGCGGCCATTATCAAGTCATTCAATCATTCAGTCAGCAATAATTAATGTGTGTCAGCCTGAGTAGTTAAATCACTTCAGCGAAACGAGAAAAAATGGACAGCACGAATACCATAGAAGTCACAATAATAGAATTAGTAATGGTAATGATAACGATTAAACATTGAAAATTTGGTTTGAAGAAGCTAAATAGAAATGTATACATATGAAGGTTTGCTGAAATTAAAGATATAGAACCAGATAAAGAGTTAATGTGTCTGCTAAAAGGCAATTAATTGGCAGTAGTATCACCCAACTCCAACAATCGATCTTGGTCATCACTTGTCAAGCAACCTGAATCCACCAACACACCTCCAACTAACTGTCAACGATTTCATAGAGGGATGCAACGTTTTGGTTTTACCACTATTAGCGTGCATATGAATTATTTCTACTCTATCAAATGTTATTTATCGAGGCAGAAGTTGGTTGTTTACACACAACACACGTCTCAATCTTCTTAATCAAAAGAGATTCACAAAATCATCTAAAGACTAGCTATGTTTGTATTGTGCCTAACACCTAACCTCAACTTTAATCTCTCAGTAGCTCCACGATACTCAATAAATGCTGCGAAAAAACCTATGGTTAAAAACCAATCACACTAACTTCACAACCACAGAGTAGTACATGAAGAACAGTTGGGTTGTGCAGTTTTCCGTTGATTTAGCAGATGTATATCTCCCCTACATCACATCATCAAGTGTTATTAATGATGGTTATTTTATACCTAGCACGATTGTTTTTAGTTTGCAAAAAAGTAGAAAAATATAATTCACAGTATATGGTTGTAGAGATGATTAGGTTTTTGATTGAGATCATAAGTCAATTGAAGCTGGACCACTATGAAAATATCTAGAAGTACTGGACGGCCGTTTCATCCTATTGTGTAACTTCTCAACAGTGCGCATCCATGAACGAATCTTGTGAGGCAGGATCTTAGAGGCCTAAAATAGGATGAAACAGCCGTCCAGTACTTATACGTTCTCAATGATCGTCTTACATCAATCAATTCATGATCTCAATCAAACGATACAATTCATTTTAAAATCATTTAATTTTAAATAATATTCCATGTACTTGTGGTGGACTCCAAATTAATGATGAACCACCTGATGGAAATCGTCTTGAAACAAGAATTTTCTTTTGAACAATATCATAAATGCATACTTTACCTAAGATAGAAATATAATAAAACATAAGAATAAAAATACAAATGGTAAAAAACTATTTTATACTTTCTATCTTCTTCATATGTGATTCGGAATTTGATAACCATAAGATGGTGGAGAAGATTTGTAGCTCAAGTGGATGATTTTGATGTGAAGGTTTGTTCTCTAAGCTGGATTGTTAGCTCAATGTCCTAACAAGAATAATGAATGGTAACTTTTGGGATCTATTGATGAACCAATACTAAACGTATATTTCTATTGTATAATTGTTAAGTGTCTAAACTATTCATATTCGTGTCCCTCTTATTATAAGCTTCATTTTGATCTATGAACTATTATTCTGCGATTTACCATTCTTGAATTATGCCCTGTCTATTAATTGCTACCTCCCTCATTCACAGTCACATCTGGCTAATTCTTGTACAAATATTGTTCCATATTTTATTGGTGCGTTGTGGTCTATCTGGTTGGTATATAAACAGAGTATGTTTGAAATACATAATTCATATCGCAGAGGCTCGGATTGGTGTTCTAGACTTAATCGGATAGGCTAGGCAGGAAGCAGGACCAATAAGTACTCGGGACTGGTCGTACGGGTTCTATGAGTCCTTGGTCCGGTCGATAGTTCGCTGCTTCTGATTGGTGGGTTTGGGCTATAACACTCAATGAGCTTCACAACTAAACCATCCAGCTCAGAGAACAAAACTATCAAAACTTGATAGCTACGTTTAACAATTTTTTTTCGTTATTCATGTTATATCCCGACGAAACTAATGAATGATCACTATTGGGATCCATTTATGGACAAATATTACACGCTTATTCTTATTACGTAACTGTTCAGTAACTAGATTATGTATGTCTATACTGCTCTTATTATAAGCCTTATTTTGATTTATGCCCAGTCTATTAATTACAGTCTCCTTCAATCACAGCCAAATTTGACTAAATCCTATATAAATGTTATTTCCTATTTTATGATACGTTGTGGTCTGTCTAGTTGGTATATAAACAAAGTATGTTTGAAGTACATGATTCATATCGCGGAGGCTAGGCGGGAAGAAGGACCGATAAGGACTCTAGACTGCTCGTACTTGTTTTAAGCATCATTGGTCCGGTCGATAATTCACTGTTCTCTAATTGGCGGTATCATTACGTTATATACTAATAGGACAATAAGGCACAAGCTATAACAATTCAATTCTTATTGTTGTTGGTATTTTATTAGTTAATTTGAAGTAGGACTTCTCTAGACTGAATAACCTAAATTTTGGTTACCCCATTACACAAGCAAGTGGTTATCACGACCCAGTAGCTGAATGGATAACGTGATGGTGTTTGAAACGAACGGTACTGGGTTCGAGTCCCAAAGTGGATACCAACTCTAGAATACAGGTACATCCAGCTGACAAGTCCCAAATAGGACGAAACGTGCATCTTAGATTCCAATGCTAACCACTATCCATCTTTGTTTATCTAGATTTATTGACATGACGTTTTACTGCTTAACTCATATCAATGTAAACTTTCATAGTCACTACCCTTATGACTAGTCTAGATTACTAATAAAGTATCAGTCAATTCGATCCTACAAATAACTTTAACTACTTAAATTCAATAAATTTACATCGAGAAAATCCCTAGAAGTATAAGGAACAATTCACTGTTTTATTATTCTAGACCTAGACGATTGTCTTATATAATCTTGATGATATTAGGATTCATCTTTTAAGTAAAATCTAGTTTACTTCAACACTGACGGTGTAAGTGAAACTGAGGATTTTTATCATCAAAAGAGACAATAGTTAAGGTGTTTTGAGATTCCAACGGAAGGATAGAATATCCTTTTTATGTAAAGATAAATTAGACATTCTATACGAAAACGTTTTAGTCAGTCAGTCAGTCAGCTACAACGTAGGACCAGGCACATATGTGCATCGGTCCAGGTTGCCATACCTCATTAGTTCGTAGAAAGAAAGATATGAAGTGATTTTTAATCTCTTAGTTTAAGGGAAGACAGGGAGTGTATACACCGACGCCATTGTGATCGATTCTGAGCCATGTCACCAAGAGTCTCCAACCATTGGTTACGAAAGTCACGCGGACCCCAACCAAGTAGTCTGCATCTACCAACATGGCTCAGACTAGAAGTTAGTGACTTCAGGCACTGATGCCACGTTTTGATTTGGCCGCCCCTAACTTTCTTCCAACCATCCCCTACACCGGTTAGCATTGCACGTCGTGGTAATCGGTGTTCAGGCATACGTAATACGTGGCCCAACCATCTCAGTCGATGAAGATTCATAACCTCATCAACTGATTTACCGACTTGAATATTGTATATTAATAAGAATAGTCCAAAGAGATTTATCCTATTCAGCTCCGTACTTGTTGAGACCTTAAAGTTGGGGACGGAAATCCGTAGAATAAGGTGAGGTGTGCATTTTTAGTACTGATCTTTTCTAACCTTGAAGAACGCATAACGTCGGGAAATAGAAGCAGATATGAAAAGAATGAATGGATGGAGAGTGCTGGTGGGCGATTTATGCTCCACGACCAGGAGTAACAGGCGTAAATAAGTTTTTTAACCCCACCATTCCTTGTGGAAAGGCAGCATCGCTGTTATGCTGGTTATCTGAAAGAAACATCTCATTGCCGTCACACATCTGTACAGTCAGCAGTACAATTTCGCCCATTGACCTGTGGTTCGCTGGTTTTAGTCTTACCGCTCTTCAACCGACCTGTCTGGTATAGTAGGACCTTGAGGAGCGGTTGTTCCAGCCACTATAGCTTGATTGGTTCATTACGATGGGCAAGACCGACCGCTATATCAAAGTAGCAGCAACGGTCGGGTTCGAAGTGTATGGTTAGAAGTTGTCTGTTTGCTGATCTGTTCTTTGTTCTGGTGTTATGTTCGCGTCGCCTGTTACGTATACTTCATAAAAATATGTGCAACCATTCCAGGTTCCAGTCGGGTTTTTATTTTTTTAGCTGGATATTCCATTAGTGTATTTCCTGGCAAGTTTTCAAACACTTGAGTAGCTAAAGCTTTTCTTACTCTCGCCTTTTTATCTGATTACTGTAGCTCGTTCACTTGAACTCTCCCACTTTCACTTTATAAATAACTGCTTCTGTTCTTTTTATTATTCGATTTGCCCATCGTTGTCTGGAATCACAGAAATCCTGCACCAAAACTGTTTCATCTTGATGAAAAATTTTGGTTTCGACACGGTGATGTTCACTGAACTGTGGCTTGTTTATTCGTATTTTCTTCGATCTTGGTATCAGATTTTCTTACACAATCCGAATTTTGTGTCTAAACATACTTTCTGCTGGCGATAACCCGTTTAATGTTTCTGGACTCGGTGTTGAACGGTTACTTAACAAGAACCTTGGTATAATTTTTTCTACCCTACCTTCCCCTTCTCTTTTTGAATAGTCCTTTTTTATGAATCAACAAAACGTTCCGCTTGACCATTTGATGGGGGTTAGTATAAAGGATACCTGACACGATTGGTACTGTTTTCTCTGCAGAACTTATTAAATTTGGTTGAAGTGAACTGTGTTCTATTATCAGGAATAATAGTATGTGGCTGTCCAAAACGGCTGAACTCTCCTGTAAGTTTTTGTATCGTGACACTGGCGGATACAGTGGTTATTACGAACAATTCTGGCTATTTCGAAAATCCATTGACAATAATTAGGAATTGTTTACCCTGAAAAGGTTGAGCGGAATCTATGTGAAGGAGTAACCAAGGTTCTGTCGGTGCTGTCCATGGTCGAGGTTCATCTATAATGGGTCATTTAGATGATTGTACACACTTTTAACATCGTCTTGAAATTTCTTCAATATCTTTATCGATATTTGGCCAGTATACGTGAGTACGGGTTACTGACTTCATGAGACTCATGACAGGATGATAAGAGTGTATAAACTTCATTATCTACTGCCGAAGATGATTAGGAATGACAACTCGATCACCAAACAGGACTCAGTTATCAACGATTAATAGAGAGTCTCTCCATCTGTGGAACAGTTTCAGGCCTTCTGATTGAAGATGGAGCGGCCAGCCACGACGATGGTAGTGTATAAGTTTACAAATTATTAGATCAATTAAAATGGTCTCTGCAACTTCCCTTTATGTTGAATTAACGGAATATACAACATTTGTGAAAATTTAGCTATCAGACGAGTGAGCGTGGATCGACAGTCATTTAGTGTTACTCTGGGTTTTTATCTCACTTCTACCACCCAATTGGTTAGCTGAAGATCATTGGTACTAGATAGACAACCTAAGAGACCTAAGCAATTTTCAAACTCGATCAATACAACTGTTCTCTTACCTTAAGGTCCGATCTCATGGACCCAAAATAACTTAACTAGGAAATCTGTTTATTTTCACTGGCTCGTGAATAGTATTACGTAAAATAATACAATGAACAACAACGTACCATCAAGACCAACTGTAGCTGCACAATAAGTGGACGGTGATGTTACACAATCAACAATATCATTAGCATGGAACTCTTCTAAACATTCTGGTGCTAATGATGTATGTGAAAAGGATAAATCTAATTTCCATATAGCTCCATCGGTATCCTTTTTATTCAGAGGAAAGAAAACATAAGTAACAGAAAGAAGACATCATCAAATTGAATATGGTTAATGATTTATGATTATGTATGTGTTATATAACATTAATGTGAACTGAATTTAGAGAACTAAAAAGTGTAAGACAAATATTTCGTTCTAGTTTGAAACTTCTTAGAAGTGTACATTCACGAACTCATTAAAGGTTGGACCTGGGACTGTTTGATTTCGTCACAAGCTTTTAACTTTCAGACTACTGAGTTATTATTTATTTGAACACATAAATATTAGTACAAAGGGGCACTAGATACATATGCGCCACACAATTTTCCAGTAACTTTCGTCAGTAGATGCAGTACCATGGTAGCCGGTGGTCAATAATTGATTCATACGCCATTTGCTCCCTCAGCCCATGTACACTATTGGTTTGGAATTAGGGTTTTCCAACTCCCCTAGGTGGGTGCTCCATATCTAACAACCCGGGTAAAGGGCCGGACATTCGCTTTCCATCCTCTCAATGTAATAGACAACAGCCCAGCCGTAAGACGGCAGTGGTTGTAAGCACGTGTCCATATGAGAGCATTTCGTGTGGGAGAGCTGACTCTCTCTTCACTCTTGACTGTACCAGGACATTTGGGAGCATAGTTTACATTTCTAGCATAGATATTTAAAAATCTCGGCACTAAAATAATAATTATATCGATCTTTGGCTTGAAATCATATAGTTCTTCTTAAATTTGAACTATTTCCAATTGGTGATGTTATTGATGACAATAAGAAATCTCGAATCAATATGACCAATTTATTTTCTTCTTATTACTATCCTCGGTTCAAAATTTAATCCTGGCAGTTAGTTGAGAATAATTCAGTTTTAATAACTTACTTGAGCATACCACATTGTAGAATCAGGTAATGGAATTTTTACAATATGCATTAAATTAGCTTTTATTCCAACACGTAATTCATTCATTGGTTCTAGTTCATAGAATCCACCTTCTTCTGAAGATTCCGCTGTATCCACAGTTTCAAAATCCCATGTCTATGAATGAAATAAGATGAAATTTATGTGATAAAATAGTAACTTTCTAAAAAATCAGTGTACTTTCATTTGCAAGGAACTCTAAGAACAAGTTAGAGATACGTGGAATGCTGATTAGAGTTGAGGATGGTTGAAAGTAAGTTAGGGGTGGCCAAACTTAAACATGGCATCAGTCCACAAAGTCACTAACTTTTGATTTGAATCATGTTGGTGGATGCAGACTACTTGATTGGAGTCCATTTGACTATTGTAACCAATGGTAGAAAACTCCGAGCAACATGGCTCAGAATCGATGAGATTCCGTCACTCACCAGACCACAAGAGCTGATGAGACTTCCAAGATAAGTGAAGCGATCGACACACTCAACTACTTCACTCCCTATCATTAGTTCGGGTGTCGATGCAACCCAGTTGTGAAGCAACATTTTGCATTTCGAGGGAGAGAATCGCATGCCGAACATGCTTGCATTGTTGCTTATAGTGGTCAGAAGACTCTGCATTTTGTCAGCGTCTTCACCAACTAGAACTATGTGATCGGCATATTCTAAGTCAACAAGTGAACCTCCCGGTAGAAGTTCAACCCCTGGAAATCTAGTTGAGGAAAGTGTTGTCTCTAAAAGCACACCAACGACAAAGTTAAACAAGAATGGAGAGAGTGGACAGCCCTGACGAACACCATTTGAGGTAATCAATTCTGATGACAGTTCCCCATAGGCTCTCACTCGACCAGTTGTGTTCGAGTGGAGAGACTGTATTAGGTTAATGTAGTTCTTTGGTACTCGTTTCAGTGGCAAACACTGAACTAGAACCTCACGATCAACAGAGTCAAATGTCGCCTTAAGGTCGAGAAATACTACGATTGTGGGGTGTCTGAATATGTGTCTATGTTCTAGAACCTGACGTAGTGTGAATATCTGGTCTATACAACCACGTCCAGGTCAAAAACCAGCCTGGTTTTCTCTAGTCTGATCTTCGCGAGCTTTGGTTAGGCGTCGAAGTATTAGTGAAGCTAATATTTTAGACACTCTTAGTCAAACCGATTCCTCTGTGATTGTCACAAGAGGACTTTTGTCCTTTCTTAAAAACTGGCACAATCAGTGATTGAGACCAGTCAAATGGGACTACGTCAAGTTTCCAAATTCTACCTGAGACCTCAGTTAATCTCATTGCTGATACCGGACCACCATCCCTCAAAATCTCAGGAGTAAACCTGTCAGGGCCTGCTACTCTTATGCTTCGGATTTCCTATAACTTTTTCAACTCCGTAAAGAGTTGCAGGACTAACATCGACTTGCCATTCTGGTTGACTGGAGATCGTGGGAAACTGAAGAGTGGCTGAAGGCCAGTTGAACTGATCCCTAAAGTGTTTTGCCCATCGATCCAATCTCCTGGATTGAGAATGTATAATATGTCCATCTTTCTCTGAGAGTGTTTCGCTAACAGTCGGTTTCCTAATACCGGTTTCCTTAACGAGTCTGAACAATTGTCTGCTATTACCTATTGCCGCTACCTTTTCCATCTCTCTTGCTTTCGCTACCCACCACTGTTCACGATCATTGCGTAGGCCTCTTGTCAGCTTGCGCTTAAGCTGACTCCACTCTTCATTATGTTCAGAGCCAGGTGGAATGAGTTTCCGAGCATCTATCAGTGCGATAGATGCTGCTGAGATCCAGTGTTGCTACCTAACCTTACGGGTTACCGTACTAGCAGATATCACTGCTGTTTCCACAGCTTTTCGGATATCATTCCATGCTGCCTCGGGGTGGGCATCACATACATGGCTGCCTAACTGTTTTCCTAGTTGTTCCTGAAATATACTCTTAACTTGACTATCATTAAGTAGGACCCTAAGAGGTTTCCTTGCAGCGTCTTTCCTACGTCCAGTAAGACGCAGGCAAATACGCGCTCGTACTAGAGCATGATCTGAATCTAAGCATGTGCTCCAGAATGAGCGACAGTCTTCTATCGAGCCCCTCCATCGGTGGCTGATAGCGATGTGATCTATTTGTGTCCAACGTTGGGACGAATTAGGCGGTCGCCATGTCTAAAGACGCTTTTCCTTATGCTTAAAGTTAGTATTTGCAAGGAACAGGCGGTTATCTGAGCATAGCTGCAACAGATGGTCGCCATTATCTGTTCTTTGAGCCACGACACCATAAGGTTCACCTAGGTGTCTTTCCCTATCGCTTAGTTTACCTACTTGAGCATTAAAGTCACCGGCTACTATTACTACATCAGAGCGCCTAGCTTTTTGGAGAAGGTCGGAAAGCTTTCTGTAAAACTCATTTTTCACATCATCTGAGCAGCAGTCAGTGGGAGAATAGGCAGAGACGACGAAGAGGCAACGATGATTGTCCCTATTTTTCCGGATTCTTACTGTTCCGTTTAGTCGGAAAGCGCACAAATGACTGTCTACTGGGATCCAGTCTAAGAGAGCTAGTTCTGCCCTAGGACTCAATGCTATACCTACGCCGGCGAGGTCACGGGAAGCAGAATGAGGGCTCCCAGATACACGAAGCGTGAATCGAGTTGGTTCTTTGTTTTGACATGGTGATGTCAAATAAATGACACTACTCGGATTCTGTATGCGCGTTTCGGAGACGCATCACACATCGATGGCGCGCGATTCTAAAGTCCTGGCTAATGAAGCCTGTTGTCTTGTTTGGCACAGTGTTCGGACGTTAAAAGCTCCTACGTGTAGTTAAGAGCGTGGTTTCAGGAGATCAAGAATAACGTTCTGTATACTCGAATCATTTGCTCCAGCGATGCGAGGTGATAAAAGGATGTGAGAAGGGTTAGTCGGGGAGATAAGAGTGGTATTAGAAAGTGTAGGAGGGATTTGAATGTGATCAACTTGGTCTCGTGTGCTGTTATGGGTATGAGGGCTGATATCACTTCTCGGTATTTCTTGAGGAATCTAAAAAGGAAGTTGGATTAATGTTGGTCTTAACGACCTGGGAGCGTGACCGCAGAGCCCAAGGGACAACTGCTTGAGGCTGGTTGCGCACAGCCTTCTTGTGGGAGGTTTTTAATGTGTTAGCTCCGTTCTTTAAAGGGCCTTACCACCGGAGACGGAAATCCGTGAGGTAAGGTGAGGTGTGACATTTTTAGGGTCGACCTTTTCTAACCCCTTCCTTCCTTGTGAAAAGGCAGCATCGCTGCAGATGCTGGTTGTCCGAGGGAAACACCTTACTACTGTCACACCCCTCTACAGTTAGCAGTACGACTTCGCCCTTAGACCTTGAGATAATAATTCATAGATAGGGCATAACTCAAGAATGACAAATCGTATAATAATAATTTATAGGTCAAAATAAAGCTCATGATACAAGGGAGACGAATATGAGAGTATCATAACTCACTCGTATCCAACCATCTTGACCAATTGTCATTAATTCACCTTCATCTATAATAATTTGCATTATATTCCCATTATGACATGATCGTTTATTTTTACGTGTTATTTGTAATTTAATTAAATCATCTTCCCATAGAAGTAAATTACCCCATATTGAACCAGTTAATACTTTACCATCAGGTAATATTACAAATCCTTCAATATCGGATAATTCAATTTTACCAAATTTGCCTAATTTCCCTTGAAGTTTTAAACCAGTAAATGTATTGGCCATTTTCCAAAATTTTATATGTCCAATACCAACTGTAGTTAATAGACCATATAAATCATTTGACCATGCAATATGATATATATCTTGTGAAAATGCTTTAGATCTTAATACAATTTGTTCATTTCTCCATTCCCATAATGTTAATGTATAATCAGGATCCGAGCCAACTGTAGCTAATAATTCACCATCTGGACTAAACACAACATATTGAAAGAAGAAAAAACAAAACAGTATTGTTTTATTTCAAAACTATTTCTTGCCAAAGAAACTTCATTATGTAAATTATATTTGAAGTTAGAATTTAACACTGTTGAATGTTGACTCAGTGATCTGGAGGTTAAGGGTTTACTTGCGAGATTGATAGTTCCTTAGTTCGAATCTCGTAAAGTACGATTGTGAATGTGCACTGCTAACGAGTCTCATACTAGAATGAAACGGCCATCAAGTGCTTACAGGTTTTTCATGATGGTCTACCTTCAATTGACTCATGAATTCAACTATTAAAAGTTATATTTATTTATTTATTTATTTGTTTGATTCATGCTAGTGGAGAATATCGCCGTACTTACCAACTCACTTGGTGTTATTTGCTTGTATCTTCCCAATTGATCAGTCTCTTGCTGGTATATGTGCATCCTGTGCGGACTACCTCGATATTGCCTGAAGTCACAGGCTTTATAAGCAAAGATGGATAGTGACTGGTAGTGGAATCTAGGACGCGTTTGAAGCGAACGGTACTGGGTTCGAGTACCAGAATGAACATCAACTCAGAGATGCAGGTACATACAGCTGACGAGTCCCAAGTAGGATGAAACTTGGGTTCAGGTTTTTCTGTCGACTACTTCTAACCACCATCTTAACATCATTCAGTATTTAAAAAGGTCTTAGATTACTAAAAATAAACATCCACATATGAATACGAGGATAAAATGACTGTTAATGAGTTTAAACAAACTGAAAGTAAAGTAATAGTTCTCAGCAATGTTAGCATGAAGGATAGGATTCAATATATAATTAGGTTTAAGTCAGAATTACGACTTACTTTTAGCGTGTTGGAGTGAGGTTGATAAACTTAAAGTTTGCAGTTATGATGTGCATAAACTAACCTCGAACCTCGATCCCAAATGTAAACTATAGTAATTACAAACGTGGTTGTCTAACTTGGATCGGTTCGTGATTTAAATGAAGTTCAACGATTTCCACAAATTCATAATAATAAAAACACATAACCGACCTAAGAATGCTCATTTATGTAAAATTTATATATATACAGATTACTTGGTCGGGGTTCACGCGACTATTGTAGCCAATGGTTAGGGACTCTAAGTGACATGGTTCAGAATCAATCACAATGGAGTAGGTGTATACACTCTCTTTCTTCCCATAAACCGTGAGATTAAATTCGTTTCATATCTTTCTTTCTACCAACTATTTCTTTCTTCCTGTATTATATCCTTATACACAATCTTTCTTTTATATATTACCACCATTGAATTAACTTCTTCAATGAATCCGGTGTTCATCTTGTTGTGCTAATGAGGTATGGTAAATTGGACCGATGCATATATATGCCTGGTCGTGCGTCGTAGCTGACTGACTGTCTGACTGACTTCCACTTTCTATCACAAAGTAATTATTCACAATGGTTGTTTTCTGAATGCCTAAAACAACTTACGATATCAGGGTTATTCTTCAATATACTTTATGTTTATTAATGTTCTTAAATTTTTTCAATGAAGAAAAAGAACGTTTTTCATCATTCACACAGACAAAAAAAAGATCATGATCAGAGAGGATTTTTGTGGAGATCGTATTAATTTACCAGTTGAATTCATGAGCCAATCAGAGGTAGATCACTATAGAAAACCTAGAAACACTGGACGGCCGTTTTAAGATTCTAGCCTGAGGTTTAAAAGTCTTTATAATCCAGTGAACCACTAGAAGAAAGAGAAGTAGGTAGAGTAAGTAGTCTTATCTGTTTGCGGTCCTCATTTGGAGTGTATCTGTCAGCTGTCCTCCATGCATGACAATACCAAGTGAATTTAAATTTCACCCTATTGCACAAACAAGGAGCTATCAGGACGCAATAGCTTTGTTTATTTAAACACATAAACATAGGTACAAGAAGGCACCAAATAGATATGCGCCACATAAATCATTCGATTTGTGTGAGGGCTAGGATACTGCCCGGGTGTCCAAACCGAAGCCGGTGGTTTTCTTATGGGGTCACACCCGGAGCATTTGATCTAAAGGTCTATTCCACAAGGCAGCAACGTAAGGAGATCCAGTCCCATAAAAATCGGTGACCAATAATCGTTTCATAAGACTTTTATCCCTCAGGATCCTGGAGTTCATGTGCACCATTGTTTTGGAATTAGGGTTTTCCAGCTTCCCTCTATGGATCCTGCATATCCATCAAACCGGCTAAAGAGCCGGACGTCGGCTTTTGGTCCTCTCAATTTCATAAACAACGGCCGTGGCGCGAGAACGCAGTGAGTAGGACTTTCTTGTTAGTGGTTGAATGCACGTGGCCATGTGAGAGCATTTCGAGAGAGAGAAAGTGAACTCTCTCCACTCTCGACCGTATCAGGACATATCGGGGCTTGTGAATTAAAGAAATATCGAGGCAATACACACAGGATGCATATATGTCAATAAGAGAATGATCAATTACAGTCGTAAAGATCAATTGGAAGATTCAAGTAAACAACACCAAGTAAATTTATTGGATAATAAGTTTAAACTGCACTTTGTCTTCAACTGTTTTAAGCAGCTAGGTAAAGATTACAATTTAATTGAGATCTAAAATTCATGACATAAACCTATACTTCAGTCAGTCAGTCAGCCACAATGTAGGACAAGGCACATATATGCATCGGTCCAAGTTGCCACATCACATAAGCACAACAAGATGAGTACTAAATACATAGAAGGAGTTACTTTAAAGGTGGTAATATATAAAAGAAAGACTGCATATAAGGATATAATACAGGAAGAAAGAAATATATAAAGCGGTTTTAATCTCTTAGTTTATGAGAAGAAAGAGAGTGTATGCACCTACTCCATTGTGATCAATTCTGATCCATGTCACTTAAAGTATCCAGCCATTAGCTTATGATAGTCACGCGGACCCTTAATGACATATACACATACAAATAAAGAAGAAGAAGATTATAATGAACATACCTAAACTGACATGCAGTATATGCAGTTTGAGTACCTTCTTTTAATATACGATATAATTTTATATCAGGATATTGATAAATGCATACATTTGGTAGAATACCTTTTTCAGCTAATGCTATATACTTATATTGTGATTGTATACAAAATGTACCAATACCAATTCCATTCATTGAACGTATCATTATGATATCATTTGTATCCATATTAATTATTTGTAAATAATTACCATATATATGACATAATAGATTATTATTATTATAATGCAGTAATTGTATATTCTCTCTACGTGTTACATCCATACCGAATAAATGTGAAACTTTTAAAAGATTTATTGGTATACCAGAATTTTCAGAGATCATTGGTTGTACAATATAATCAGTATAATTATAAAAGAATTCAGGATCTATCATCTTTTTAGATTGTTCATTTATTGATTGTGTCATATTAGTATGATTATCATTATCATCTTCATATTGATCTTGTTGTTGTTGTTGTTGTTGTTGAGTTTGTTCATTAACATGGTTTATTGAATTGTTACTAGGTACCAGTTCTTGTTGATTAGAAGATGAGGAAATATCGTCTTGTTTAGATTTATCATTTTCTAGTTTATCAATAACTTGCTCTTCTTGATTTTTATTCTCTGTGAAGGTGAATGAGTTTGTTTGTTTGTTTTTTAAATTTAACATTACCGACTATTGAAGATTCGTCATTATCAACTGGTAATATTTCAATAGAATTCTTATCTTCAAGGCTAATATCATCTTCTTTTTGTTGACTAGGATCTAGATTATCTTCATGGTCAGACATGTTTAGTATTCAGATTGGAGCATATTTCTAAATGAATAAGATGTATTTATAAATTATTTAACAAAATAAATGTTTGGTTTAAAGTGTGCGACACTACATTACACTAATGGTGGAGAAGATTTGTAACTCATATGGATGATTTTAATGGAGTTTTGTTCTTTGAGCTGGATGGTTTAGTCCATCCATCCAATTATCCAGCTCACAGAACAAAACTCCATCAAAAACACTACATTTATCAACCATTAATAGAATTTTCATCCTAAGGAGCATATAAATTAGATTTTCAGTAAATACATAATGAATTCAATCATCAAATCAAATTAGTTGAAGAATATTCTATGATGATCTTCTGAGATCCAATACTTTTGTTTTAGTAAGATGAACTGCAATTCATATGGAATAAAATCAAGAACTATTAGATTGTATTACAAGTACTGGAAACTTAGTCAAAAAGATAATTTTTGATGAAGGTTTACATTAAATTATAAAATTTTCTACAAATTCATCTAAATATATAACCATCTTGTATTCTCGGATGATTCATTCCAAAGTGGAAATTTTGTAATCCTAATGTTGAACTATCACAATTCTGTAGTCCGATATTAATCACTAATAATATTAGTTCAGAATTATGCTATATGACAATTGGCTGAAACAAAAGACAAGAACTGATGGAATTTAATTTGATGGTTGAAAAACGTTAGACTAGTTATGAAACTTTGATAGATTTAGGTTGATCCCATATAGTATAGTGTAGATGCACTGTTGCTAGTTTATAAACTGATCTAACACATACATCTAGTGCTTTTTAACTTTCAATGTTCATTTCACTGATGTTGGCTTGCAATCCATGTTAATCTAAAACATTTTGCCCATTATTAGAATGGAATATTATAATCAACAATTATTTCGCTTGTGGTAGATGTATTATCATTTCTCATAAATATTACTTTTACCAATGTACACAAATGTATGATGAGTAAAGACCATTAACAAACAATCCATTTAGTTTAAAATTCTGTGATATTGATAACTCAGATTATTAAAAAAGAGCTTCAATTTCATTTATACTTGATGCATCAGCTACAACGTAGGACATATGTTCAAGTTAGCATACCTCATTAGCACAGCAAGATGAACACCGGATTCATAGGACTGGTTAATTATGTGGTAGTAATATATAAAAGAAAGATTGCATATAAAGATATAGTACAGGAAGAAAGAATTAGTTGGTAGAAAGAGATACGAAGCGAATTTAATCTCACAGTTTAAGGGAAGACAGAGAGTGTATACACGTACGCTATTGTGATAGATTCTGAGCCATGTCACTGAGAATCTCCAACCATTATTTACGATAGTCACTCGAAACCAAACCAAGTAATCTGCACCTACCAACATGGGTCAGGCATAAAGTTAGTGACTTCAAACACTGATGCCACGCTTTGATTTGGCCACCCCTAACTTTCTTCTAACCATCTCCAACACTGGTTAGCATTGCACGTCGTGGTAATCGGTCTTCGGGCATGCTTGCATTTTCCAACAGATTAAACATAAGAGCCGGAGATTCACCAGTTGTTTGTTTACTGCAGAAAATGGCAAATTTCATAAAGTATGGTGTTTAAGGTGTGAATGATTGAAATAGCTGTTTAAATAGATGTTTATATGGGCGTCATACAGCGTTGAAAACGATTTTATAATCAACTTTTCCACCTGTCGGTATAATCGTAGAACATATCATCGCTAGTTCCAGCGTTTTATACATTGAGGAATGAAAGAGTTGACCCCAAAAAGACAGCTGTAGCGATAAGTTTAAAGAGTAAAACTGGACGGCCGCTATCCATAACTGATGCGAAGAGCGAGTTTCATTCAGTATGATAGATGTGAACTTTCGCACAGTGTAGTAATTATGTTCTTTCCAATATTTGATGTATATTCCGTTCATGCTTCACAGTAACCCTGTGTATAATTTTATTTACAAAATGTTTACTCACTAAATGCCAGTTATGTGTAAAGTCAGTGCATAAATGTGTGCATTTGGACTAGTAATGACATGATACTGGACAAATTATTCCAGAGAGTCAATAGATCTCAATCTGTACCAGTCCCTGTGTTTTTTCACTTAGTACCGTGACATGCGCAGTAGCTCGCGTCTCCACATGTAAGCAGTAGGACCGCGGATATTGCAGTTAGTAAATATTGGTTCGAGCCATGGTGACAGATATTGGGATAAGTCAGTTCAATATAATTTATCATTCAGACCCCATTTACATAGTTAACTGCCGATCTGAATGTTGTATTAAGGTTTACTTTTAATCTTTCCCCCATTTTGGGCCGGAGAATATTTTGTCTGTGTTTTCGTCATGATTACATTCTCATGAACCTGATTTCTTGCGTTTACAATTCTACTACAACAAGCATTATTGTTTATTTTACATTTTCTTGTTGTTGTTACGTCTGCTTCACTCAATGCATATACGAGAAAAAGATGTGAAACTATTGCAATTTCTACAACATGAAGTACACACACCAAGACTGATACAAGTGAAGATTTATTGATGCCAAATACGACAACAACTTGCGTCAAAAATACACTCATTATATATTAATTGTATATCCATTCTGATTATTAATTAGGATAATATCATACGCATGAAAAATCCTCAGAGTTATAACAAATCACATGCTATGTGCCTTGCTGAGCACAGTTGACATTAATTTCATGAAGGAATAACTTATCTTGAATAAACAAAGTAATTAATGTAATAAATAACGAAATATCACAGTGGAAAATAAACAAATACTAAAATGAGTAATCATTATGTCGATGTATAAGGAAGTTACGTTGAACAAAAGTCACAATGAGTAAAGAATGTAACTTTACTTTCCAGTCCCGTCATATCAGTATTTTGTTCATTTTCTGTTAAGCGTTAGGTGAAAACTTTGGAAAACCATATCCTTGTCAAGTCTTCTGTTTAACATACATAACCCATAGTAAACACTTTCTTCAGTAGTAAAACCAAGTGAATGATAACATAAAAATGACACATCGCGGGTGATTTTGTCTCAAAACTCGAAGAATATGTTGTCTGAATCTAAAAACCTATCGTTTGATATTCATAGAGTTGGTCTTTTTTACTGTAACCTACAAATTCAGCACACTTTTCATTGTTTTATAAGCTTACATCATTAAATGCAACTTGATACACGAAGAAAGTATTACTTTTATGGAAAACTGGACATTTTGACGAAGATGAAAGTGTTAAATTTGAGACATTTCCCCTCAATTGTATATTATACATTATTTACCCTAAGCTAAAGAAAAATGTGGCATTTTGATGCATTGTTGTCTATACTATCATCACGTTTTCTAAAGATTTTTCCGAAAATTTTTAGAACGCTTGAGTTTATTTTCCCTTTTTTTGTTAACCCGAGCTGATTTGCTTGGGTTAAGCAAAGTTTAAAAACCTATCTGCCAGTTCAGGGTATGACATAATGATATCCATTAAAATAACTCGTGAACTTATTAGAATAGGTAAAAAGCATTGGCGAAAAAAGCAGGTACTTCCAGAGAGAAGTCATACGTTTATGTCAACCAATTCAAATTCGTACCAAAATCCCAAGACCTCGAAGTCATAGAAACTGTTGAAGCTGTTACAATAAACAACTATTCAGATTCACATTTGTGTGCTGATGACAGAAGGCTTACAGCCTGTGTCAGTCCTTTTCTACTAAACTCCCGAAAGCGTCTGTTCTTCTCTTGGGTGGATCAATCAAAAGAGTGAACACCACATACTGCCTGCACGTGGTTTCCTAATTCGGATCTCGTCAGGGGTGTGTATATTGTAGTGAACATACTAGTACCTAACTTGGGTAAGCGTGCTTTCTAAAGGGTTCTTAACTCTTCAGCTTCAAACTCTCAGCAACGAGTTGCCCCAAGATTCCTGTGATACCTGACTACGGGTGTGGGATCAGCTCTTATGCTGTACTTATTTGCCACTTTTAGACCAACCAATCAGAACATCTAAATTCGCCTGAAGTGCACATGCATCCGCGTCTTGGCATCATTTCCCGGCGGAGTTTTTCATTATCAGTGCACAGTAGCTTCGGTTACTAAACTTTACCTGGGAGTCAATTTAAACACAGCATAAAAAGTAAAGGACCTACGACAGAGCCTTTTGGCACCCCACTAAGTACTGGTTTCAAGCAGGCATTTGACGTTTATTCTTAATTTCTGTCTATGACGCAACAAGCAAACCTTGATTCACAGCAGAAGAGGTCTGTTAAACTTAAGGCATCTTTTAACGCTTGTTATTGCTGACTGTTGTGTCGGGATTTCACTATTAAATCCGATGTAATTAGTGAGTCATTTTTTCACTTTATTCTATTAGTCATTCCGTCAATATCTTCACAAGTTGCTGTTCACATTGCCCAGGCTAATAGCAAACCTGTGATCTAGTAAGGCTGGCAATTTTAAACGACATAATCATCGTTTCGAATAACATACCGCGTTACTCGACCTATTCTGTTTCAAAAACTTTCAGTTAGACCTGTTAATTCCAGACTATATCATATCAAGAGATTGTCTTAGTAAATAAATCCCCAAAATTAGTAGTCCTGGATGTCTTCGACATTTGATGCTGACAGCATTAGTTCTAATAGGCTCACTTTTATGAAGGCGTTCTGTCACGCATCCGCACCAGAACATTTGTGCGTACGCCGTGCTTCATATCTACGACCGCCAGCCAGCTTAGATTGATCACTTCTCAATATATCGATATTCTATTAGACATATCTCTTCGCTCCTGACTTTTGATATGACTGTGCTTGCACATTTCAATTATAAAAGGTGTTACTGGTCAAGGTGTTGTCAAACTCCGAATACTTGTGGAATCCTTAAGATTATTCCAGCAGTTCTAATATACTTTGGGCTGCAGAACAATTTGTCGAACAAAATGAAGTTGATCTAAATTTTTCAACTGTGCCGTCGATGTATACATCAC